CCTCTTCCGGAGTCAAGTCTTTGGTTTTGACTTCAATCTTCTGGCGCTTGGCAGTGGAGGCTAGGTAATTCTCTTGATATTCATAGGTCCTACCCAAACACTTCTGGAAATCATCGAGGCCCATGAGTATTTCTGCATGTAGTACGGTATGTTCGGTGACTGGGTTCTTGGAGGTTGTGAGGCATGATGGTGAATCTTGATTCCATGAAGGGTTGATGAAAAATGTAGTCTTACCTGTCCATGGTTCAGGTTGAGGTAAATGGCTGTGAACATTGTTTCTCCAATTCTCTCTTCTTTGGAATTCCCCTCCAGAGAGGTATCGACCTGTGGTTTCTCGTTCTTCCAACAGCGCTTCACAGGGAACCGGACACTCAAACGTATCATGAGGAAAAAATACACTGAGGCGTTGATTCACATGATGGCGTATAAGTTGGTTTCCCCTGATTTCCCACTGATCAGGCGCCTTTTCATCCAGGATGAGGTCATCCTCTTCCGTGGCCGCAGGTGGTACTGGAGTGTTGATGGCATCTTGCAACATCTCGCTGACTGTTGGCGCGACAGCGGGTTCAGCATCTGGTTGGATCTCGGACCCTACTTGGGAGTTATTTGATGGATATTGATCTTGAGGATTATTTGGCGGATGATTGCGGATGATTAGGGATTATTACTTCAGGTTCATTGGTCATGGGGTTTGCGATGGGATTAGATTGGTGATTAGATGATTGGCTCATAGGGTTATTCTCTGGTGGCAGAGATTGTTGTGACAGCTCACGGAATTGAAACACACCATTACCACTCCTTTCAGGCAGTTGGAACATGCTGCGATCCAAATTGGAAATGGATCGCTCCTCGTCGGAGGATAGTCTACGGATATGCTCTGGTGCGCAGCGATAAAGTCGTGTCATGTGGCTGACCCAGATCAGATTTCATCCCTCGGACATCAAAACCTTGGCAGGCCCATGCCATGCACCTGGCTCTACACCCTTACCGGCTTTCCAATACATGATTAGATCACCTACTTGGAAGTTTATGCGTTCTGGTCTGGATCTGGCATGCAAGGCACGACGGAGTTCACTGCTGTGCTCAGCTTTAATGAAGGCGATTCGGGCAGATTCTCTGCGTGCCATGTTCTGTTGAAACTTGGAACCCTCAGGGGTCTGTTCATTCAGGCCCATATAGCTGGCACTGTCCAGATACAAATCGGTGCAGTTCCCTGGCAAAGAGCGCATTTTTCCAAGTACCCAGAGTTCTGGTGTGTAACCCTCATGACGTGACATGGAGTTCTTTGCATTGCACAGGTGAATCAGGCATTGCTCGAAATCCTGATAATCTTGAATCGGCTGATCACTGTTATACTTGGATATCATATGCATGAGCACCGCACCATGACGCTCAGCTCGACCCAGTTGCCAGTGAGCATCTGTTGGGATCACATAGCTTTGAATGGCATGCTTCTGCAAAAACAGGGAAAACATTTCACTGTTGGCTTCTGTTGCACTATCGAACATCATGCTTTTCGGTGGTCCTGCCCATCGGAGCCATGAATTGGAAAATGCTTCAATGAGTCCCTCAGTGGTACGCTGTCGATATGGAATTGCAACCTGGTAGTTTGTCGCTGTATCTACAAAGTGATAGAATCCATAAGTTTTACCCTGGTTATCTTTCCATTCAGCGCCATCAAAAGAGATGTGATCATTGAAATCCATGGGAACTTTCAGTTTCCCGGGTCGGGCAAGCTTGGGTTGTTGTTGTTCATGGCACGTTGGACATACAAAGTCGGCACAGCCACGAATTTCCGTTTCTGACCAGCCATTCCTGCGAAGAGCCATTTGTAGTATCCTCGTGTCAGGGTGTCCCAGATTCTGATGTATTTTTCGGATTTGATTCTGTGTATATGCTGGTAATTGTTGAAACAAGGGACCATGAGAAACACTTGAATTCTGGGGTGTCATGGAGGTCTGTTCTGTGGTACTTGAGGTTGACTGTTGAGGCTCCGGTTGTTCCGGTTCACTGGTAACTTCCGTGGACCTGTTGTTTCGGATGCTCCACGAGGCTCCTTCGCATCAGGCATTTCAGTTGATTCCTGGGCTGAGCGCTTATTAGATGCAAAAACAGTCATCATGAGCTTCGCTGGGATTGATGCACGGATCTGTTGTCGGTGCGACAGTTTCTCCCATTCTTCCCAGCCTTCATCCATAAACACTTCCAAATCAGAACGTCGTTTGCCAAGCATTCGGCGAAATGGTGCAAAACCCCGGCCTCCTACGGAGCATGTTCTCATGCGATTGATACCTCTGCAAACATCAATGGCTTTGACTTCTTTATCCGGAAACATGCTTTGGATTTGGTCAAACACCGGTCCATCTTGAAGGATTAACTTGCCTACGCGGGGCGTGCATTTTTCCGCCATCTGGATGACTTCACGGACTTGAGACATCATGTCTGACTTGGAGGATGTGTTCACGGGAACAGTGGACGGTCTCTGGCTGGAGCTAGCGTTGCACGACCCGGCTGGATCAATGTACAGGTGTTCCGGATGGAATTTGCCTGCAAGCCTTCTGCGCTTGGGTTCTGGGTCTTCTCCGGCAGAACTGGTGGTGGTGTTTGTGATCACTGCATGTGTGCCATGTACTTTCTCATGAACTTGACAACTACACAACATGGCTCGGCACAACCTCTTACCAAACACGGCAGTGTACAACTTAGTATACTTCGTAACTGACATTCTACCCCACCCAGCTACTTTGCAAGACCCAGCTACTTGGTCGTGGGAGTGATTTCCAACACATTGAAATTGTTCCAGCATTCTCCAAAGGATCTGAGAGGTGGTCCAGATCTGAGTGCGTTTGCGAAGCCATCGTTGACTTTCAGGATGCTTTAAGTTACCAGCTGTGCACATGTCACATGTAACCCTGAGGGTATGGCGAACAATGTTATCCATGTCATGTTGGAAAATCAGCTCGGATCCCGCAGGCTGTTCCAAATGAAAATGGAAGTCATCACCACGCCAGTCTTGGAGACGAAACAGGGCATCGCAAATCTTGAGATGGACACTTTCAGCACGCCTGTCCTGATCGATTTGTTGAGCACATTTCATGGACTTCATGGCATTCAGTCGATTCCAGTTACTCCAGGGGCCACACTTGGGGGAGACCCAGATATGACGGGGTCGTATCTGCCAAATGAGATCATACAATCGACATCGTCCAAAAAATGTGGCTAAATCACCATGTCGAAGTCCAAACCTGAAAGTGACCATGCCCAGAGTTTCCCCCTGTCGTGTCAACTGGCTATGCTCGGAGCAGTAGACTTCCAGGACATGAGATCTCGATTGTTGCCAATGTTGTTTCATGTCATCCAATGTGTAATGAGGAAATTTCTTTTGGAAGTAATCCCACATCTCTTGATAGACCCAATTGGATAGTCCTGCTTCTTGTTGAACCAAATCAGAAAAATAATTGACATCAACAATCTCATGCGGTTTTTCATGGAGCTGCCGTTTGCCCTGATCATCACATATGAGAGATCTCATCACATGTCCTTCTTCTGATTGGATCACGACTTCGGGACATTGCCCTGATTCAACATGGCCTGCGTCAGAGCTTGCAGTTGGTGAGTGATCTGCTGGAGGGCATTCTCCATGTTCTCGATTCGATCGTTCTGGTGAGTCACCTCTTCTTGGATTCTCTGTGAGGTCTCTTCTTGGATCACACTCTAGGGCTTCGACACATCTTCTTCTGACCAGCTTGCCTGACTGGCATTGTCCGGTGTCTCCGGGTAGTGGACCCTCATGGGTTGGGCTTTGGCCTTGGCTTTCAACTCGTACTTGCTTGGCTGAGCCAACGGCTCGGTCTCCAGCTGCATCTCCTGGCGCTCCACATACAGGCTGATGAAGTGGACAAAGGCTTGATGGGCTGGCTTTTGGGAGGTCTCGTACTTCTTGAGGAACCAGGTCGCATACTTTGGGTCTTGCTGAAGCACATCTTGGAATCTCTGCCCCAGCTTGGCTTCCCCGAAGGTGATCCTTTGGGTGGCCAGCTGTTCGTATGACATCTTCATGAACTCTCCTGAGTTCTTCTGGTTGGTCACTGCATGGAGACGATCTGCCAAGGTCGACTGAGCCATGACGGTCAACACACGTGAGTGCGGGAGTGTCAGAAGCGGGAGTGCCATCCTTGAAATCACAAGTCTGCATGGTGGTCGATGAAGTCGGTGTCATGAGAGGTTCAACGTTTTCTGCATTCACTGAACACATGACTTCTCCATGAGGAAGCCTAACCTGGGACCTTGTGACATGTTGCATGGAAACCTGTCGAACGAGTTCACAGAAATCTAGCAAATACAGTTTCTTAGTGGTGAGAGACAGCGGCATTTTGACACCGATCTTGGCAAAAGAGATCGTGTCCTGGGCTGTGTCAATTTGAGCTCCCAAGGTGCGAAAGACATTATTGGATATCAAAAATGGCGTCTTGGACTGGACAATGCACACTTTGACATTCCATCGGGACAATGGCACCAGCAGGGCTTCATGACACTCGACTGTGCTGCTATTTCCAAAACGGAAAACTGTATTGCATGGGACTCTTTGGACTTTCTGTCGCACTTTCGGCGGCAGATGGTCAAGCAACTCTGACACCTGTTGGTTTCCTATGACAGTTTGACTAGCACCTAGGTCAACAATGCCAAATGGCCCATGACTCACGAACATCGTTTCGGCAGTGGGTCTCGGTTGGACCTCTCTGAGAAATAGACTCTCATGAGTCTCGGATGCAATGGATCGCGATTGGATCCCTGTTGGCTGCTTTTCAGGTGCAATCTTCAGCTGAGGGCTTAGGCGGTTCTTCAAAGCTGTCACAAACCTGGTGAGGAGAGGACCCGTCAGATTGGAACATGTCACATTCTGGGGTTCATCATTTATACCAAAACAGCAAACTGCCTGATTAGAACCCAAAACTTCATGCATGTGAGAGACATCTTTACCCGGTGAATCCACAAGGATCATGTCATTGTCGAAGTTGGTGTCTTCGGCCATCATCATCACTGTTCCGGCAAAAGCAGAATCCTTTGAACCTGACGTACCTGCTTGGCCCTGAGCACTATTGCGGTTTAATGGGCACTCTGCCTTCCAATGGCCCTTTTGGCCGCATCGACGACACTCAGACTCAAGGATTCTCTGCGCAAGTGGCTTTCTGAATCGAGAAAATCCCTTGGCCTTGGATTTCCCCTTGCCCTTGAACCCAGTATTGGACCCCTTGGACTGCCAGAAACCTCGATTTTTGTTGCGGTCTGACAAGCGCTTCCGGGCATCGACATATGTATTGTAACAAGCTGCCAACTCCATGTCACCCTGAAGTGCTTCGAGGATGCTATCTTCAAACTGCATACAAATCACTGCATCAGGGTCTGATTCGTCATAAACAGTCTCACCATCATCCCATGAATCACCTACATAGGCTTGTTCCTCTTCAGTGACATAGGTAGGGTGATCATCTTCGAGCACTGCATTGACATCATATGTTTTGGATCGGGAGACATTCTTGGAGCCCGATTGAACTTCATTGAAAAAGCGGGATCCCAACAACTTCAGTGCCGATACAATAGCATCATACTCTAATGCTCCTTTTGAATCCACAATCAGTTTCTTTTTGTCCTCAGCATTCAATCCAGAGTTTCGCAACAGGATGTAGGCTCTGACCTCAGGAATCCCTACGCCCATCTGCAATAGCTCCTCAAACTGGAAATCATGCCGTGCCAAATAACTTTCATGGGTTTCATCAGCCCTTTGTGTTGTGGAAAAAATTGCCCTTTCAAATCGTTCGAATTTTTCCTCCAGCTTGCTCTTTCCCCAAATCCCTCCAAGCGAGGTCACTAAGAGCTTCACGCCCTCGATGGAATTCACCTTGAGTTTCGTGGTGTCTATCCGCATGACCTTCTTGAAGGAACTCCCTTCACACAGCATCGCTGCACGAGGTGCCAACAAAGCTAAATGCTCCTGTGGCCACAATCCTGCAAGGAATTCGAGCTTCTTGGAGTACTCATTGATATCCGTATCACCTGGTTTGAAGCTAGGTATCATGTTCCAGGGCAAATGCGACAAAGCTGTATGGCCTGTGCCGCTTGAGCTAGTAGACAAGGTTGGACCAGACCCCATTGGATCATCTCCTTCACCTGACATCCTGGATCACCGGCTTCCAGAGGCAAAACGGCCTTTCCGGTTTCCACCTCCAGCCGAGGTAGCTCCGCTACCAGTGTAGAACTGGTAGGGGCCCCTGGCTCTTCCCTTTCCTCCTCCAATCGAAGATACACCAAGGCCCTCCCGAGCCGCAAAGCAAGGCGCCACGCCTTTTATGGCTACCAACACGGACGCACGGATCCAAACAGGGGCTACCCAAGCCCTCGCTGTGTTGCACCTGAGCCACACCTCCAGAAATGATGGAGCATACCACATTGAATGCTACCCTGGCAGACAACTCGTTGTACTGGACATCCAATACCATCATATGCAAGTGGTTTATGGGTTCACGAAACAACAATATATATATATATATATATATATATTTATGTATAATCACATATATAATCACATATATAATCATATACATATATATATATATACACATGATATCATGGATATCCACATATCTTTGGTCGCGCCAGGACGAGGCCAAGGAGCCCACGTCTGCGACATCCGCCGCGTCGCTGATCTGAGATGGGATGGGTTTTTTTGGTGATTCACCACGAAACCATGGCCATTTCATGAAAAAGCTATGGAAAATGGTGATTTAATGGTGATTTGATGGTAAATGATGGTAAATAATGGTGATTTAATGGTAAACAATGGTGATTTAATGGTAAATAATTGTAAATAATGGTAAAGAATGGTGATTTAATGGTAAATAGTGATGATTTAATGATAAATAATGGTAAATAATGGTGATTTAATGGTGATTAAATGGTGATTAATGACAGTTGAATGTGGTGGAAAATGGTGATATAGCTGACTTGGTAATTAATATTGATTCATGGTGATTGTAATGGTGAATCATGGTGATTTTTATGTCAACCCTGGATTACAAAACAACTAGGCTGCTCAATTGGGTGAGCACCATTGAGTTATCAGATTATGACTATTGGGGAAGTACCCCTAATTAAAACAACAAAAACATGGTTTATAGATCCCGTGTTGACATTGACGTTGTGGTCAATTGTTTTTTTTGTTACATAGCTATGGTATCGAAAAACGATGATGATTTAATCATCAGAGATCATGGTATAGTTGGGATATAAATCATAATTTATTAATGGTTAATATATAGTTGGGATATACCAATAATGGTATAATGGGTTATTTTTTCGGATATTAACCATTAATCATACCAATGGATATCATTGGGATTTACATTGGGTATAATGGGTAATCAAACCCGGGAAATTTCTGAAAATCAATGGAGATTTAGTTGGGGAAATCATCGAATTCATTGGTGGATTTTCCATTGCAACGGCTGCAAGGGTTGATTTCCGGAGGGACATGGTATTAATATGATGAGTAAGACCATAACCATGGCGTCACAACAATGGTACAATGTGAGCCCCCCCCCAGTTATAAGTTGGTTTATAAGCCCCAGTAACTATAGTTATAAGTACCATAAACCATAGTTATTGGAGTTATAAACAAACTTAGCTATCTTGGGGGCCTCACATTGTATAGTATGATATTTCAACTACTCCTGAACATCAAAAGATGAAAGAAATCATGGTCTGTGTCAATTTGGGAGTGGGAGATCCGATTAGGGATTAGGGGAGTCAAAGCCATTCAGTATTGTCACCTGTTAGTAAAGTTTACCATTGTTGATGGAAGATACTGTATATTTTATATCTATAGAATCTATAGCTAGATAGGTGAACATATACAGAAAGCAAGAAACATTGGCATCACCTGGATATCAATGTCCTTTTTCTCTAATGATGGGGTTTTACATTGGGTAATATGGGGTATTTTTTACATAGATTTACCATGAAATGATTAAACCAATTGGATCGAATGGGGGTGATTATTTTTGAGTTCAACAGCCCATATCCATCAAGGATTTATTAACCATGCATAGGACAATTTAATTGAACCATCATGAAAAACAGTAGGGATCAATTATACGTGGATATATATATATGTTTATGTGTATATATATACACATATTTATACATATCTATACATATATACACATATCTATAATTATATATATACACGTATACACATCTATAATACATATCTATTATACATATCTACTATACATATCTATTATACATATCTATTATACATATCTATTATACATATCTATTATACATATCTGTTATACATATCTATTATACATATCTACTATACATATCCATTATACATATATATATATATATCTATACATATCTCGGATATATATATATATATATGTCTGAATGAAAGTGGTATGATACTCAGAACCAGGACATTTTAGCGGTGTCCTAGTTTCAGGTTTATGATAGAATTGTATACCGGCCGAAATGATGCCTACAAACAGCAGAAACCCTCATTGCAGCCAGAGCATTGTATATGACTGGATGGTTGAATGTTTGTTGTACCATCACAGCCCCCACTCTTTTTCCCGGATAATCTTATAGGTGTTTTGAAGACAAATTGATAACAAATGGGCTAGACCCGTCGTAAAGAAACTTTAGAATCCTCAACATCAGATGTCAGTGGACCCGTTTTTTCAGGGGAAATGGAAACCCGAACCCCCCTGGTTTCCTGCCGATTTTCTCTATTATAAGGACAATCTATGAGGATGGATACATTGGTTGGTAGTATTTTTCATGATTGGTCAAATCACGATGCTTAAAAAGACACTGAATTCCACAGAGGTTTTGCTGTTCAACTCCCCATTTTTTTGGCTGGTTGGTCCCGGGGGAAGCCCCTGTTTTGACCCGTAGGTCAGATGTGGACCGCTGGCGTGCTCAGGGCGATTTACCCGTCCCCTTGGCCAAAGCATGATGGACCTTTGGAGGGTTTATGTCATGCCACCTATGATTCTGTCGCTGGAATCATGGAATCGGGGAATCACCAGCGGCCCATGGCTGTTATATATATATATGCCATGAAAATAATGTTTAATTGACGAACCATGGCCTTTTGACTATATAATTATATATTAGTCAATGATTCTTATCCAGTCAGATGGCCGATGGCCATCTGACAGGAACCACCTTGGACAAAGATCGCATCCGGAAAATCCGATCAATCCCAGAGATTTCGGACAGAGGGCGCCAATCTGGGAATATCTCAACCCCCCAAAAAAAAACAAAAAACAAATCACTGGGATGATCGAAATGATGCAGAGGATTTCTGTTTTATTTTTTTTTCAGGGCAGTGAAGTCATGACAAAAAAGATGATACTTATAATTCAGCCAGATGTGTGAACACTTAGAAACCAAAACCCGTCAACTCTGGATTAATAACTCCCATGCTGATCTTGCCGACAAACCATCCCAGATGTGGGAGGAACCAAGCTGATGTTGAATCCAGGTTTTTTTTGGTCTCATCTGGGCTTGGGCCAAGCAACGCCATGACTTTGGCTCTGCATGTTCTCTTTCGCCTAGAAGAGGTTTGGATGTTTTGCTTAAGCATGTCTGCACAGGTTTTAGATGGTTTTAGTGTCTGCAACCGCAAATGAGGTGAAATAAAGATGATGGTTGAGAAGGGAAGAAACCTAGTCGTGGATTCATGACAGTCCAGATCAGTGGGAGCTAGCCATAGCTAGACTTGGATCGATGAAAATCCACAAGCTTCGAGAGAAACACCATAAGAAGGGACTTTTAAATCTTTTAACCATGACAAAACATGTCCATCCTCATGTTGTTTACTCTACAACTGACATTCAGAATGGTGAATAAAAGCAGATGTACCTGACAGACCTGAGCGTGCCCAGTCCATGTTTGTCGTTTCTTGAGGCATCCCAAGTTTGTGGTGCTTTAACCATATTTAGAGCTACTTTGATTGTGTTTGATTTACACCATTTTATATCAAGATTTAATTATTCAAATCCACATTGACGTGTAGTTTAAACCCATTTGAATGTCAGATGTAGTTCACCCTTGGGGCGGTCGCCGACGCTGAAACATCCACAGGATGTCCCATGACGTTCCATTTCTATCCACTGATTCCCAAAAAAATCAGCGGTCCACATCTGACCATTAGTCATCATTAATCATAATCCCATGATTTTCTAGTTGATGGATGATGGGAGGCGATTTTTGTTCCCTTATGACTTTCCCAGCGACCCAGCGATCCATTTACTTCGGTGATTTCCCCAAAATGTGGATGCAAAAAGTGCCACCGGCACGCCGTGCGGCGTTTTCAGGTCTGTCCCAAGTGCCAGGGACCCGCTCGACCCTGGGTGCTCCGTTGGGGAGATGGTGAAACACCGTCTGGTCGTCATCGTTTGAAGTTTGGGAAGATGATAAAATGGGGGATTTTTATTGGGATTCATGGTGCATTCCGCATGGAATTCTCTATTTTTTTTTTTTTTTTGGTGACCGTTTAACACAAAACAAACCATATTTTTCGAGGATCTTCAGCATCCATGGGCCCCAATCCAACTCACAACTGACGGAGCTTTCACCGTTTTGCAGGATTCTTGTTTCATCCCCCCAGTGTTTGTTCTCCTAGAGGATCAAACAAACCAAGTGAAGTACCACTTATTTTGCTAAACATGGGTACACACAGACTATCCAGCAAGACACATTTATACTTCTCCAAGAAGGGTATCTTGGAGATTCTTGGAGATTGGCCATGTTCTTTTTAGGGCTTTTTTACCGCAAAAACCATTGGGATTTTCATCGTGGGATTTTTTGTGTCATCTGACTGAAGCATCATTTTTCACCAGGCCCGTGGATGTGAACAGCGGATAGCGGATTGATGTGAACGTCGTTAGACATGTTGGACCCTCAACATTCCCATTCAAATTGTTTCAATAGTGAAGATATAACTTAAGGTTCTTCACCTGAAACTGGAAAATCTGTCACACATGTATCAAATGAATTTCAAATGATGCAGTAGCCATGGTTTACGAGTAGTTTGAGGATCACGGAAGGGAGCATCTGAATCCAAGATCTTTTTGGTATTTTTTGTATTTTTGGTCATCTTTGGTCATGTCCCAGAATTGGTCAAAGGAACCCCCCCAAAAAAGGAACACTTTAGATATTTAAGCGGGGTAAATATAAGATCTACGGTTTCCTATGGATTTTGAACTAATCCATTGATCATGGTGGTTATTGCGTCCCATCACAACATCACAACTCGCCGTACCGTGTTCTGCAGCCTTTGCGGGGGCTTTTTTGGGGACTAAAGTCCACCGGCCCGCGCACAGAACGCAAAGGCGGGGGCTGTTTCGGAGGTGGGGCGGTTCTGGCTTCATGGGAGTCTAGCAGCAAAACCACATGGGTTACCTGTCGTTCACACATGGATGTGGGTCAAAATGGAAGACCTAGGGGACCACAGATATTAGTCTAGTTTAGTATTAACCATCCAATTGTTGGGGTACCTAATTTTGACCCACACCCACATGTTTACACCAGTTTACAGCTGTTCATGGATGTTCAGCCCCGAAAAGTGGTATAGTCTAGCAGAGTCTTGTTGTTATGAAAACCAGCCATACGTTGGGGTCTTGGATGAGTTTCAAAGCTGAGGTACTGAGTTGTGGCCCATGTTCTGTAACAACCTATAAGTGTTTGGTGGTTTCAAGTATATATGACTATTGTTTATATTTGGGATGATTCAATGGTTGAAATGGCTCGAGCATATGTTTGGGAGGGCTTCAAACCACCCAGATAAGTGGTGTCAGCCACAGTACGTACCAGCCAAATACGACCCATGTCCGATGTGATGGGTCATGGGTCGTGATGATTTTCTCAGTGATTTAATAGTGACTCATCCCCGGCGATGGGACTTGGAAGGTATGACGTATTGGGTTTGTCTGGAAAATTGGGTACCCTTAAATCTACTAGTTGGATGTGGGTCAAAATGGAAGACCGATGTGGGACCACAGATGTGAATGTCTAGTTTAGTATTAACCATCCAATTATTGAGGTACCTAATTTTGACCCATACCCAGTTGAGTATCATGTTTCCTGTTACAATGTCCATCACTGAGGGTATCCCTCATTTTCAGACACACCAAAAAACCATGAGAGGTGGTCGGTTTCCGTGTCAGGTGATTATCTTTTCCAAACTCGTACAGTCGTACAGTGGCTGATTCTGGGTGACGAATGTGTTGAGGCGCAGCCAATGAAAGATCTATGACCCCGATTGTGATCGATTGTTTACCCTCTGGTAAACGTTTACATATGGAAAATCACCATGCTATGAAAGGGAATTCATGAACTATTTCGACTGGGCCATGGCTTCAATAGCTGCTATTGTTAGTTTACCAAACCGTTCGGGGTTGGGCTCGGCCATTTTCAATGATCCCTTCAACAGCCCCAATTGGGATCGTCTTAACCGCTGTGGCAACACGGTTTTTTTTGGGTTGAACAAAAACTGTTTGGAAAGTTCCGGAGCCTAAAAAAATCTAAAAAACCACTGTTAAAAAACACAAAAGTGTCGAATGTGTTGGTCACTGACTCTTTTTGGCATTTGAAGTTTTGGGGTTAATGCGCACTGATCCATATGGTTGAATTTCAGCCACCTTGCCTGATCCACGGTGGCAAAAAAGCTCTGAACAACTACACTGCGGTAAACTAACATAACTATGGAAAATCACCATTTTTAATGGGAAAATCCACTATAAATGGTCATTTTCAATAGCTATGTTAGTTTACCAGAGGGTACATGAAACCGTAAACAAACAATGAGAGCCTTGATTTCCAAGACATGGCCGGAAAATTCCTAGTCGACTTGGGATTTCATCCGTTCAATTTCCAGCGAAAAGTGATCCATAGTGATCCTGACATTGAGATATGCGTTTTGAATCTGGGGCTGAAAACATGAGACCTGAGAATCCTGAGAAGTTTTCATATTTTCACATAGAAATCTTATGGTTGTTGGGACTTGGTCGACAAAATGTGGACATGAAGATTATACTGCTATGCTATGATTAGTTTCTACCAAGTATTCATGTCTTCACATAATCCCATCAAAATCCCATGGCCTAATTTCAGGTCATTTCAGGTTAGATGTTCATTTGATATACTCAGATCCATCAATAACACATATTAACCCATTACCATCTGGTTATACATAGCCATGGAAAGATCCACCATTTTTAATAGGTAAACCGGTAAACCATCTATTTCTATGGGCCATCTATACCATGGCTATGTTAAATAATCAGAGGGTAATAACCAGCATTCATCCTTAAATACGTGGCCTGTTCATCTCTGAGAGTATTTTCATACGGGGCCGGAAATATGGGTTTCTGTTCAGGTTGGCAACTGACGGAGAATGCTGGAAATCAAAATTCCCCGGGGAATACAAAATGATCCATGTTGATACAAAATCTTGACTTGGAACCTCTACTGGTTGGTGGTTTGGAATATGAATTTTATGACTTTCCATATATATTTGGAAGAATAATCCCAACTGACTTTCATTCATATTTTTCAGAGGGGTTGAAACCACCAACCAGTCTAGATATCTTTAGTGACACTAAAGTGTCCACTGCATCATATTTTTGTACTGTGAACTGGACACACTTAAGTGATATTTGAATAACAAAAAATAGTTGTCAATTTGATCATCCACTCCACTTTAACCATTGTAAATTCAATTTTAATCACTGTAAACCTCCATGTTAGCCATTGGAAACAGTACAATTTATTATCCAAAAACATGTAAAACATTACCATTCATCACCATGAATCACCGTTAATTTTGACATTTCGCCATTATAACAACTATGAACCATGGACCATAATTACATATTATTACATATTGTATAACCATAGTACAACCATATTATAACCTAAGATATATAACACCATATTATAACCATAACTATAACCATTCTCTCAACATTTCGCCATTCGTTGGTATCCACCATGAATTTCTCTGAAGCTGCCAAGGATGCGTTGGCGGTTGCACCCCGCACCGCGGTGGTTGCGTTGGGAGGTGGTGGATTTGTCGATTTCTCACGTGTTTTTTATACGTCTACAAGATGATTTAACTTATGATTTAACATACTAGTATCTGGTTGGTGGTGACTGGAACCATGGAATTTTGAATGACTTCCAGAAACAGTTGGGAATGTCATAATCCCAACTGACTTTCACTCCATCATTTTTCAGAGGGGTTGAAACCTCAACCACCAACCAGTAATATGATTTTTTACATATGATTTTTCATAATATGATTTGACATGAAAAAAAATCATTAAAATTGATTGACATGATCATGATTTAAGCAACAGGCAACAGACATGTTTTTTTTGTTTTTATGGGCCTTATGGGGGAAAAGACGGCGAATTTTGATGATGTTTGAAGAGTGAATCAGTGATTGATATAGTGGGATATATATACATATAGGGAACTCTTTTGGATATTTATAAATGAAACATATTAGTGAATATTAATAGATGAATACATGGGATTATAAATGGTATATTAGTGAATATGAATAGATTAATACATGGGATAACTAATAGTATCAGTATAAGCAACATTTCTGGCGGTTCAATGAAAAGGACCCTCCAGTTACATAGATCATCTACACACGGATAATTTGTCATGGCTGTGTTACATTACCAAAGGGTAAGTCGTGGTTATGATGTGTTTTACCCTCCAGTAAACATACAAAAAGCTATGGAAAATGGATCATTTATAGATGATGTACCGATGTACCTATTAAACACCATTGAACTAGTGATTTTGCACAGCTATGTTAGTTTACCAGAGGGTAACCATCAGTGTCAAAGGAAGATGGTGAGTTTGGAGAAGAACCGGGCTTTTGCATCCGGTTCTTGGGAATCACTCATGATTCAAAGAGATATTTTTTGTCGGTAGTCCATAGTGGGAACATATGGGGGGGTTCCTAAAATCAGGGGTACCCCCCAAATCATTCACAACCATGACTTAGTATTGAAAACTTTTTTGTGACTTGGGGTAAAATTCCATTTCACCATTTTAGGAACCCCCCATATAGGCTTGGTAAACAAGCAAGATCATCATCATGAAGCAATACTGGTTGGTGGTTTGGAACATTTTTTATTGGTCCATATTCGGAATAATAATCCCAGCTAACTTTCATATTTTTTCAGAGGGGTTAAAACCACCAACCAGAAAAGTGATTCAGTATGAAAGGGTGCTTAGGATGATTTATCGTAAGGTTGTGTACTCAGATTCTATGTCATTGTGGTGCTTTCATCAGTATGTGTTGGTAAATAAATATACACAGCATACATATTACAAAGCATGTATATTACATATATCATAAATATATGATTATATCTATAAATACATATATTCATTATGTAATACATATAAATATATCCACTGTATACATAGTCCTTGGGATTCCACCATGTCTATCATGTATCCGAGGTGCACAGATCGAAGTCTGGCTCTGAAATTTTGCAAAACTGCTCCTTGGCGCGACGTTCGCGAACGTCGCGCCATTCCGTAGAAAATCATTGGTGCAGGATTTCCATTCCGAGGATACTGTGGATGGAAGAAGAAATCGGATAAACCACCAAAAGGATGGTTGAAACATGTTGAAAGCCTATAAATAATGGGATGCACCATCTAGAACACTATCAACTGGTGCAGGATTTTGCAACCATCCACCGTATGTTTGTCTTCTAACCACCATTTTAAGATCATGTTGCAGTCGAAAAAGAAAGGTGTCATGTCCGTTCATATCCAATGATCGAATGCAAGAAAATCATTGTTCGAACTCTATTTGATTTCAAGAGTTTGTTGGAAGTTATCAGTTTCTGTTTTGTTTTTTTCAGCCTCCAACCTTCAATGATGATCCCAACTGCCGGCCATGGTAGTTTGATCCATCCCCATGCTATCCCGGCGTCCCATATCCCAGATATATCCCATGCATATCCCCAAAAAGTCGCCATTACCATCTGGTGATTTGTTACATAGCCATGGAAAGATCCACCATTTTTGATAGGTAAACCATCTATTTCTATGGGTCATCTATACCACGGCTATGTTAAATAACCAGAGGGTATATCATATGATATCCACTCCCCGAACTCTCATAAAATTGGTGCTTAGAAAAATCCCACCAAAAACTTGGTGAATTTGTTGATTCGTTTCAGAAAGGGCTACCCTCTGGTAATTTAACATAGCTATTGAACATGGCCATAGGAATAGTGGATTTTCCCATTAAAAATGGTGATTTTCCATAGTTATGTTAGTTTACCAGAGGGTAACAGAAATTCCCTGCAGCTTTTTTTTAAATAAACGATGGCCATAACGAGGGCGCCATCGGCGCGATTCGCGGCTTCAGGTTTTGCCAGAAATGTCGAGGAGTTGGACCTCTTTATGTCACTTGGCGATGTTGGTTATAGCCTCTGTCCTCAAACGTTGCTGCCTAAAATCCTTGGTAAATCCTTGGTAAATGGAGGTTGCCAACATTTAAGTACCATCGAAAAATTGTTTTTTTTTCCATCCATTTGTTAGCATCCGTTTTAGCATTTTAATGTGCTTTCGGATTGACCATTACACATTTATAAACCAATAATTTTGGGGTACCATAGATTGGACCCCCCCATGTTTAGCTTCCAAATTTGTGGGTGGTCTCCTGACCAGCATTTCAGCTATGATAAAAAGCCAGATTTATAGAGATTCCATACATTTTTTATCATTTTTTCATATGCAACAATTTAAGTTCGAAACTGTGAAATTCAATTGAAGTTCAATTCAAACTTCATGTATCCCGTGTTGACGTAATGTATCTTTGTATCCCATGTTTTCGATGTCGATGTTTTTTTTCAATGTATCGGATGTATTCCCGAAAATCCCAAGAAAAATCACCATCCATCAACTGGCGGGTATAAACCATGATAAACCATGTTTGTTGATTCTATACCCATAAAGTCCTACTACTTTTCATGTTATCCTTAGTATCCTTCATTTTTCTTCATGTCCAGAACGTTGTTTTTGTTGCCGCCAGGTCCAGACTAGCTCGACAGCACTTTGAGACAGTCTCCTTGGCGAAAATGGCTTACGTTACTGGGTCATGGTTGATCATATTGATTAATATTGGTTAATAATGATTCAACAATATAATAATATGGTATATAATGGTTAATGATGTTGGTTTTTAATGGTTAAACATGAGTAATGGATATTAATGGTAATGGCTGACTAGATAATGATTAATGGTCAATGGAAAAACTTTGTCAATAATGGTCCCCTTTTAACCTCCCGATGCTGGCTGATGGTATGACGTCTAGGGATCCCTCATGGTATTTCTGAAGCCTCCTCTTCGATGTGCGCGGGGGGTATCATCGAAGATGCTAAGGTTCAGTTTGATTTGATAATATTATGTTACATAATATTACTACAAAGTGGGGCCAATAAGTTAGCAAGTTCGTTTATAACTCAAATGACTATTGTTTATTCATGTTTTTTCTACTTAAAACTATAGTTCCTGGGGTTTAAAAACCAACAAACGTCACTGGGGTGCCCCACATAGCTCCGATGGCTCAAGTTCGTTGCCATGAAAACAAGCGATACACAGCCACTCATGCTCCATTAATGGGTCCATTGGTCAAGACTTGCGGTTTTCCACCGAAAGTGGACAGATGAAAGTACATAATGAAATATACAATTATACATATATAATCATATATATATATATATATATATACAATGTACATATACAGTACCTGGTGAAAGCCCTAAGTTGTCTCAGGCAGCACTTTGTTGTCTCATCTCGGTGTGCCATGCGGAAGATGTGACACAACCATTGGAATGGAGTTGTCATTTGGTATGATCTTTACAGCACAACGCATAGGCACGCAAGGATTCTTAACATTGCAAACATTAGTTATATCCATTTGCCTCCCTAACAATCCCTGGGTTACTTTTATGGAGTTTAGCGGTGTCTTTTGGCTTTTGGTAGAATGGTATATTGTTACAAAATGAGGTTTAGACAAGCTCAATTCAATCTGCAAAGATCAGCAGATGCGCGAATGATTGGGCACTTTGGCCCAAGATTGCTTTGATTGGTGTTTCAATGGCAATGGAACCCCCCCGCAAGAAGCGATCTCGCAATGATGGGGTAAGCCCTTTCTTGTCTCAGATAGCACTTTGTTGTCTCATCTCGGTGTGCCATGCGGAAGAAGTGACACAACCACTGGAATGAATTACTGCATGATTTGTTATTTGGTATGATCTTTACAGCACAACGCATAGGCACGCAGGGATTCTTAACATGGCAAACATTAGTTGTATCAAGTTATATCCATTTGCCCCCTAACAATCCCTGGAGCAACGTGAGTTTCCCACACAGTGTGTACACACTCGGGGGTCTTGTGATCGGTCCTCCTCCTCCTCCTTTTCCTCCTCCTCCTCCTCCTCCTCAGTATCATCATCTTCCTCCTCCTCCACATCATCATTCTAAGCATCATCCTCGTCCTCCCCCTTGACATCATCATCCTCCACATCATCATCCTCCACCTCATCTTCTGCGACATTATCCTCCTCCACCTCATCTTCCGGACCTTATTGCTTGGATTTTTCGAACCTATCCACATCGTTTTTACCATTTACAGTTTTTGATCTGACGTGGGGATACGTGGGGTGGGTTCTGGCTGGGATGGCAAAATGTAATTCCGGTACCTCGTCTGGTATCTCGTCCGGTACCTCGTCCAAAAACCTTTCCAGAGTCATGATTCTGGTATTACATCCATATTCCATATGTCTCGGATTCCGTTACAGCAGGGCAGGGTGTGATTTCAATGCGATTAATTTCAAACTTTGTTTGTGAAAGTCATCCACTCGCCTGCAAGTGTGCCATTGGGGTTTTGGCCCTCATGAGAATGGACACCCTTTATTTTGTTTCTTTTGGAAATACCAGAATGCAAGCTGGCGATGCTGTTTCAATGCTTGGCTAAGCTTTTGACCTGGAATTGCTTGTGCCATTGGGATTTGCCTCCAAGTTGACAGGTCGCACCTTCCCATTTTCTGATTCCGGGCATAGCTAAATGCAACTAGGGACATGATTCAAAGTTTGCAACGACTTCGTGAAAGTCTTCCACTCTCCTGCAAGTGTGCCATTGGGATTTTATTTTTTTTTGAGAATGGACACCCTTTAATTTGTTTCTTCTGAAAATACCAGAACGCAAGCTGCTGTTTCAATTCTTGGCTAAGCTTTTGACCTGGAATTGCTTTTGGCGGTGTGCCATTGAGATTTGACTCCAAGTTGACAGGTCGCACCTTCCCATATTCTGATTCCGGGCATAGCTAGATGCAACTAGGAACATGATTCAAAGTCTGCAACGACTTCGTGAAAGTCTTCCACTCTCCTGCAAGTGTGCCATTGGGACTTTAGCTTTTCTGATAATGGACACTCTTTATTTTCTTTCTTTTGGAAATACCAGAACGCAAGCTGGTGATGCTGTTTCGATGCTTGGCTAAGCTTTTGACCTGGAATTGCTTTTGGCGGTGTGCCCTTGAGATTTGACTCCAAGTTGACAGGTCGTACCTTCCCAGATTCTGATTCCAGATGCTAAATGCAAGCTAGGAATAACATGATTCAAAGTTTGCAACGACTTCGTGAAAGTCTTCCATTCTCCTGCAAGTGTGCCATTGGGATTTTTTTTGAGAATGGACACCCTTTATTTTGTTTCTTTTGGAAATACCAGAATGCAAGCTGGCGATGCTGTTTCAATGCTTGGCTAAGCTTTTGACCTGGAATTGCTTGTGCCATTGGGATTTGCCTCCAAGTTGACAGGTCGCACCTTCCCATTTTCTGATTCCGGGCATAGCTAAATGCAACTAGGGACATGATTCAAAGTTTGCAACGACTTCGTGAAAGTCTTCCACTCTCCTGCAAGTGTGCCATTGGGATTTTAGTTTTTTTTTGAGAATGGACACCCTTTAATTTGTTTCTTCTGAAAATACCAGAACGCAAGCTGGTGATGCTGTTTCAATTCTTGGCTAAGCTTTTGACCTGGAATTGCTTTTGGCGGTGTGCCATTGAGATTTGACTCCAAGTTGACAGGTCGCACCTTCCCATATTCTGATTCCGGGCATAGCTAGATGCAACTAGGAACATGATTCAAAGTCTGCAACGACTTCGTGAAAGTCTTCCACTCTCCTGCAAGTGTGCCATTGGGATTTTAGCTTTTCTGAGAATGGACACTCTTTATTTTCTTTCTTTTGGAAATACCAGAACGCAAGCTGGTGATGCTGTTTCGATGCTTGGCTAAGCTTTTGACCTGGAATTGCTTTTGGCAGTGTGCCATTAAGATTTGAGTCCAAGTTGACAGGTCGCACCTTCCCATATTCTGATTCCGGGCATAGCTAGATGCAACTAGGGACATAATTCAAAGTCTGCAACGACTTCGTGAAAGTCTTCCACTCTCCTGCAAGTGTGCCATTGGGATTTTAGCTTTTATGAGAATGGACACCCTTTATTTTGTTTCTTTTGGAGATACCAGAACGCAAGCTGGTGATGCTGTTTCAATGCTTGGCTAAGCTTTTGGCCTGGAATGGCTTTTGGCGGTGTGCCATTGGGATTTGACTCCGAGTTGACAGGTCGCACCTTCCCATTTTCTGATTCTGGGCATAGCTAAATGCAACCTAATAACATGATTCAAAGTTTGCAACGACTTCAAAACATGATGCATCTGAGCCGCTGTGCCTTGGGGATTTGACACCTGGGGTAACTACTGTCTGCCCTGGGGTAACTCGGTGTGCCTTGCGGTTGGGGTAACTAATGGGTAAATGGGGTAACTTAGGGCGTTTGCTAGTATTTATTATTAATTGTTATTATTATTATCATTATCATCATCATTATTATTATAGGTTCCTCTATGATAAAGCCATCTGCAGCATGTCAATGCAACTGTGGGGGTGTGCATCCCGATGGATCAAAAGATGAGCTGTTCATGAAGTCACATCCAAGCTGTTCCTTGAAATCCATGGATTGGAGGTTTCCTAAAAGTCATGGCTAACTCCTGGTAAACACCGGATGTTTTTTTGGAGTTGGTAAACTGGTAAACATACATAGAAAAAGCTATTGAACATGACCACTGTTCTAGTTACTATAGTTGATTTACCCATCAAAAGTGGCGATTTTCTTTCCAGTTCGTTATGATTAACCATAGAATGGTTGATGTTCCAATTAAAAATGGTGATTTTCCCATTCAAATGATGATTTATAGTTGATGTATCCATAGAAAATGGGTCTTCCTTCTGAAAAATGTCACCCATCGACCGCTGGCTTCTTTAGGTGACGATAGAGGAAGAAATCGAGCTCACCAGCTCCAGTGACCCGTTGTCTGCGGTGCCGAAAAAGAACACAAAGTCTGGCCATTTGAAGCGGGATGATTTACAAAGGTCCATCATATTTTTGGGGTTGCTAAGTTACTACATATTTATTGTTCATATAGCAATATCCCATGATATTCCCATTTTTCTGCTAAGTTGCTGGAATGTGTAGTGAGCAGATTTGATCATATGTTAAATGATTGAATGGGATATGAATGTGTAGGAATATCATGGGATATTGATATAACATGATATAACTAACCATATATTTGTGTTGGGTGTGTCTGAAAATGAAAATGGGGACATGATATGGTGTCTGAAACTAGGGATATTACATGATATTTCATGGCATGGGTATTTAATGTGTTCTTTTTTGGGCTAGAACGATATAACCGACCATATGACATGGGTGAGAGGTAAGCTCCACCCCTTTCGGTGCCATTTCGTTAGGATACTGGTAATGACTAACAGTTTGCTATTGAACATGGCCATAGAAATAGTGGATTCACCCATTGATAGCATGGTGGATCTTTCCATAGCAAAATGTAAAACGTTTACCAGAGGGTATTTTTTTTTTCAGACAAAGCCGGGGAAATTCACGAGTAATTTGGTTTGTTTGCTGGGGATATGATGGTGATTGGGATTTATGGCTTGTGCTAATTAAAAAATACCCTCTGGTAAACTAGCAAAACTATGGAAATCACCATTTTCAAAAGGTAAATCAACTATAAATGGCAATGTTCAATAGCCATGTATGTTTACCAGAGGGTAATAAATTCAATATGCGCCATGTATGGTAATGATTCAATGGCATGGGGACTTTAACCATCAAAAATGCCCAGTTAGCCATCAGAAATGACATTGTGGGGATATATACTATCACAACAATGATATAGTAAATGATTCATATATAGATATACATATATATATACATAGTTGTCTAGATGCTTAAAGAAGATGCAATAACTGATGTCAACCAAGTATGACGCTCCTAACTTCCCACTATTGTTTGTGTTTTTCACGAGATCCCCACACATGAAGACCTCTTCTAATGGGCTCCATTTATTGTGCGCTGGTTTTCTTTGCCTTTGAAGCTGGACAATATCGTACCTTACCGCGGCAAATTTATACATTGGCTATAACACCACTTGGAAGCGGCAATGAACAGTTTGATAGCGGCTAGTCATGTTTTTGTTGAGACTTGTGATCTTGGTTTAGAGACACTTTTCATTTTAAAGAGGTAACATGTGTTGCAACTCCAGGCCCATGGCTACCAGCCTGTGTTTTTTCACCTGGAAAATCCCTGACACATGGAGGTTTCATCTCCGCGTCACAGTCGAAAGTCGTCAACATCGTCAACCGTTAATATCCTCTGGTAAACTTTCCGACTTCGCATGACATAACTGGCTGAGGTCTCATCTAACGCTAGAATCGCTAGATGACTTACCATAGCTAGACAGTAATGGTTGATAATGATTCCAATAACGGTTAATATAATATTAATATATGTTAATATCCATTCTAACTGGCTGAGGTTTCATCTAACTCAGCCATGACTTACCATAGCCATAGACAGTTCGACCCGAGGTATCTTGCTTTCGCAGAACTCTCAGTGACTCGGAGTGGGGTGAAATGTGAGGTCAGTGAGACGGACCGAGACGGATTTTGGAACATGGTGAAATGTGAGATTTTCAATGAAATTCATAAGGATTTCATGGGGGTTCAATGGGATTTTCTATGGATTTTATGGGATCCAATGGGGATTTAATGGGATTGAATGGTGATTTTCCATAGCTACGTTAAACTGACGCAGTAAATTATCAGAGGGTGTCACAGAAATGGCTTACTCTCAGGCCATCGAACATGGCTTGCTGCAAATTTAATCATTTAGTTCGCTGCTTTTCCCAGCGAACAACACCTCCATGTAGAGGAGTTTTAATTGCCAGGATTATTTGCCGGAGGGTTTTTTAATTGCTCAGATATCTGCATAATTTCTTGAGGATAATTGGATTATTAGATGATCATTAGATATTGCTAGATATTGCTAGATATTGCTACTATACTGATAGATGATGATCATTTGCATGGCCCAATGATAATTTGGTTGACGCTTCAAGGAGCATCTGTGCGGGATCTTCCAAGGATCCATCACAGACGGGAGATTTTTCACCGCTCAGGTTAGTGTTGAGAATACCCTTGCTGCTTGCAGATATTGCCCATGAATGCGTTTCGCAAGCACCTGGAGGCCTCTCTAGTACCTTGGTGTTCAGAAACAGCCCAGCTGTATTGTTATGATTATGTATTTGTATGTACTGTAATTTCACGGCAAGACCCTGAGGTTTGCCCAGACTCACAACAAGCGTCCGGGCAAACCATGATGGTGGTGATGCTGATGCTGATGCTGATGCTGATGATGATGATGATGATGATCATGCTGATGATGATGATGATGATGATCATGCTGATGATCATGCTGATGATGATGATGATGATGATGATGATGATTCTTATTATGATGCTCATGATGCTCTTGCTGCCCATGATGCTCATGATGCTCATGATGCTCTTGATGCTAATGATGCTAATGATGCTAATGACACTAATGACGCTAATGCCGCTAATGATGCCAATGATGGTGGTGGTGGTGGTGGTGGTGGTGGTGGTGGTGGTATGGTTTTATAATGTTTTATACTTGTTCCATGGGGGCCGGATTTGTTCAATCTTCGCTGATTGCGATATGGTAAATTGTTCCGCGGGCTGGCATATGTTATATCTTATGTTAACCCTAAAAGAACAGCTAATTGCAATATGGTTTATTGTTACATGGCGGTGGAATATTTGAAATTTATGGCTGAAACCCAGAAGGATACCCTAATTTCACTATGTTTAATTGTCCCAAGGGGTCCGATGTTTTTAAATATCTTATGTAGATCCTCAAAGAAACTCCATTTCTCTATGGTTAATTGCTCTATGGGGTGGGAGATTTTATATCTTTTGCAAATCCTGAAAGAAACACTCATTGCGGTATGGTTACTTATTCCGTGGTCGAGTGGGAGATTTTATGTCTTGTGTAAACCTTAACAGAAGACCCTAGTTCTCTTGCCAAGCTGCAATACACTGCTCACTTTGTCAATTCGTCAGCACAATTTCATCTCTTTTCTTTGAGGTCGTTAAACATATATTGGTTTCGACGTTTTTTTTTGTTCTTGGGCAAACCCAAAAAGGGGGTCGCGGCTGTGTTTTCAACACCTCCTCAACGGTCCTTTTTGCTGATGTGGTTTTCATCCCCCCAGTCGCAGGTTACATCCTAGGAGTACTTCCTCGGAGTCGCCAACCAGGGTCCGGGACGTCCGGGACCTCCGCGACTTCGGAGAGACACCGAAACAGTCACCGAAACCGGTTTCGGGGAGAAAGGCAGGATTTTGGGTCCGATTTTTCAATCCTTATATTTTCAGTAATTGGTTGGATCTGTTTTTAAAGTATCACACTGCAGTGAATCCTGCTATGACTGTGAACTTAGTCTAAGAGGTGATAAGTTCATAGAGGACATTTATGAGTTATTGAATCCAGAATTATATTGTCCTGTTGTCACTTTGAATTCAGGGCATCCAAATTCCATCTTATCTGGCTTACAGCCTCATATCTTACTGTGTAAAAACAATATATCTAGAGCTTCACTCATCAGTTGGGATCCACTCCTATCCAGTTGGGGGTTCACCGTTAACCATGCCGTTTGTGGAGTGTGATGTGGTCCCCTCCATGATCGTTGAGGGCTGTTTCTTCCGAACGAAGGATGGCATTGGGATATAAGTAGTAAACAGTAAACTATTAGTGCACCATGGGATATGTATATATAATTATATATATAGCCATTATCCCACGGTTATAACATGTTACAACTATTTTCAGCTTCAGGAACTTTTTTGTAAAGCCGGTCTGAAGCATCAGAAACCTGTCAGGTCGCACAGTTTGTGGGTCTTCTTGGTCGGACCCTGCTCCATGAAGGACGATCCAAATGGGATTCCTTTGCACCGACACCCAAGTCTGAAAGATACGTTGTTTATACCGATATAGCCAGCAAATATATTCTGATATACTATGCATTAATATATTTATATATTATTATTTACATAATTTTAGATATTAGATATTTATGTTATATTTACCATAATACCTTTCATATTATATATTGATATACCGATATAGTAAATCTAAGGTTGGATGGATAAATATACAACCATCAGCAAAAGTAGCCCCGACAATGATTCAAGGCTATATTCAGGGCTTGTGGAAACACACGCAAACACGCAAGGGTCTATTCGCCAGCTATCATTGGGGTCACCTGGTCCTTGGGTTATTTAAATTCCCATCACAAATATTCAAATATGGAGGTTTCCTAAAATAGGGCTGCCCCGAATGGATGATTTACAATGGAACATCCTACTAAAATGGATGATTTGGGGTACCTTTATCATGAATCATATGAATCTTCATTCAGGCCATCATTTCAGCCTTAGGCTGTATCCTAGCCTGAACAAGGGTTCAGGCAAAAAAACAACCTGAGGGCGGAATCTGAGGGGGTCAGTTTTGTGAAGTGTGGCTGAAACCTGCTTGTCTGATGCGGTGTGCATTGCGGGAATCCCCGTGCCACTGACCACTCACAGAATGACAAGTACTGAGTTTTTTGTGGTGCTTCAAACCAGTCACGTCGTGAAACTGTTGACTGCGTGGCAGAAAAAATCACAACATAGGATATCAATGGATATCATAAAAGACCTGGGCCAAAACCCCTTCAGGCGGAAAAAAGACCTCGGGCAAAACAACCTGCAAAGGCAGGATTTCTGCCCAGGCAGAACATATGGAAACAGGCAGTTCTAGGTCTATGGAAAACATGTATTCAACATCCACATAGATTTAGAAATTTCTTGTTTCCGATGTGTTTTGGTTCTGAACTGTGACCCACCATTGGGGGCTGCGTGCTGAACCCAATGGGCTCCATCAAAATGATTTTTGGTCCACCAGGTCATGCTTTGGTAAATACCCTCTGTTCAACATACCAAAAAACTATGGAAAATCACCATTTTCAATTGGTAAATCCACTATAAATGGGCCATGTTCAATAGCTATGTAACAAATTACCAGAGGGTAGACCTAACCTAGACGGGCTCTTGAGATAAGATTTATTTGGAAGGGGTGAAGTAGAGTAACTAGTGATCTATGAATGTCTTGTGTTTTTTTATAAAGCGACATGCTGATTTGAGAGAGACGAGAGTTGAACAGCTAACAGACGGGCAAATATAATCATATGTACATATTTATTTATACTCTCTTAGAATATGATATTATAATGCCAACAATAATGTTATGTATATATATATATATATTAAGTCAACGTATTTATGGTCATTTTTTTCCGTCCAAAGAATTTAAGAATAAACAACGGAACAGCTTTCTATGCAGATTTCCACAGACTTTGTCCGTGTACACCGATCAATTCCGTCAAGCTTTTCTGAGCCGCCCATCCAGTGTTTGCTGCCCTTTGGTGAACTGAGACATATCATGACATATCTTAAAATAGTTTAAGATGCCTCAAATCCAAAAAAACTGCACTTTTACATAGTTTGACCCTCTGGTAAACGTTTACATAGCTGTGGGAAACCACCATTTTTTTAATGGATAAATCAAGTATTTCTATGGGCGATGTTCAATGATATCTGGGATGATGGGATTCAAATCATGGGGGGATTCTAACATATTCTAACCATCTGTTGGATCCCCAGGAGTTTAACGCACATCTCTGGAATTTTGGTCGCCATGGGGCGGTGCGTTGCTTGGCGCGATGAATTTTCATCACTTTCGTTTTTTGGTGAATCTCCCGAAAGTTGACCCGGAAAGCCCCATTGAATCAATGGGAACATCTACGGTTTCCGGAGTTTCCGATGAAGACTTTCCCAGCAATCCAAAGATCTATGGTAAATATATGTAAATATATCTGACTTTTTTGGACTGGATATGTGTGATGTACCTTCTGGACATTTAAGGTATGGAATGTCACCATTAACAAAAAGAACATCAGTAGTAAACCATCATGAATCTTCTATCAATGGGCCATTGTTGATGGGAATGGGTATAATGGCTGGAACCAGCCAAAAAACATGGGAATAATTTGGATATCATCCATTAAAGTATGATGGGATATATAACCAACTGTTGATTGGTTTGGAGTCATTTGAGTCGGTTCACTACCTGCTGATTGGGGATTATGAACTAACCCATTTGAGGGAAACCCATTAACGGACTAGAAAGAGATGGAATAGGGGTATTTTAAATGGCTCGCATATCAATTTGGGAAGGTTTTCTTTTAAGAAACTCACAAAACTACGTCAACAGTCAACATTCACATGTCTGAAAATGGTTTCAAAGAATGAAGGCCGTTCATTTCAAAGCCCAGTGGAGGTTGTTGAGTGGCTGAAATGTGACGTCATTTCCGATGGGTTTTAAGGCTTTAGTTGACCAGGAATCGACTTGACATAGCTGGTTTCTGCTTCGGTCTCGAGTTCGAGTTTCTTTCATGGTGAGACCGTGGGTCTCCCCTTGTTTACCCTCTGGTTTCTACATACAAAAAAATATGGAAAATCACCATGATCCACCATTTTTAATGGGAAAATCAACTATTTCTATGGCCATGGCTTCAATAGCGAACTGTAACAGTCATTACCAGGCCGGGTAGTGTCCACCTCGTGGTTTGCTGAGTTGATCTTAGAGCGCTGGTGGATTTAGGGATTGCACAATCCCGCTTAAGTGCTTGTCATACATATAATATCACATATGGATGTGGGTCAAAATGGAAGACCGATGTGGGACCACAGATGTTAGTCTAGTTTAGTATTAACCATCCAATTATTGGGGTACCTAATTTTGACCCATACCCATATGATTATATACTATGGCCCATAGTACATGGCATTTACTTGGCATTTACTTGGCTAATATCGCCACTTTGTTTTTTGCCACGTAGCATACGTAGCTCTTTGCGAAGGGCGTCTCGTAACACAGCACCACCGGGTCGAGTCAACGGTAGATAGATGAATATATATATACATATATTATATATATATATGTATTATACATACGTATATATATATATATATACCCTCTGGTTATTTAACATAGCCATGGAAAATCACCATTTTTAATAGGTAAACCATCTATAAATGTGCCATGTTCCATGGCTATGTTAAATATCCAGATGATATATATATATATATCTAAAATACATGTATCATATATAATGGATTATGTATACACAAACATGTTGACCTACATTCGCATTTTTTTAAGATCACGAGATATCTAGAAATATCATGAACATTCACCTTTTCGAGTCTAGCATCAGTCCTGCTTTGTCCAAATCGCACGACCTGAACTTGAAAAATCCTGGTCCCTCCATGATATCCCAATACACTTTATCTATTGGATTCAAGATCATCCCCAAACAAACAACTACAATAAAAACATTGCCCAAGATTATCGTCCCCAATTAATGGTTTTCATATTGTTTATGTAATAGTCAGTAAGATCGTCCCCAACGTATTAACTACCAACCAACCCACTATGATAATCAACCAACAGGGATTTTGTTTCTGCATTTAGAGACCATGCCAGGCCCAAAAAACGCCACCTTTTTAGTACTCTGATTCATGGGCTCTCATGAAACATTGGGACCGTGGATATTTTGAAGATATCCCACTGGATATCCATTCGGAATGTTCCGCCATTAACATTTCCCTATCCACTGGAAATGGATGTTCCCTTTGGGTAAGGCTAAGCCAAGCCACCGAGCCATGATCAAAGCCCTGGAAGCTGAATTTTTGTCAAGTGGCGCCACATTGAAACTATGAAGATTGTTGATTTAAGTCCCGTTTTCATGGCTACCAACATTTTGTTGTTACAGTAAAATAAGTGATATTTTTGTTCGTGACAGTTTTTGTGTTTGTTTCCAGATGCTATTTAAGCGTCTTTTCTACCAGTCGACCCGGTTGCATGGATTCGTTACATAAATCTTAGCCTCAGGTAGTACATGTCCCAGCTGGCAGCCTGAAAGGCCAAGATTGCCAAGTTCGTAAGAGTAAAACAGCGAAAACACAAGTAAACAGAAGCAAATCTAAAGGCACATCAACATACGAAAGAAAAAAAACAACCCAAACACAATTGAAACACATAAGCAAACAATCAAAAGGCGACAAACAGCAGAGCAAAAAGATGAACAATGGAAGAAAGACCCGCATACAAGTACACAACACAAGAAAAAAAACAAGACAAATGCAACAAAAAAACAACTAAAAGAAAACAGCAACAACAACAAGAATTAGAAGAAGAACAAAATCAAGTAAAACCAATCAATTTGAAAGACACAAAAACGTTGCCGTCGAATCGAGGTAGAGATGTGAATTCTGCATTGGCACTCACGAGCACAGCTGCTGGGACCGATTCAGCGCTTGATGTAATTGTGATAGGGTGAGAACCATATTAATGTTCATTATATACAATTATACTGTTTAGTATGTATAAAATATCGTATAGCATATGATATGATACTCTATAATAATATATGCAATATTATATGTTATATCATATCATATCAGATTATCACATTACATAACATATCATAATTTAATATGATATAATATAGTAATATGATATACAATATTATAGTATAAATTAATTTAATATAGTACAATATACATATGTATTATGTATAATATGTAACATACAATAATTGCAATATATGTTGTATAATACATAGTGATATATAGTAGTATAATGTATATTATTGTATATAATAATGTATAACACTATCAAATAATATGTAACCATGGACAATAATATACACTAATATATAATACTATATAATGATATACAATAATATCTAATAGTAATTTCATGATTCAACATATAATAATAATCATCATAATAATAATAATATATATATATATATATTAATGTCTAATGAATAATGATACATAATATTACATAGGTGTGTTTTTCAATACAGATATAATATTATATATATACATATACATAGTATATACATACTATCTAATTATTATACATATATAGTATCTAATTGTTCAATAACTACAATATAATATACAATATTCAATATATATTATTTAATATATGATATAATATTTAATATATAATATGTGATATATTTAACAATAAATATATAATATATAATATATAATATACAATATATATAATATGTGATAATATATATATAATATAATATATAATATATAATATTTAATATACAATATATAATCTTTATTATATAATATACAATATATATAATATGTGATATATAATATTTATATATATAGTATGTGATATATAATTAAACATAATATAATATATATAATATATTATATATAACATATAGTAGATGATCTATTTTAAATCATATTATATATCATAAATATACATAAATGATAATTGATATATTATATTAAATATGGAATACATATTTATAAATACATTATATACAGTAATTTATTTTACTATAAACACAATATACGATATTATAATGTATTGCAATGAAATGTAATGTAATGTATGATTATATCTCTAATATGATATATGTATATGTGTACGAGCGGTATTTTCAATGCGTGCAATGGGTTATTTAATTAACGCTGATATATGGCAATGCTTGGGCTTTGTCTGAAAATGGTGTCAGCGTCCATCCGTCCATCTGTTGAATGGGATTTTTAGGTTCCCATGATCTTTGTCCAAGACTCGCATTATAGATTTGGGAAACTGTTGCCGGAAATGTTCAGAACGGTCAAACCGACCATCAACTGTTCTTCAACTCTCAACTATTTATATGGTAGGTTTGAAGATATTATCAACTAATACCAGGTGATATCAACTGAAATCGTGGATCATATACTTATGGATAATATATGATAATATCTAAGTTATCAACTAGTATCAAGAAATGGTCAGCTCAAATCAGGTGCTACCTCTGGTAAACTAACATAACTATGGAAAATCACCATTTTTAATGGGAAAACTCACTATAAATGGCCATTTTCAATAGCTATGTTAAATTACCAGAGGGTAAATCTCAGCAATTTCCGGGTGCTAAATCTTTGCAGGTTTTGGGAGCAGGAGGCTGCGGTAAAGTCTTTTTAGCCAACAAGTGGCCGCTCGGCACCGGTGACGACCGTCGTCTGCGGCAGATGCGAAGATGGGATGATTTTTAACGATCAAAGCACGAAAACGAGGGATTTTTGACGGTTGGAAATTCTGTGTTTACTATCACCAATTGCGGGATATATATCATTGAAATATGGGTAAACCAACTAGAGAGAGTTCGGTAGTTCAAGAAATCTTCTACCAGAAATGAGTTTAGTGACGATGTTTTCAACTATCCATATTCCATCTACTCCAGGATTACTATATTACACAATCTTCACCAGCTAGGAAAAAACACGTTTGCAGGGTATCTAGGATTGGTCATGTCACCAATGGGAGTATGACCAAAATTGGGACTGGGTGCATTCCCTGCCGATGGTGATGGAAGTAGGCTTTCAGTACCAACTGATGAAAACATGTGAATCCCAAGCGGAATAAGCGAGTACCCTTGCTCGCGAGGGGGAAGCGTCCCAAACATAGCCTTTGAAACTGCAGATTTGAAACAATAAAAATTCGGCCAGAGACACAGTTGCACAGCCATGGTCAGTTTTCTGTGGTTTTTGTTTCCCCTTTTTGGTGGCGGTTAGAAGAGTTTTAAACAGTTTCCCTCCTTCAATTCCGTGAAATGATGTGAAATGCCAATTGCTGACGAAAGGAGGAAAGGCTATATAAATACCATCGACTATCCATGATTAAAGTAAGAATAGCCTGGTGTTACCCATTCATCAGATTAAAGTAATAGCCATATAATTATATATAACCCATATATATATAATTTATAAATTATCACCCACATATATATATATATAGATATACATAATTGATATATATATATATATATACATATAATTGTATACATACAAATTATCACCCATAGCTATTTAGATATTCGTCACATAGCCAGACGATGCTCCCAGCTCTGAGGGATGCCACCGGAGTGCCTCGGAATGACTGGGGGTTTTTGGGGTTTATCCCATCCCAGGTTGGACCCTGGGTATGTTCAAAGGCATGGCAAAGGTATGTTCAACCCATAGGAAAACCATAGGAAAATGGTGATTTAATGGGTTTTAATGGGATTTAATGGTGATTTAATGGAGATACCCTCTGGTTATGTCAACAGTTTGCGAACTTGAAGCCATGACCCAGTCGAAATTCAGTGGATTTTCCCACTGATAGCAGGGTGGATCTGTCCATTGTTGTGTTAGCCCGTTTACCAGAGGCTACTATAAACGTTATAAGCAGTCCCATTTTTGGCATGATGTAAATCTTTTAGATGATTTTAGCGATGATGCGTACTATTATACTCCAAGTCCCTTATTAGGACCTTCGAAAGAAGTGGCAAGAAATATGCGCAAAATATGCGAAAGTCCCCCCCGCACCATGGGGAAGGGGTTGGCATACCAAACTGGCCGAATCCTCCGAGGTGAATGATGCTGGCACAAGTTTGGTTTTGTTTTTGTGATAAATTCTCCAGATGAATCTGAGAGAGAGATATAAATATATACATATCCTGTTGGTGGTTTGGAACATGTTTTTTTTTCTCCATATATTGGGCATGTCATTCTCCCAACTGACGAAGTCCATCATTTTTCAGAGGGGTAGGTCAACCACCAACCAGATTATTATTAACCATCATTAAGCATATAATAACCAGTAATAACCATCATCATTAACAGTATATTAACAGTATATTACCCACAATGGTAGGTCAACCAGCAACCATTTATCCAAGTTATCCAATGTCAGACTGCAAAAAATGGTTCAGATCCATCACCTTTTGTCAAGTTCTCCAACATCTTTTGTCAGGTTTTTGTCGAATGTGGAGATGAAAAGCCACATTAATGTTAGTATATATCATAATGTCTATTCAGATATATGATATATAGAGTATTATAGAGTTATATGGCTATGTATCAAAGAAGCCATCAAAAACCAGGTCTTGGGAAATTCACCTCGCCGAGGATTATATTGACAGCAATCTCGCGGTCAAAGAGCTGTTGCCAAAAGGCAAACCGGTAGAATGCACCCTGAGGCGCCGAAGACGATGGGTGCAATGGGATGTAGTGGAATATCACGGATTTATTGGGATAATCATAAGATAAATCATGGGATAGTCATACGATAATCATCGGATAAAGACGGAATTTTCCATGAGATTACGACGTCTGGTCATTGTATAGATGGTTTACCAAGGTACCGACCTACCGAAAAAGAAACATGCTGATTTTCGCTATTTTGAATTGCCAGAGGGTAGAAAGTTATAGCGATTCTTGTTTAGGGATGATTTTATCTCATCTGGTTGGTGGTTTGGAACATTTTTTATTTTTCCATAATATATGGGAAGAATCATCCCAACTGACGAACTCCATCACTTTTCAGAGGGGTAGGTCAACCACCAACCAGTCATGGATTGATTGAAGGCAACGTAGGAAACTTTGGAGAAGATGGGCTGCATCATCGATAGGAAGGTTGTCGAAGTTCATTCATCACATCTGAATTCATCGTTCATCAATGACTGATTAATTATAAGTTTGTAGAGCTTCCATTTATAAATATTACGTTTTTTTATCATAATAATTGACCCACCATGACTCAAAAAAAATAATCATTAATCATAGCTCATCATCATGACACTGATTATGACGCATGTAGTTCTCATGATGTTTGTTTCAAGCCAGAGTTTGCCTAAAGAAATATGGTTACCGCTGATTTTGGTGAATTACAACAGCTATACCACTGGTTTCCCATATTTTCTCCCACAGATGTTTGTCCCACATATGTTTTCCAATAAGATAGCTTTCCTATGGGGGTTTCCATCAATGGGGGTACCCCAAGCTCGCTGGATAGTTTATTTCATGGAAAATCCCATCTAGAAATGGATGAGAACTGGGGCATCCCAATTGCAGGAACCCCCCATCCCACAGTTTTCCAATAAAATACTGGAATAGCTTTCCCCATATCTTTCCCACGTGTTTCCCCATATCTTTCCCACATGTTTCCATATCTGGTTGGTGGTTTGGAACATGGCTTTTATTTTGCATTCAGTTGGGAATGTCATCATCCCAACTGACGAACTCCATCATTTTTCAGAGGGGTAGGTCTAGTGGTACCATTATCATCACATTGGTACCATTACCAATCATTATAGTTATATACCATGATAATATGGCAATTATATCCCAATGATTATATAATGGCAATGATTGATAATCAAACATAGATATTGAAGAATGGGACAATGATTGGATAATATCTGGATATTACCAATCATTATAGTGATATATGATAATGTGGTGTTCCATATGTTAACCAGCCATTTATAAACCATTTACTCACCATATATGTACAACCATTTACTAACCATTTATTAACCACCAACCAGATATCTTTCCCCAAACAAATCCATGGCCTGGCCGCAGGACAGAGATCGAATTCCTGGCTGCTGCCCAAGGTCATCCAAACGTTGACGCTCGGGCGAAGCAGCGCAGCGCAGCGAACGAAGCCCGGGGTGAAGGGCGGTGGTGAATTTTCATGGTGACTTAATGGTGATTTAATAGGGATATGAATGGATTTTCATGGATATGAATGGGGATATATATATATTTAGTGGTGATTTCATGGTGATTTGATGGATTTTAATGGCGTTTAATGGTGATTTAATGGTGTTTAATGGTGATTTAATGGTGATTTAATGGGATATGATTGGGATATGAATGGGATTGAATGGTAATATGATCAATGGGATTGGATATTCATGTGGCTAAAAGAATGCCATAAAGCACCCATTTGGGAATGGTAAGCATACCACCTATAAAAATGGTGATGACTGGGGGATGGTTGATTATTGTTTTAACCACATTACAGGGGAATTTCTATGGGAAATTCGAGATGGTTTGTTGTTAGATAGTATGTTTTAGAACATTAGGATTTTGTCTGATGTTGTAACCATATACCGTATACCGATATGGGACATTCTAAAACATCTATAAATGGGTTACGGTTACTCTAATGGTATATGATGAGGATATAATAAAGATTGAATAAACACACCATTTGATCATTGGTTGAGGCTTTTCGGTGTTTTTTCTCTGGGAAATCCCATGGGAAGAGCCATCTGGTAAGAACTATGGGATTTTCACGGAATCTTGATGAACTTTGGGGTCTTATGATTCAACGGATTGGTTTTTGCGCCAAAAAACCATGGCTTTCACCATGGTTTTTACCACGTGGTTTTTTTAACCATGGTGTCCTGCACATGGGGACCCTTCAACCAAGTCTGGGAACCCTCCGGCAGACGATATGTGGTTATGGGAAAAAGAATTGAACTGAATGGGCCATGGCTTTCATGGTTATATGATATAATATAATATGATATAATATAATAAAAAATAACAATAATTATTTTTAATGTTGGCTGCCTAATAGTAATTACCCCCCCCTATTTTTTTTTTGGGGGGGGGGTCAACCTTCCTATAATTTTTGGGAACCTTATAGCTGGGATCATGATATGTATCTGATAGATTCTCCATGTCCAGCAATGCCCACTGCGCGCAGAAGCTGGCGAAGAGATTGGCGAAGAGTTGGCAAGGCAGAAGTGGACATGGAAGTGGGGGCAGAGGTGGTGGAGGCGAAGGAGGAGGACGAGGAGGAGGAGGAGAAGGAGAAGAAGGAGAAGGAGAAGGAGAAGGAGGACAACAAAATTGGAGTTGCGGAAAAAAGTTTCCACTATTGCCATGCCTGGTGCAGGTTTGTTATTGCTACTCTGGGGCTTGCAAAGGGGGTACCCTTTGTGGACCTGTTTTCTTGCTTGTTTTAATAAGGGTTTTATAAGGAAATCAGCTGTTTGGTAATTGGATCAGATTTCTGGAATCTAAGCTTTTGCTAATCAAAAGTGAAGGCTGCTTTGAAAAGGATTTGCTTTACTTGACTCTTTTGGCAATACTAAAAGTAAATAGAGCTAATTGACTTTTAGTATTGGGGGAAAAAATTGGAGTTGGGAAAAAAGTTTCCACTATTGCCATGTTGGGTCCACTATTGGCCATGCCCTGTGGACAAGGTCTGAACATGACTCTTTTGGCAATATTAAAAGTAAACGGAGCTAATTGACTTTTAGTATTGGAGAAAAATTGGAGTTGCGGAAAAATGTTTCTACTATTGACAAGATATCACTATTGGCTAGACAACATTATCTATATGTTTATATATATATATATATACATTAGTTTACAGGAGAGTAGCCAGGGATCATTTATAGTACATAATCTCGCGGTTTCAAGCATTAAACAAACAGTCACAGTCATGGTTGGTCGCTAGGGATTCAATTACCGGCGGGGACGGAAACCGTCCTAGTCCTTGAGGAACCGATTTATTGGAGGTACCTACCATATATAAGGCCTAACCACTTGTGGTGGCAACTCCTCAGCCCCTATCTGAGAACGGCTGGCAACGTCATCAGCACCTACTACGCGGAAGATCCTGAGGTGTATTTCAAGAAACAAAGGAACAATAGGCACTTGGACTTCCATGAGTTGGGATACCCTCAAAGTGGGGGACGGCCTCACCCGCATTTGCTATGGCCCTTGTGTGCCCAGAGCTTCGCTACCTGTCTCACGATGTGAGGCATCGGGTTCTCGAAGTTTGGCTGTGGCGTGCCACAACATCTCAGTGTTGGCTCGAGTCAAAGACCTTTGTGGAGTCATTGACACAGACGATTTGCAAGTTGATCCATACAGGATGGTTCTTGCAGCTCCCAATGGGCTTGAAAACGCTCGAGAGTTTGGAAGAGTTGCTGAAGATCCGTGAAGCATTCGTGGATAGATTGAGGAGTTCACGACTGGCTCCAGGGATCCAAGGGTACGTAATTCGGAATATCCCAGCAAAATATGGCCAAACATATGGTACCTGATCGTACCTCATCGTAGCTCCATTTTAGGGTCCTGAAATTCACATTTCTAGTTTTTGGGATGCCCATGAAATGGGATGGATGACCATCCTGCACATGGCAACGATTCTCGTTGCAGAAGAAACGTTGAATTCCATCGAGCTAGTCCTGATTATATCTTTATATATATATAATTATATATATATACACATTCATATACTGTATACATGTGTACACCATGTTTTGACATGTTTTGACCCTAGAACACATATATATATATATATACAATAAATGATGGCGACCTCAATGTGACATCACTGCAAATGATGGTCGATAAGGGAAACTCCCTCAACATGGCTTTATGTGATGTAAGGTCAGGTTGGTGCATGATCTATACATCACTATTCATCCAGATGTATCAATCTCGAATTTGCTGATTTGGGACATCCCAAACATACCTGGTTGGTGGTTTGGAACATGAATTTTATCACTTTCCACTTAGTTGGGAATGTCATAATCCCAACTGACGAAGTCATATTTTTCAGAGGGGTAGGTCAAGCACCAACCAGATATGTTTCCCACGTACCCTCTGGTAATTTGTTACAGTTCGCTATTGAAGCCATGGCCATAGAAATAGTTGATTTACCTATTAACAATTGTGATTTTCCATGGTTTTTTGTATGTTTACCAGAGGGTATTTTTCCTATAAAGATCTATAAAGTAACTGGTTCAAATTCCCCATTCAATGGTCAAATCCTATAAATCCATGTAACATCCATATAAATGACATGTTCCATGACCATCTGCTTCCGGGATTCAACGGCCTGTGAAATCTTGAAATCTGGCGGCCTGGGCCACTGGAACTCAATTCATGGATTGTTATTACCCATGACGGATCCATGGTGCTGCTATATATGCTAACATGACTGGGGTATATTGATGGGATCCATGTTACCATATATAGCATATAAGTTGGTTAACAAAAGCCCCAGTAACTATAGTTATTTGCGTACCATAAACATAGTTATTGGAGTTATAAACCAACTTAGCTATCTTGGGGGCCTCACATTGCATGATATATATATATATATTTTGGAAAAACTATTGAAAATGGCCATGAAAATAGTGGATTTACCCATTATATCCATGGTGATTATCCAACTGATCATTGATATACTGGTTGGTGGTTTGGAACCATGTAATTTTATAACTTTCCAGAAACAGTTGGGAATGTCATCATCCCAACTGACTTTCACTCCATTTTTCAGAGGGGTAGGTATACCACCAACCAGATAATGATATATGATATATATATATATCTATATTAAATATATATATATATCTATATTAAATATATATATATATATAATGATCTGGTATGAAACCCGAATCCTGGCATTTATGGCCCAAGTCCCTACAACTTTTTGCGGATCCAACATGCATACCCAAGCCCAGAGACCCTGAATAGTGTTGTGTTAGAGGTGGTTAGGTTAAATATGGTTAAATATATATATATATATGTCTAGACACAAGCTACTACATAGAGATCCCCATGAATAAAACAAGAACACAGATCCAGTAGCTATCCAAATAGGCTATGCACGCCCTGCTATCCTCATCGAATGGGCCCAGTTTCATTCAGATCCATGGGAATTTGAGAGTGGTCAAAATCGTTTCGATTCAGTGTGTCAACTATGTTAAATCATACAATGTGAGGCCCCCCAGTTATAAGTTGGTTTATAAGTTCCAGTAACTATAGTTATAAGTACCATAAACCATATAGATTCGAGATTTTGCGACATTGAAAACACCGTTTAGATCCTTTTCCAAGCTACAAATGACTACGATCTGATCCGAGTACCTTCATTTTGCAACACTTCCTAGGCGATTCTACACGGAGTCTTCCATCAAATCGACAGCGGGGACAGCGAGAATGTTTTCAAGGCAGATGGTGAAGTCTAGAAGTCTCTCATGGTGCACAAGCCAAAGATATAAAGATCTAGCAGCAGGGTATCACATATACATGATCATATCATATATGTATATTTTAGATGGACGTCTCAGCGAGCTTACATGTTGTGGCTGGAATTCATTCAACATGTTCCAATATATATATATATACACATATGTATATATATATATATGTAGCAGGAGTAGCATCACCAGCGCATGTTTTTCACATTCTTGGCATAGGCTCCAGGCAGTCCTGAAGAGGTCATGACCCAGGACAAGGACGTTGATAGGGCCCGGGGCGAGACGTTGAGGGCCCTACGTTGAAAATCCGCCATATTTTTCATGGGAAAAATCACGAACTAAATTGTGATAATATAGGAAAATTATGAATTACATAATACATGATTATAGGATAATCATGAATGATAGATAATGATAGAGAATGATGTATATATATATATTCATATTTATAATTATATTGATAAATATAATGATAATAATGAAGACAATCACAATCATGAATGATAGAACATGAATGATAGATGATGAATAATAATGATAGACAATGATATACAATGATAATTATAATGATAATTATAATGAACCATAATGATATATACCTATATCGTAGATAATGATAATCGTAAAAAATGATAATGATAAATATATATATATATATTAATAGAATGATAGGCAATGATAAACATAAAATACAGCCGGTTCTTGTTTTCCGGTGGACAGTTTTAGCAACAAATCTGCCTTTTTTGTTGCTTGACATGTGGTGCAGCGATTGAAGTGTAGGGGTTGGGTCCAGAAACATGAGGCTAGTACTTACCCAGGAAATCCATGGTTGATCATCCTTTTCCCATGGAAATATGTTGTTTTTAGGTATCTTACATCCTGGCAGTCAATGTCCATCAGCACAAATTATGTACCAACTGTATCTACTGACTACAATCCATTCTGCACCACTTGAGCCATGGAATATACTGTTGGTAGTTATCATACTGGCTTATTATACTACATGGGTTGATAGTGATTGTGAACTAGTTTAGTTTTTAATGCCTATCTGGGTTCGATGACTACATCATAGGTTTTGGATTGGTTTTTGGAACCACTATTTTGAATTGGTTTTTGGAACTAACTAGATAAAGATGCTAATTTCAGTAGGTGCTACGAATTTCACCCTCTGGTCATTTAACATAACTATGGCAAATCACTATTTTTTAATGGGAACAATCACTATAAATGGTGATTTTCCATAGTTATGTTAAACTACCAGAGGGTAACATCAACTAACGATCAACCATGCACGATCTCCGATTTTCAGCCACCGCCTCTTGAGGAAGTCGGGCGAGATCGCTGGTCCCTGGGCAAAAACCATCCTGGAAACACTTTCTTTGGCATTTTTTTGGGGAGTTACCCTCTGGTGAACTAACATAGCAATTGAAAATGGCCATTTATAGTGGATTTTCCCATTAAAAATGGTGATTTTCCATTGCTAATTATGTTAGTTCACCAGAGGGTACCACAAGATGATCATGAATTATCATGCTATGTTGACAAATGTTGACCATGTGTCAAATGTGTCAACTATAAATATCCTGATGATTCTGCTAGATTGGCCCGAAAACAGCTTTGTTAACTGGTGAAAGCATTACTTGGAGCATGACCAACCACCTCAATGGGCTTTATTTGGTCAAACTGTTTTTGTTTTTTTTTCGCCCAGAAATTCGGATTGGTGCTTCATAATTAGTCATGTTTAGGCATTGATGGTTATATATGGTTATATTAATGCTTTATATATGGTTATAGATATGATTATATAAATTACAAAAGTTGTATAAATTGTATAAATTATACCCTCTGGTAAACAGCCACATAACTATAGAAAGATCCACCATGCTATCAATGGGAAAATCCACTATAAATGGTCATTTTCAATAGCTATGTTAAATTGCCAGAGGGTATGTTCTGATGTTTATAAGCTTTGAAAATCATCACTGGGATTTCTGGGATCTCCACCATGTCCAAAGAGAACGGTGGAACTTCCAAGCGCGCTGTTCAGCTTGGATGCTTTATACCCTCCTGTAATCAAACATGGCAACTGGAAATCCATGGAAATCCACTCTAAATGCAACTTTGTAGCTGGGAAAATTGGGAAAATCAACCATAAATTGGTGATTTTCCAGCTAAAGAAACGTTTGATTACCGGAGAGTAGTACTTTATAGCAGCCATGAATAAATGGTAAAATTGAGCCATAAAAAATGGTAAAATTGGGGCTGGTGGATTTTGTTTTAACAATATTAGGTCAAACACCGGTTTGTTATGATCTAGCCGAATTTTGACCCATCGGAATATGACTTTGCTCGAAATTGAGGTACCCCATTCCATTTATTCGTGAATCATTGTTCTTCATGAAATTGCCATCAAACCTGGTAATTGAATGTATCTATTTTTTTGGATTTGTATTATATCCAATGTATTCCATATGTTTTCCATCCCTTTACATTTAATATATATATATATAATCCATATTTGTTCAATCCCTTCGCTGGGATAAAGGCACCATTTTAAGACACCGCGGCCTAAGGTTTATCGCTTTACAGCTCTACACCAGTGGAGACCTGTTTGAACGAGTGCCACTCGCCACAACCAACGGCTTGGGTTTGGTGAAGAGGAATTCATCAATGAGGACAAGTTTGGCTTTTAAATGGGTACTGTTAGTATCTAGGTTCGGCTGTGATATGTATGCATGCATTCCTAGATGTGTGTATATATATATATATATGTAGATGTGCTCATATAATGAAAACAATAAACATTATGAATATTGTGATAAACATGCATAATGATAATATATATATATATGTATACTTACGTGTATGTATTATTGTGCATATTGTATACATGTGTGTTAATGTATTCAATTGATAGTGATCCAAATATCAACTCTAAACATGGGAGCACCCTTGTTTGTTTTGTCGTAGCTGGGCCACCAACCAGTAACGCGGGGGACAGTGTGATGTCAAGTTTGCCAAATTTGAAATTATACTAGTGAATTACTGTAAGTTATATGTATGTATATGTATGTATGTATGTTTATATGTATGTATATATATATATATACATCATATGATATGTTGATTGTTTGACATGTAGATACGTTGTGGATCTTCTGATTTTATTCACCAGTTTTCCAATATTTAGATGATGATATTCATCTAGAAACTTGGCAAAACAACATGCCTGACATTTCAATTTAAGGCTGCCTGAAACACATCTTAGGGAACAGCCGAGTCGTTCATGGTTTCCACGAGATTTTCACAAACGATTTCAACCGCTACATGGAGGAAAGACATCATATGAGAATGAGTCAAGACCTGCAAAACCTTGTCTTTGTCGGAACATATGTCACCTTGCATGATTTTGCCGTGAAAAAATCTGGCACCAGATTTTGACCCATAGCCTTCCACTAAACAAGATGAGTTGTTTCAAGTGGTGTGGAAAACTGACCCGTTAAGCCACATCTCCCAGTGCTCATCCAACATAGCTGGATGCCCCCGATGTTTGGAAAAGATGGCTACACATCCACTATTAAAATTACTTTACTTCGTGTGATCCCCACCATGACATTTATACATTTTCTTACTGGCAAATCTTCTGGCATTCTATCTGACATATCTTCTGGCATTCTATCTGACATATTATCTGGCATATCTTCTGGCATATGATCTGGCATATCTTCTGGCATATCTTCTGGCATTCTATCTGGCAAATCTTCTGGCATTCTATCTGGCATATCTTCTGGCACTCTATCTGACATATCTTCTGGCATTCTATCTGGCATATCTTCTGGCAAATATTCTGACATATCTTCTGGCATTCTATCTGACATATCTTCTGGCATATATTCTGACATATCTTCTGGCATATCTTCTGGCATATCTTCTGGCATATCTTCTGACATATCTATCTGGCATATCTTCTGACATATCTATCTGGCATATCTTCTGGCATATTTTCTGGCATTCTATCTGGCAAATCTTCTGGCATTCTATCTGGCATATCTTCTGGCATATATTCTGACATATCTTCTGGCATTCTATCTGACATATCTTCTGGCATATCTTCTGACATTCTTTCTGACATTCTTTATAACTTTCTTCTGCACATTCTTTGTCCCATATCTTCCTACATGAGGTCCGGCAGGGAACACTGGGCGCGGATGGTCGCGGTTGAGGTCCGGCAGGGAACACTGAGCGCGGATGGTCGTGGTTGAGGTCCGGCAGGGAACACTGGGCGCGGATGGTCGTGGTTGAGGTCCGGCAGGGAACACTGGGCGTGGATGGTCGTGGTTGAGGTCCGGCAGAGAACACTGTGGATCGCGGGTCGCAGTTGAGCAAGGACGACGAGGACGACGAGGACGACGAGGAGGACGAGGAGGACGAGGAGGACGAGGAGGAGGAGGAGAGGAGGAGGAGGAGCAGGAGGAGGAGGAGCAGGAGGAGGAGGAGGCAACTGACATAAAATCTAACAACCCTCACCTGGCAGGTGGGGAAAAATGTGGTTGGTGAAAAAATCGCAATTTGTTGATGGCTAAATATGTGAATCCGACATTTTTTTGTATACACATCCATTTTCAAAGCATACTTGTATCGTATTGTTAGTCGTGTACCCCTTGATATCCCCACCATGCTTGCTGTTCATCAACATTTCTTTTGGATGAGGTTCCCCATGAAAATTTCTTCCATCTCTGCAGGTTTCAGTCCCCAAAGAGATCGACAAATCTTTCCAAGATGTCACTTATGATAGTATATCATGGTTTCCACCACCTGTTTAATACACTGTTTAAGAACTATTTGGGGTGGTCCAAAAAAACCTTTGTTTTGAGTTATATGCCCTTGTTATCTCCAAATGGTTATATCACGACCATAGTGTCTTGGTTTCAACATTCCTATCATATCCCATAAGAAACCATAATATATCATGATATCCAGATTATCTTGTCATTATATCCCATATGATGTACCCTTTTGTATATAAACTAACACAGATGTGGAAAATCCCATTTGTACCTCATTTTCCCAGGGAAACTGTGGGTTTTCATTGTTGTTTTCCGCATTTATGTTAGTTTTCCCCCAGGGTATATGGTACCCTACAGTAAATTAACATAGATGCCAGAGAGGGTTTGAAATTAGTTTCCACTGAGAATTGGTGATTTGCCAGTGTCCAACTCTTAATTTGTCCAGAGGGTACTTGTTTTTTTCTCTAAAAAACGGGGTACCCGCAGGTATCATGTCTAACATACCCATAGGATCCATGTATGGTATATTTACCTACAAAACTGGGTCATTTATGGGGTAAATGTTGGTAAATATTCCAGCACCATGGATCCGTCATGGGATATTTTCATGGATGTTCCATGACATAAATCATCCATTGGGACCCCCCTCCATGAAACGCATCGAAAGTTTTGGTGCGGCCGACGAGGCAGCGGAGCGGCCCCTTGAAGGAAGCCGAGTCAGCTCCTGGGACTTCATCCTCGGCCATGGTGAATGAACAATTTACCCGGCCTGGTAAACTAACAAAAAGGGCTTTATATGGGATTTATATGGGATTTATATGGGATATAATGGGAATTACCCTCTGGTAAACATACATAGATAGCTATTGAACATGGCCCAGTCGAAATAGTGGATTTACCCAGCTATAAAATGGTGGATCTTTCCATAGTTACTGTATGTACACGTTTACCAGAGGGTAAAAGAGGAAGGACGTATTGTACTTATATTATATATACTAATATTTGGTAGTATTATACTATACTAATATTTAAACTGGGAAGGAAGGATTATGTACTAATATTATCTAATGTTATGGTAGTATTTCACCAAATATTATAGACTATACGAATGAGATTGATCTAATGATGGTGAATGAATAATTTAAAAATGGGAAGGAAGTATGTTGTACTAATGGGGGTAAAACAATGCCATTATCCACCCATGACTGGGAATGGTTTATACTAGTTTATACCACCAATTGTGATAATTTGGGGGATGGTTTATTATTGTTTTGCCCACATGATACTATAGTAATGTACTATGTACTATTCTTGGTAGTATTATACAAATGACATCTAATGATAATGACTATTGCTATGAAATTTAATCTATTTTCAGGTGAATTGTGATATACATGATACTGCAGAAAATGGAGAGGACACCCATCAATGATGCGGATTTATCCACCATTAAAAAAAACAAAAACGTGGGGGGGGGGGTACTTTTTTTTCCCATCAATGACAAGGATTCTGAACATATGAGATAATCTTCTATAACTGGTTGGTGGTTTGGAACATGAATTTTATGACTTTCCATTCAGTTGGGAATGTCATAATCCCATCTGACGAACTCATATTTTTCAGAGGGGTAGGTCAACCACCAACCAGATAACTACATATTATTTTCCATGTGCTGCGAGATTTTCATTATTGGTTACCACATCAAACATATTCAAACATTAGAGCCTACATACTCAAATGATAGGTTGGAACTCGGACAAGAAGTGTAATCTAGACGGTCGTGAAGTGATCATTCTTGTCCCAAAAAAACAGTTGCCATCAGTTGCCCATGTTTTTCATTCCTATTCCCATGTTTGTTGCTTATATCCTGCCGTTTGTTGCTCAGCCGTTTTCGGCTCAGCCAACGCACGCGGCGTTCACTGCGAAGACGAGAGGCCGGACCAATAGGTGGGAGAGATAGACAGACAGATAGATAGAGAGATGGTCAAATAGATAAATAGATGGATGGATGGATGGCTGGATAGAGAGAGAGAGAGCGAGACAAAAATCAATGGATTTATCTGGTGAGGGTAGTAGGTGGTAGGCCAATTTGGCCTTGGTATTTTATGTGAGAACTTCCTTGAAAAAAACTGGAGGTCTCCACAGGATGGTGCCCCCCAGTTATAAGTTGGTTTATAAACCCCATTAACTATAGTTATATCTGCCATAAACCATAGTTACTGGATGTTATTGGAGTTATAAACCAACTTAGCTAACTATGGGGCACCACCTTGCAAAAAACTCAAGGGTCGTCATCGGATCGCAGGCGTTCCTTGGCAACGCGATGCGCCGCGTTGCCGCTCTGATCGCGGCGGCGCCAGCGGTGGCCAGCGATGCGGCACTGCGTGGCTTGGTGCTGGAAGCCCTGAGAGAAGCCATGGAAAACCCATGGAAAACCCATGGAAAACCCACGGAAAACCCATGGAAAACCCATGGAAAACCCATGGAAAACCCATGGTTTACATGTTTTTTTTATAGCAACGAATACTGTATCATCTACAGATTGCAGGTATGTTCCCCTGGGGGGTTTATTGGGAAAGAATTTTTCACCACCCTGCGACGCAGTCCAGACAAATGAAGGAAACGTGTGCCTTTTCCAATTTCCAGCGTTGGTTGGCCAACCAGATGGGGGACATTTTTGTGATCAGCGAAAATGAGCATTTCAGCACACGAAACCATTTTTATATAATACTGCTTGGTGGTTTGGAACATTTTTTTCCATTCAGTTGGGAATAATCATCCCAACTGACTTTCATATTTTTCAGAGGGGTTGAAACCACTAACCAGTTATTATATAATATGTATATATATATGCAGGGTTTTAAAGAACTTATGGTTGTGGAGCTGACCAGTCAAAATGAGAAATTGACGACGTCATCTTTTTGGATGTCATCCAACCAACAAAAAACAAACAGGAATATGTCTTGTCGCGACCAAGTTGGGACGTCAGGTATGAGTCTAAAGGACCCCGCAGGGATAAAATCGGTCAACACCACCGTTTTGGGGTGCCATGTTTTCAGTTTTTACCACAAAAACTAAAGCATCGGTGTAAATTGCATTCCACATCATGGTCTGGTTCAAATCTAATTATCAGCCACGTTAAGCCATGATGGAAATGCCACGTTACCCCACGTTTTGGTAAGCCGAAAACACAATGCCACGTTTCACCAAAAAGGTTCCCCAGGTCGGTCCAGGACCTTTCTCTGCAGGTGGATTTTTCCGCCTGGCCCAGGACTGGTGGATTTGGAGACCTATCCCATTGACCACCTGACCTCTGAAATCTTGGCACCCTTGCAGCGGGAGTGGTTAGAGGCGGGAGTGGTTAGAGATTGGGAGAACTAGTGAGGTGAAACCGGTGGATGTTTCACAGATGTGAAACAGATGTGAAACGCATTTGTTCCAAAGTAGTGCTGGTACCTGGTACAGTAAATGAGTGCCACAAGGAATTGAATTGGTTGTACTACTCTACCTATTTATGTTCCCAGTTTCGCTGACGTGTTTCAGTGGAAAGTGATCAAGTGAAAGACTGGAACACTCCAACCGTTTGTTGGTTGTTGAAACACAATGTTAACCATTTTGTTAAGGGTGGGTTCGGATAAGGGCATCAGCTTGGACATTTCAGGTGTTCCGATGCTGGTCAAAATGTCCATCAGCACAGAACCAATGGGTTGAAAAAGCGACTTGCAGACTGTTCACATATCTGAAAGGTATTGGCTTTCAAACGTTGTGACTTTGGTAGTTGTAGTTGTACTTCTGAATGTGGATTGTCTGAAAATGGGGTATCCCATGGTATCTGCTGGTTGAAAATTTAAGACATCATTGCCAGCATCACACAACGGCCAGTTTTGTGGCATACCCCATTTTCAGACAAATCTGAATGTACACCATGGGGAGAACCCATACCACAATGAGGAGCGTTTAAAAAGTACAGGCTGCCGATGTTAGAGGTATCGTCTACTGTCAGCAGAGGTTTTCCTGGTGATGGTTGAGAATTTATCATATCTTTATTTGGTGAGGAATGGAGTCAACAAAAACAAAACAAAATCATAGTACCCCAAAAGCCCAAAAGATGGAACAGCAGTTTACTATTATCATTCCAAGAATCCGTTATTGTACAGTTTTGTTTTTATGGTTGCTGCGAGAAAACCATTTACTATTCCCATTTGCAACTACATCAGGACCATCAATCTGCCTCAAAAAATGTATGTTTCCAACAAGTTACAAAGATATTATTTTACTATATCCAGCGGTGAATGTATGGAGCGGTTTGGAACTAGGGGTATCCATATCCCCAACAAAAAATGAGGAGCCTTTTTTTGAGCTACAAATAGAGCTTCCCAACCACACCCATTGGTTGGATTCTTTTTTTCGTTGTTTCTGGTTATTTCTCCCATAATATATATATATAATATAGTGATTTTCAATGGAATTCATGGATGATTTTATGGGATAGTGGAGGTATACTGTCACTTCTTAAGTTGTTGAAAAACTGTTTTCGGGTCACTTAAGGTGTAGAAAAATCATGAAATTCTTCTCCCAACGTCCCAACGCCCTTAGGGCGGCCGCGTGTCCTTGAAGGGCTTTCTGACGCCTGCGACGGTGACGCAAATGGTGGATGAAGTCAAGGACCGCTGGTTGGGATCTCCAGGGGTTCTAGCTGGCAGCTCCCAGCAGGCACTGAGTGGCTATGCCGCTTCAGAGTGGCTATAAAAAATGGCTATAATTAATGTATCAATATACTGGTTGGTGCTTTGGAACCATGGAATTTTATGACTTTCCAGAAACAGTTGGGAATAATAATGATCCCAATTGACGAACTCATATTTTTCAGAGGGGTTGAAACCACCAACCAGTATATGTGGTAGCCATTATCATCACATTGGATCCATTACCAATCATTATAGTTACATAATATGGTAATTATATCCCAATGCTTATATAATAGCGATGATTGATAATCTAACAGAGATATTGAATAATGGGACAATGATTGGATAATATCTGGATATCACCCTTTTGAATCTAGCATAGCTATTGAATCGAACATTGCATCTTTTCCCTTAAACAAACTAGCTATTTTAGTGGCTTAACCATGAAACATTGGGATTCAAGTGGGGAAAATGATGACACAATGGGGATGTAAAAATCATGGGGGTATTTTTTACTATGGGTGTGTCTGGAAATGGCTTTGTCTGAAAATTTATGGGTGCCCTAAATCTATCCATTTGTTTATCAACATCTTCCCTACTAAATGACCATCAATTGGGGGGGGGGGGCATTTTCAGACAAACCCAAATGCGGTATACGGTATACTCTCTGGTAATTTAACAGTTCGCTATTGAAAATGGTCAGTTATAGTCGATTTTCCCATTAACAATTGTGATTTTCCATAGTTTTTTGTATGTTTACCAGAGGGTATACGGGGATTAAATCACCAAATTGATCCAATTTATGCCATTCAAACGGGGAGGAAATGGAGTCCAAAATTCATGGGGAAATCGTTTTTAGTGGGGGTCGGGGATGGGTCAAAACCCACCGGTGGCATAGGGTGATCTTACTTCACCATGTCCCGGGTCAGCAAATGAGCAGGATGCCTTGAGTAGATAGTGCAAGTTACGATTTCGTGGTATCGGCTCGAAACCAACTTGTGTATATATATATATATATATGTTTTATTTTTACTATTATTGTATATATTATAAATTATATATATATACACGTACTATCATGCATATATATATATACACATACATGTTCAACTATTATTATTATATTGTTATTTCATTATTATAATTTATAATTATATATATATATATATATATATTAAGATATCCACACTATCATACACATCTATATGTGTGCGGGAACATCCATGAGTGAACTGACCCGCAAATGATGCTGGAAGCTGGAAGCTGCTTGAGTATTTATGCCCAGTGCCATGATCCACCATAGCTATCACACCTTCCAAACCTGGGGTTGATCCGGTCGATAAATATATATATATATATATATTATTGTATATATATATATACATTATATTGTATATATATATATATAGATAGATATAATGGGTCAACGTGTTTTTTTTGTTTTCTACATTGGATTTAAGTTGACAACGTTTGATTTTTCTCCACGAAAGCGCTGCGTGAAGATTCCAGGATTTACCATCTTTTAGGCGTCTACAGGTGGACGTGAAAGCTGCGTGGGGAAAACGCCGGGATCGAAGGAGGGGATTGATATATATATATATATATAATATGTATATATATATATATAGTGGAAAAAACTATTGAAAATCGTGGATTTACCCATGGATCATCCATGGTGATTATACAACTGATATGTAATAGATATACTGGTTGGTTGTTTGGAACATGAATTTTATGACTTTCCATTCAGTTGGGAATAATGATCCCAATTGACGAACTCATATTTTTCAGAGGGGTTGAAACCACCAACCATATATATATATATATATATATTTATATATATATATATTTACATATATATATATATACACGTATGTGTACATATATATATATATATATATATATTCGTAACCCCCAAAAAAGTTCGAAAAGTAATGCATCACTGTCAGACAATGAACTTGTAGGATTTGACTTTTTGATCTTTTTGGGGGTCGTGGTAAAGATGGTAAAGCCCAAACTATCCCAATCATCCCTGATGGGGTAGGCTTCCTCGTCATGGAGTCTGGTTTTCGGCGTTGAGTTGGCTACTTTGGCCTCACAAAAAATACGACAGAGCCTCCAAGTAGCCATAAAAATGGGTCAACGTCTCAAAATTCTGCTTATATTACCTCTGGTTGGTGGTTTGGAACCATGGAATTTTATGACTTTCCAGAAACACTTGGGAATGGAATGTCATCATCCCAAGTGACTTTCACTTCATCATTTTTCAGAGGGGTAGGTTGAAACCACCAACCAGTTCAACCAGTTCAACCAGTTAACCATTAACCATCATTAACTATATAATAACCATCATCATTAACCATATATTACCCTTTGGTAAATTAACATCTTGCTCCTTATTTGTCTAGGTCTTTGGAGGTTGTAGGCACCGCTTCCAACGGACTCAACGCCTCACCTCAGGTGGTCCGCAGCTATGGGATCGCCTCGCCTCAGGATTCCCCCAAAACAGGCGCTTCGGGGATCGGAATGTCATCGAGGGTTCAATGGGGTTAAGAATGGTTAAATGAGGTTTAATATTACCCTCTGGTAAATAAACATAGACCCTGAAAATCACCAATTGTTAGAGGAAACTAATCTTCCAACCCCTATCTACCAGGGTCTATGTTAATTTACCAGAGGGTAATGTATACTGTATACTTTGAGAATGGTTTTTATATTAAATGGTTTTTATGTCACCAGGACATGTTAAAATAAGAATTGTTAATATTAGCTCCAATACATATATTCACACATACTCTACAGTGATAATATATAAATTAATTACTCTAAAATGGGTGCCGCAAGTTGTAACCTGGCGGGAATTGAAGTTCAAACGTTTGGGGTTGAAGATGGCTCCAAATAAAATCCCAGACATCCCAAGCTGGGCAGAGGGACCTCAAAGAAATCTCAAAGACGGACTAAATCCTGGAGGTAGCACCAGCTTACATGGATCAGTATGATAGACAGCTATCCCTTCTTTGTTGAACAATACAAGCCACGAATGGGGTATATTTTTGTGCCAGATCCAGAGTCCAGAGCACAGATCTTCGCCCTGGAATCATACGAAGAATTATGGACGAATGCGGTTTTCTGACAATGCCATTATTTACCCATGGGAATGGTAAGCATATGTACAATGTGAGGCCCCCCAGTTATAAGATGGTTTAGATTCGCCCCAGTAACTAGTTCGTTATTTGCGTACCATAAACCATAGTGAAATTGGAGTTCTTGGCACCAACTGAACGCTATCGAACGGGGGCCTCACATATGTAAGCATCCCACCCAAAATGGTGACTGGGGGATGGTTGACCAGGATCTGAGTGTTTATACGGGTATCCATTTCTTGGGAACTGGGAACAGGATAGCCATGTTGGAACACGTTGCCATGGTCATCTCCAGTGGAAATTTCATGTCAGCTGTCAGGGTAAGTGAGCACGTTTTGTTTATTCCAGTTAACTGGTTGAAATGAAATTGAAATAGTTAGTTTTATTCCAATTGTTAGTACTGTGACCGTCGGGTGAAACAAAATCCCAGTGAATTCCCTAGGTCACAGGTCACAGATTGGTGAATTCCCGAATGGGTTAATCACAGATTGGTTTCAACCCTGACGACATCGGGGACTTCTGAAGGTCACCCTGCGAAAATGAGCACCCCATATAGTTATGGCATGTTAATGGCCTAATGGGTGGCCCTTCACCAATGTTATTCGTCAATGTTGAAGCCATTTATGGAATGATCATAATGATCACCCCATTTTTTAAAGCATTTAGAACCATTAACAACGCCATCTGAAACCATGTTTTTTTCACCATTCATAACTTAAGTATTTTTTACGGCCACAACTGTGGCAATCGTTATATTTTTCTGCCGGTCGCAATGGTCCGGCCAGGAGAAGCGGAACATCCTACGGAAGTCTTGTGGGCCCAGGAGCATGGGAGTCAGGGCTATTTTCAGGCAAGGCCATGGTCTATACCCGGCCTGGTAAACTAACAAAAAGGGAAATAGTTGGGTATGGATCAATACCTATTAATACCATTTTTAGGGGAATGAACATCCATTTACCAGCTATTTTGATGTTCACCAGGGGTACAAGGTTATAGGGGATTTATATGGGAATTATATGGGATATATATATATATATATGGGATATATATATGGGATATATATGGGATTTATAGGGGATTTATATGGGATATATATGGGATATATATGGGATATATATGGGATATATATATATATATGGGATTTATAGGGGATTTATATGGGATTTATAGGGAATTTATATGGGATTTATAGGGAATTTATAGGATTTATAGGGATTTATATGGGATTTATAGGTGATTTATAGGGGATTTATATGGGATTTATATGGGATTTATAGGGGATTTATATGGGATTTATAGGGGATTTATATGGGATTTATAGGGGATTTATATGGGATATAATGGGAATTACCCTCTTAAACATAGGTAGCTATGGAAAATGACCATAGAAATAGTTGATTTACCCATTAATAGCATGGTGATTTTCTATAGTTATGTTAAATTACCAGAGAGTATGGGATATAATATGGGGAAAACGGTGGGAAAACATATATGGTGAACATGTCTCCCGACTTTTTCGTTCTTTCTCCAATTTGTAAACCTTCTGGTGAAGCACGTTGTTTTACAATTTGGGGAAATGTTAAAACAAAAAAATGTTATTGGCGGATACACATTTGTCCTTGACATCTCAATATTGGGAGAACATATTGGTCCAGTTCTTCTCTTCAAGGTGGGCCAATGTACCAAATTGGCTGAGGGCCGGACCTGGGGGATATCATTTGGGGGAAGGATATCATGTGACATATGGAGTACCCTCTGGTAATTTAACGTAGCTATTGAAAATGACCATTTATAGTGAGTTGTCCTATTAAAAATGGTGATTTCCCATAGTTATGTTAGTTTACCAGAGGGTATCATGTGACATATGGAGTATCTGTATATGCTGGAAAAAGTCTCACCACAGATCCAGCCCAAACATGTTTTTTTCCATCTTCCAGAGGACTTTTTCGCGGTGGCGGGGGATCAAATTGCGAACTCTACCCTGCTGCGACAGTTGTACCAGTCACCTGGCACGCCGGTGAGTTAAATAGGATTGAATGGGAAGTGAAATATGTCAACCAATTAGTTATCAATAGTTATATGGATAGCTTTATAAGCTATATATCCCATAAGTTATTTGGGGGGAATATTGATGGGATATAAATGATATCACTATCCAGTGGTTAGGAGGCAACTAAGGGGCGAGGGCTATCCATATTTGTATTTGACTGAATGGGGAGCCAGTTGGTGCTCCGACGAGTTTCCCGTTTCCACGCGGAATTGTTAAGGAACAGTAACAGCGAAGACGTATGAGAAATGCGGGATACCCTCTGGTAAACATACAAAAGCTATGGAAAATGGCCCAGTCGAAATAGTGGATTTACCCATTGAACATGGTGATTTTCCATGGTGTATTTCAGCTGTTTGCATGTTTGATTAGCAAAGGGGACGTGGATTCAGCAACTATCATGGGTGGTTGGGTGGTAGTATAGGGAGCTAAAGACATCGGAGCCTGACAACCTTTGAACAGTGGTTTCTGGCAGATGTCTGGAATATAACAAGCCAGCATGGCAGCAGGAAATTGGACAAAAACACATACAAGTCAGAATGGCGCAAAAATATCCACCCTACGTGTCAATTTATTCTGGTTTCAAACACATGTAATCATTTCCATGGATGAGGCTAGCCATGGTTTCTGGGTTTCTGGGTTTCGGATTTCGGCGGAAAAAACCTCATATATCATAATTCATGACTAGTTTTTGTTTGCAGATGCTATCCTCTGGTAATTTTTCACAGTTTGCTTTGGAAAATGGATGAACATAGTTCATTTAGTTCGATGATTTACCCTCTGGTAAACTAACATAGCTATTGAAAATTGCCATTTCTAGTTGATTTGCCCATTCAAAATGGTGATTTTCCATAGTTGTGTTAGTGATTAACCATAGAAATAGTTGATTTTCCCATTCAAAATGGTGATTTGCCCATGAAACATGTTGATTTCTCATAGCAAACCATCCATGATGATCCATGCTCCCCCTGAGCTGAGAAGCCTCCTCCGGCCGCTCCGGCCGGTCAAGTTTTATGGTTTACTTTTTCATGAGGACGGCCCTCACCCACAGATATACATATACATATAGTATATAATAATATATATATATAGTATCTAGTATATATATATATACATATAGTATATAATGATATATATATATATAGTATCTAGTATATATATACATACATATAGTATATAATGTATATATATAGTATATAATTTAATATATATATATATAGTATCTAGTATATATATATATACATAAATATAGTATATAATTAATATATATATAGTATATAATGCAATATATATATATATTATCTAGTGTATATATACACATAATTTCTCATTGGGGTTCAAAAAGACATCACGTTTGGAATCCCATTCATCATGGTGTGATGACGAGGGGCGATACCATGCTCTCGCCAAGGGAACAATGCTGGGAAGTCCATATGTTTGCCAAGCTGGTTTTATGCTTATTACTTATTACTTGTTTTAAATGACACTATGGGTTATCACTTGTTTTACATATTTTAGCATGTACAACCCTATACAACCATTTATGTTTTAAAGTTTTGGGGGTACCCAACCCTGAGCCACATATGAACATTGAATTCTTCAAAGGATAAATCCAGCTCTTGTGCCTTGAACTCCCAGTTTTATCTGCTGTCGTGATCCCGTTTCGTTTTTGGTGTGGTTAAAGGGGTCAAACTTGTGTTATGGTTTACAGTATTTATATATACAGTATACATATACACATTCAATATATATATATATACATATACACATATTATACATATTTAACATTCATTATATTAATACTATATGGGTTGTAACGTTTATAACTGCTTTTCAGAAAATGCATGGTCCCTTGAAACGAGTGACTCACTTTGAAGGGTGCGCATGTGTTGTGTTTCTGACTCAAAAGAAGGTGGCCCTGAAAATTGATGGGTACGATGCGCTAAAAAAAAAACATCGTTAATGAACTTGATGGTTAAATTTATGGTGAAGAAACTGTGTTGATGAACTTTTTATGGGTTAAATTTATGCTTCACCATGCTTTACATCGTTCTCCCCGAGCGCTTTTTTTTTCAAAAAGACAATGTTTTCGTTGTGGATTCATTGCTATTCCAAAATTGCAAAAACCGTGGCCCATTCGGCTTTGTTTAAGAGGTTTGTTTCCCCCCAGTTCCAAGGAATTATCAGCATTTGTTCCCATTGTTCATTGTACTTTGGACCTTAGGACCTTCCAAGTTTACGTAAAAAAAAATGGTAAACATCCCAAAATCAGGTTCTAAGGAATTGCACTTGATATATATATATATGGTATATGGATTAATATAGATTTGACTTTGTACTCTTCACATCCCAAGATATCCCAAGTTCTATCCCAAATCAATTGCTTTCAACCCAGACTTGACCCCGTGGCTTAGGTCCAATTTATTCGCCAACTTTGTGGCACAAGTCCTGGCTTTGCCACGCCTCTACCGCATCTTGGCAGACGTTTTTTTGCAACGGGGCTGAGTTAAGCTGCGAACTTGTCAGTATATATGTGTATATATAATTATATATATATATATACACATACATGTATTTATTATATATACTGTATATATATATATATATGCAAATGTTTTGAATCCATTTTGTTTTAATAGAACTGTTTTTGGATGTGTTTAACATAGAATTGTTATTGTTATTGGGGGTACTAATAGCTGTTCATACTTTTTCAACAACTCCATGTGGATATGACAAGCAAAGAAGTCCAGATGGGTGTAGGTCGTATCCATGGTACCTCATGTTGACTTGAATAAGTTGGCTGATAGTTGTGTATATGCCTCATTCTCCCCCCCCCCCATTCATCTAGGAAAAACCATACAATGTGAGGCCCCCCAGTTATAAGTTGGTTTGTAAGCCCCAGTAACTATAGTTACAAGTACCATAAACCATAGTGAAATTGGAGTTATAAACCAACTTAGCTATCTTGGGGGCCTCACTAATTGTAGGTTTTGAATGGCTGTAACATGCTACAACCCATCGCCGGATCCGCCGGATAGCCAACCCATGGGAGATAAACCTTGACCGACAATGAGGGATAGAACACCTGGGATGATGTGGATATTGGCTTCGTTTGTGTACATACCCTCTGGTTATGTCAAAATAGCTATTGAACATGGCCATGTATAGTGAGTTTTCCCATTAAAAAAGGTGATTTTCAATAGCTATGTTAAATTACCAGAGGGTACATCATTCCGGAATATGGTCCCCAAAAATAGATATGTCAATGAAATCAACAAAATGATACCAACATGACCTAGCATGATACCATGTCGCAATAGCGCGGTGGAAAAACAGTTGGCCACCCACAAAGGCAGAGGGCTTAGTGGTGAAATCCCAATGTTGTGATGCTTGAATGACCATTTTCGATGGTTATATCCCCATAAAAATGAGGAGAGAAGCATCATATCTGATGGTTACATCATTAAATCCATAATTTGTTTTGTTCAAACATGTTGCTGGCACAGTTTAATTCTTTGTGGGACTGGGGTTTCTGGCTTCATAAGGCTGATTTCATCACCAGCCCAGGTTACGACGATCGATATCAGGACCTAAACGTTGGAGCCTCAGATTCCGTGACCGTTGGAACGCCTGTGTTACCATCTGGTTATGACTAACATAGCCATGGAAAATCACCGTTTTTAATAGGTAAACCATCTATAAATGGGCCATTGTCCATGGCTATGTTAAATAACCAGAGGGTACATCAAATTAGTAGATGTGACTCATATTTTGAGATTCTAAATTTAGATAACATCACAAACCATGGCCTAAAAAAAGAACGTGATCCGGTGTGGGACCCCAAAGGCTTCACCGTATTTTTTTCTGGTGATTTTCACACATGGTTGGTGTCCATAAATGAAGGATCTCTAAAATGGATAATTAGTTTATTTATATATAATATATATATATATTATAATGGAAAGTCCGAAATTAGAATGGATGATTTAAGGGGGTACTAGTACCCCCCCATTTTAGGAACCCCCCAGTTGAATATGCCCAGGTCATGTTTACGCGAGACGGTGGGCAGCGCGCCTACCATTATGATGCCTCGGAAGCTGGGCGGTTCCCATGCTCGGGCTATGGATGGCTATGGGAACCCAGAAGAATGTCCTGAAAAATGAAAACCACATTGGGGATTGAGCCTTCAGTTGACTAAACTACGATATCTTATGGAAAATGGAAAATAGCATATTTTTCAATCGGTAAATCAACTACAAAGTTGCACAATTCATCAAAATTCCAGAGTTATGTTGAACTACCAGAGGGTAACCATGAACACAAAAATCGGGATTCAACAGCTCCAAACCACATGTTGAAATAAGTTAAACATGTTCGGTCCATCTCGGTGACCAACAATGGACCGAACCAGGACTTCATCGTCACGGTGATGCTCCAGCAGCCAGAGGTCGGCGGCGAGTTCGAGTTCGCACCGATGCTGCGCGGTCCCAATGGGGAAGAGAACTACGACAAGGCGGGGATCCAAGAGGCTGGGGCCCTGAGGATCTGGATGTAGCTTATTCATGAATAGTATGGTAAAGTGGTTGGTGGTTTCAAACATGTTTTATTTTCCAGAATACACATATATATATATATGGGATAATCCTTCCCATTGACTTTCATATGTTTCAAGATTGTTAAAACCACCAACCAGTAAAAAAAATGTTTCAAAGAATTCATCATCTCTAAATCATCTATAAATCGAGCTTGCTATATATTGTAGAACAGTCTCAAGCCTCGATTGCGTCATTGGGGATCTACTGGAATTGAACCGCGACAATGGGAAGATATGGTGCGAACAGGATATAGCACTAAACCAAAATTGGGGATGGCGGGCATGGCATTAGGTCCATTAGGTTTACCACGTTGTACTGAAAAGGGGAACTTGGAACTTAACAATCCGCTATTAATTTATGTGGTTGCCGTATTTTCAGACAAATCCATGATCATCATCATCATCATCATCATCAACATCCTCACTATCAAGCTCATGAGCGCCGCAATGCAGGGGCACGGAGCTGCTTGCTTCCATGGTCATATCGTCTACTCACCAAACGTTTTTATGGCATACGGCATAGGGTCAATGGTGTCCTGATTTTGTATACCAGCTAGCAAGTGGTTTAAGACATCTTGTAAACTCAAAACTGCAACATTTGGCGGTTTCTTAAACTTGGGGATCCTCACATCATCCAAGTCATTAGACAATTTTGTGGTATTGAAACCTATGGTGACTTGGGTTCCGCAATTTTCAGAATTCCCCATTTGGCAACTTGAGATGTTGCATGTTTCTTCTAGTTTATAACATGATGCTTACACACTGTGATGCACATCCAAATTCACACTAGAAGATGGTAAACTATGATAGTTTGATGGTGTTGAATAGTTTCATGGTTTGGCTATCAATTAGGAAGCCTTGGGAAAACGTTCTTTTTGAGATTGCTACATGTTTAATTGCTGGTTTTAAACGTATTGGTAAACACACACATATATATATATATATATATAATAAAATATATACTAGGTACGGATGAGATAGGAGTTGTCGGAGGGTCCAGTTTTTTTGATTTCCCATCTCATGAGTAAAGTATTGTTTTTGCCCTTTGAAGGTGCCAAACTCCTATCTCATGTGGTTCTAGTAGTCATTTGAAGGATACCTGCATCAAGTTTTTACATTCCCACGGTTTATGGTTTTTAATGCTACAGGCTACAGTTTGGACACATGAGATAGGACTTAGGGCTGATTTGGGGTATGTTCACATAACCCATGTGTTGGGACTGTAGCATCTATATCCCACGAAGAATTCCCATCTCATGGGTTTCATCCTGAGCCATTTGGCAATATGGTAAAAAGCTACAATATGGTAAAAAGCTACTGAACGTATTTTTTTTCATTTTCTCGTTGTTTCTCTACTGTTGTTAGCTTTAATAACGGGCAGCGACACGGCTCGCGGAGAACGGACGGCCACGTGTCTCCCTGTTTTTATCTCTGACGGGAAGTGACACGGCTCGCGGGCCGCGTGTCTCCCTGTTGTTGCCGGTCTCGCTGTGCACCTCCGCAGTTTCCCACATGGCCTCCGGTAGCTTCCCGTTAAAAATAAGAATGGGGAGTGGGAGCCAGGATGCCCTTCCCCGTGTAAAAGCAGATGAGATAGGACTTGTGGGGATTTGACGATTTGACCAGAGAAATCTAATGGCACATGGGTGCGGAAAGGGAAAAATAGCGACCACTATAAAAGCAGATGAGATAGGATTTGTGGAGATTTGACGATTTGACCTGGGAAATCTAATTCACACGGGTGCGGCAAGGGAAAAATAGCGACCACTAAAAGCAGATGAGATAGGATTTGTGGGGATTTGAGCTGGGAAATCGAGTGGCGCATGGGTGCGGCAAGGGAAAAATAGCGACCACTAAAAGCAGATGAGATAGGATTTGTGGGATTTGACGATTTGACTTGGGAAATCTAATGGCACATGGGTGCGGCAAGGGAAAAATAGCGACCACTAAAAGCAGGTGAGGTAGGACTTGTGGAGATTTGATGTGGGAAATCTAGTGGCGCATGGGCGCGGCAAGGGAAAAATAACGACCACTAAAAGCAGATGAGATAGGACTTCTGGGGATTTGACCTCGAAAGTCTAACTGGCACACGGGTGCAGCAAGGGAAAAACCTTGACCACTAAAAGCAGGTGAGATAGGACTTGTGGGGGTTGACCCCGAAATCTAATGGCACATGGGTGTAACTAGGCAAAAAGATGGGCCACTGAACGCATGTGAGATAGGACTTGTTTTTTTCTAGAACCATTGTAATTTCCTATCTCATCAGCCTTTGCTGCTGTCACAAAACATGAAGTCCCGATCATTTACCAAGGTGTTTTTTCAGACTTGCATTCAGGTCTCAGAGCGGGTTCAGCGCACATGAGCTGGGAGTTTTGGCAAATCCCAGGTACCAAAGCTCCTAACTCATGTGGCTATTCTAACCAATTCCCCATAAGCGCTTCAAACAGTGGACACAAGAGATAGGACTAGACCCCAGCAAGTCCTAACTCACCCGGGGCCACAAGTCCTAACTCATCAGTACCCAGTATATATATAATATAATATATATATATATATATTATACGCATAACTTGTATTACCATCCTGAAGTAGATCGAATATGGATGTTCAAAGATATTATCATTTTACTGGGTATTTTTTGAAATTCTATTCAATCTACTCCAGGTACGTAGTTCTTTTTTTTGACCCCATTTGAGATGATGATTCTGAAGGGCCGTCCAAGAAGCTAGGTGAATATCAAGTTGATTTTGTTGACTTAACAACATATCCCGCTTTTTTGTGAGTTCAAGTTGGGTAGTTACATCCATGTGGCTCTGCATGTCAGAAAACCACGCAAGGGTAGCCATTTTGATCATTTTGCTTCATAGATAACGCCAATCTTTACTGGCTCACTCCCCGTCGTTTGTCTCAAAACGGGTAACCCCCAATCCCAATGGGTTATCATCACTTTGCCCATGAAAGCTACAATGTACAAGCATCTATGATTGTTACCCACCGAACAGACAAAGCAACATATGTAGTGTTTGTTGTAAACCTCATGAAATATCCCAATAATATCCCAATAGTATATATATATAATTATATATATATATTATTATTATTATTATTATTACTATTACTATTATTAGACATATACACATCCACATGTTTCGAAACTAAATCTACAGCCAAGCCTGTCAGCAGCTGAAGCCTTAACCCCATGCCATGGGGATAGTCATCCCTCCAATGTTCGATAGCTACGTGGGGCCCTGAAACGATAGCTATGTTGGAAAAAATAACTCCAAGAACTATGGTGTATGGTACTTATATGTACTTATAATACTTATAACTATAGTTACTGGGGATTATAAACCAACTTATAACTGGGGCGCCCCACATAGTATAGTTTTTTTAGCTATTCCAATAATGACAGGGTAACCACAAACATTTGACCATGGCACATATAAAACTTCAGTTCATGATATCTAGCAACACCAACAAATCTCGATGTTTGAATCATTGATATCCCAGCAACTGCCAACCCCCAAAAAGATAGAAGAGTAATCTAGATGTGGGATAAGCATTGTAATGAACCAATATATGACATCATCAGGCGGGGGATTTCAGCCACCTTTTTTTTTAGTAGTGCTTTAGTGTACTAACATTATATTACTGGTTGGTGGTTTGGAACATGATTTTTATGTTTCCATTCAGTTGGGAATGGAAAATCATCCCAACTGACGAACTCACTCCATCATTCTTCAGAGGGGTTAGCAGCAACCACCAACCAGATATTATTATTAACCATCATTAACCATAGAACATCCATCATCATTAACCATCGTCATTAACCATCATCACTACAGTAAAATCTTGGATCGTTTGGGAGTTGCACTCCCATGGCTTCAATGGCCGGCTCCAGGTCACACAGCTCTTTCAGGGCCAACTGCCCACCATCGTGTCGCGGGCGGAGCCGGGCACAGCGTCTCAGTGGCCCTGAAGGATGGCGCAGTTGGTTTAGAACTAGATTAAGTCTAAGTATATATATATATGTATGTATGGTTTATATGGTAGATATGTCATGATATATCATGAGATATCATGATATAGAATGATATAGAATGAGATTTCATGATATAGCATGATATAGCATCATATAGCATGAGATTTCATGTTATAGCATGATATATCATGAGATATCGTGTTATATCATAAGATATCATGATATATCATGATATTTCATGATATAGAATGATATAGCATGAAATAGCATGATATAGCATGATATAGCATGATATAGCATGATATTTCATGATATTTCATGATATAGCATGATATAGCATGATAGAACATGATATATCTTTATATAACATGATATATCTTTATATAGCATGATATATCATGAGATATCATGATGAGCATGATATAGCATGATATATCATGAGATATCATGATATATCATGATATAGCATGCCATCTCATGAGATCTCATGAATTATCATAAGATGTCATGAGATCTCATGATATTTCATGATATATCTATGTTGATGGATGTTTATGGTGAATATCTCGAAGAAACATTGGACATCAACGTTGAAAGCTATGAAGCACTGCTGATGTGCTTAGTCTTACTGGATGGGTTTTACGTAGGGTTGCTGGATGGGTTGCTGCGGGTTGCTGGGATGGGTTGCTGGATGGCCATTCATAGTTTAGTTTATTTACCCTCCAGTAAATTAACATAGACCCTGGTAGATAGGGGTTGGAAGATTAGTTTCCTTTAAAAATTGGTGCTTTTCAGGGTCTATGTTAATTTACCAGAGGGTACCCATTAATAATGGTGATTTTCCACAATATCTGGATGCTAAACGTAGGGAATGGATGGGACTGGGGGTTGCTGGGATGACTATTACTAGTGATGAAATGGATCATTCCTGAAAATTCCCGAATCGTAAAACGCACCAGTAAGTAGTTGGATGATCATATCACCGGCAACAAAAAACACACAGTGCCTGAAACCCAACTGAAACGACTCATGACACCGGACATCTTGGGGTTGCCGCCTTCACCGCAAGTTGCGGGTTCCTTCCCCGCAACGAGGTGACCATCTTCAACGGTCGCCGATCCATGCACCGGGCCCGCGCCAGCTACGGCGCCCGGACGCGGATCTTGGCGATCTTCTCCTACGACACGCAGGCCTCGGTGAACCAAACGAGGCCCGATTTGGAGACTCGACGGATTTTTTCAGATGGACATGGCCATTCCGGGGGATAGATATGGGAACCAAGTTGAACCAAGAATTCATGGGATGAACTTGGGTGTACTCCTATGTGCGATGATGCAAAATGACCCCAAATGGTTTGTGAATGGGATTGTTGATCATTGAATTTACGGTTTACAACATTATTATCTGGTTGGTGGTTTCAAACATGAATTTTATTTTCCACGATATATGGGATGACCTTTCCCATTGACGAACTCCATCATTTTTTAGAGGGGTAGGTCAACCAGCAAGCAGTTAAGCTCACCAAATTTAGGCACTTTTTTTAGGGACAAGCGTTGGAAAATGCCGGTTTTCCTTGTCGGACAAGTCGTGGGGATTCAACCATTGGAAGATTTGTTCACCGTTGAAACCTGATTTTTCATGGGAACTTCGCCAAAAAGCAGAATTTCACCCAGAGGTCGAAGGGTTGGTCGAAGGGTCTGACCAAACAACAGGATTTATAACATGATTTGACCAGCAAAACATGGTGCAAATTATGGGGATAGAATGAGATATGTGGAGCCTTTTCCATGTGTCTTTTTCCTGGTGGTTTGATGATTAGAGAATAATTAGACATGATAAGTAAATTGGGAGGGATCAATACCAATGGAAATGATGTTGGGGACCCTCCATTAAACTTCCAGAAAATGGCCATGAAGATAGGTACAGTACATCTACAGATAGGTCATTTTCCATGCCTATGTAACAAATGACCAGAGGGTAAAGCAGCTTTTTGCAATTTTTGATGATACCCTTTGGTAATCGAACATGGCAATGGAAAATCCACCACTTATAGAGGATTTTCCGCTATAAACCATTCTAAAGCTCCATTTTGATCAGGGACTTCCCATTTTACGGCGCAGCCGTTTGCCCCGCAATCCCACGGGAACAGGTCAGAACCCCCTCGAAATATTGTGGGTGGCCCATCCTTGAAAGAGATCCCATCAACGGTTCTTGGTTGGTTTAGGGTCCAGAGTCCAGACGTCTTCGTTTCTTTCGGCGCACAACACAATGATAGTTCCTCTCTGACCGTTCCTAACCAGGCCGCAAAACCTTTTGCGATGATTCATGTTGCACTATGTTGGAAGATAGCTATATACAGTTGAATGCGCAACACACATCAGCTATCATCAGCTTATACCTGGGGGCCCCTACTTTGCGCGAACCATGGGTCAGCGTCGACCAAGGACAAGAATGTGCGGCTGTACGGCGAGCGTGTCAAGTACTGCACTGCAGAGGAATGAGGGGTCACAAGCTGACGAACGGAGGGAATGTGCCCTGCTGATTGGTTGATTTGCAAAGAAATTGGAAGAAATCTACCACCCGATGGTATATTTATGTAAATATCTATATATGTGCATAGAGTTTGCCTGATTGAGGCAATTTAATCAACATCGACACCGGCCATTTCCGCAGAACTAGAAAGAGTTCTGCCCGCCAGTAGTGTCGCGTTTAGTACTGAATTCATGTCGACCAAAATTTATGCCACGTGTACAGATGACGCCCGGCAATATCGTCTTTTCCACGTCCGCTGTCCTGAATTTCCATTGAGCTCGTTTGTTGATGGGAGACAGAAGGTTGGATATGGTTGGATGGTCATTGTTGAAGGTAGAGCTTCATTTCATTCACAGAATTAGATGCTCTGAAATGGTGCCCCAAATTAAGCCGCATTTTTTTAATAGAAAAAACACCGCATTGTTTTTGTACCCTATTGTAAATGTAAAAAAAAGGCAACCTGGTACAATGATGACCTTGCTCTCATCAAACCCGCAGCCACCGGACAGCAGTTCTCTTTAGATGTTGTCGTGCGTCGTGGTGCAGATCAAATCAATCCGCTCAGATTGGTTCAGATGTGAAGAAAGGGTCGCCGGCTTGAATCCCTGGTGAGTATCTATCAGCGACTTCAATGACCTGCGAAGAATGTTTACGGGATGATCTATATGGAGGTCTCATCCATTTTAATTAATCGGATTTTCCCTTATTAAAACCATCCATTTTTGGGTACGGTATATCCCCATTTATGGAAACCCCATATATATATACATATACATATATATATATACATATACATATACATATATATATATATGATATGATATGACATGTTGATCATATGTTTTCACATGGATGAACATAAAGCACCAGTTTGCCCTTCTCTCTGGCAGCAAATTCCCAGAACTGGCCATAGTTGATGATCACTGCAAGATGGTGCCCGTAAGCTTATGATGTTTATATTCACCCAATTAAATGTAGATATACATATAGATTTACATATATAGATATAGATACATAGATATACATTAGATATACATAGATTTATTTACATATAGATATACATATAGATATACATTATATATAGATATACATATAGATATACTGTATACTTCGCATAAACATCCATAGTTAGCCTAGCCAAGTTTTCTGTTCACCGCGAACGGCCTAGGTGGAGGTGATGCTAGGCCTTCTCTCGGTATCTCGGCCACCGATATCAGGGACTTAAAGATTGTCTATTATATTTTAATGGGATATTAATGGTATGTTAATGGGATATTTAAATGGTATTTTGCTTCATATATTAATAAAGAAAAATGGCTAGCCTTGTCGATCGACTTGTTGAACCAACATGATGGCGGTTTATCCGGTTCCCAAGCTACGAAAAAGCTACCAACAAGTCTTCAAACATATGCAACTAAGTGTATAATATTTAGGTGCTTTATTCAACTAATGATGGCTATTTTTGGACATACCGTAGTGTTTTTTTGGTTGAACATTTGGACACTGGCCAAAATTAAAGGGAAAACACCATCTATGACATGCTGGATTGATTCCCAGTTGACACGGAGAAATTGGTCGAAGCTATGTCCATGGCTAGGCTTATGACTAGGACTAAGTATGTTTACAACATATTACAACCATTTACAACCTTATGTGTGTATATAGTATATATATATATACATATCATATATATATATATATAAATACTTGTTGATAACTATGGATACGTATTACTTATGTCTGAATTTCGAGGCTGGCTTGGCTTTGACAAAGCACTCCCCGGGGCCCCCGGGGTCACTTTTCGTTGGAGCTGTTGAGCCAGGAAAATGAGCAACATGGCGATGTGGATAAGTTATGACTGATTGATGATTATATAACATATACTATATATATATATATGTATGTTGTACATATATATATATATATATACACATGTATGTTGGGGATTCATCAGAATCCATGAATGGGGAATTTGTATATAAGCAGGCAGTGTAAAGGACGATATTCCTGAATTTCGCTGGTTCAAGAAACATTTTTGTTTTTGGCGGCGCCCAATTTTTGGGCGATTCCCACATTGCACTTTTGTTGTGTTTTTTTCAAATAGCGCATACCATCATGGTGTTGGTATATCTATATTTACATGTCCCTGCAAAAAAATAGCTTTGTACAATGGATAAATATGGGTTTGTCTGAAAGTCGAGTACCCCCAACTCCCATGGTCACAGGCTGCCAATGTAAACAAGGAGTTTGGAACCTCATTCTCCGTTTAGATGGCCGGGGTAGCATCGACTAAGCTGGATCTCGATGGCTCTTGTTCTGAGGCTCTTGCTTATGTGCATCATTTAGGCATTGTCCATAGGGACGTGAAATGCGCTCCTGGGCAAGACAAAGGTCGGAAGATTTTGACCCGGAAAACAGACAAGACGAGCCATATGGATGGGTTGATGGGTTTCCCGTTTGGAACTGATTCATGGTGGATTTTCCGTGAATCTACGCGTTGGCTTACTGGAGTTTGATGGGGTGTTTTCCAAAGGGGTTGGTGTTATCCACGACCACGTTCAGTCTCCTGGCTTCCGAAAATATCAGGATGATCCCGTGGCTTTCCCATTACAAAGCCACCTGAAAGTACTTGAAAGGTTTGGGTGATCCAACTGAAGTTTGCTGGTGATTTTATGTCATATATGATATTATATATATATACATAAACATATATTATTACATATACATAATCATATCTATATATATATACATATATATATATATATATCATATATCCATTGATGCTGGTGGTTCCATCATACTGCAAATCCTGACTCGTCAGGAATCGGCCCATGATCATCCCAGGGACTAAGATTGGATGATTTCCCTAAAAAACGGATGAAATGTTTTTGTTGTTGGCCCAAAAAAATGTTCCCAGTAAACAGTATGATTATGATAGGAACTTGGAACTAAAATCATCATTAAACATGGTAGTTTTTGTTGTTGGCCTTGGATACTCTACTACCATGTTTTGTTCACCTCACCATCATTCTGCCCATTAGGAAAATATTCTTCTCGATGGCAATCGCGCCATTCTTTCTGATTTCGGTTCCTCGGAGGATTTTCCGTTTCGAAATTTGGGGCAGCGAAGGTGGCAAGGTCAAAGGCCATGGAATTTTCGAGCTAGATACAACTGTTCATTTCCTCGGTATAGCTTAGATTTTCGGTTGGTTTGTCCGAAAACTCGGGGGGGGGGAATCCCGAAACTGACGATTGCAATTGTAACAGAACAAGGGTGATCCAACCATGAGATTTTGGCCGATCCTCTTGACAAAGTCATCGTCGCTTGATGGAGGTCGACAGGTAGATTTTGAGCCCCAAATGAAATATTGCTCCCCATGAAGAACCAGTTTGTTTTGGCGGTGTTTATAATAAGTATTTTAGACGTATAGTTCTACCATAAAAAATATCTCATTGGGGGGGTTAATTTGAAGTTAATTTATGAAAACTTTTTTAGTGTTATATATATATATTATATAAATTATAAATTTTAATATATTGCATTACATATTGTAAATTATGTATATATTTTATCTAATATATATTATACATTATACATTATATATTATGTATTATATATTATTCATTATATATTATATATTATATATGTTATATTATATATTATTTAATTTATATCATATATCATTTATTATATGTTACATATCATATATTATATGTTGTATATTATACATTATATGTTTTATATTATATATCATATATCATATTATATGTTTTATATTGTATGTCAGATATCACATATTATATATTATATATAGTATATTTTATTTTACATTATATATATATTATTTTATTTAATGTTATGTTATATTATTTTATATTATATTATATTGTATTATATTATATTATATATATAATGATTACGCCGACAAGGCCAATCATTTGGTTGGTTTTCCCAGCACCAGCCTTTTGAAGAGCCTTTCATGGGATGATCACCGTTGACTTTTGATGAGCCCTGTTCTCCCCCTGGAATCATGGGTTTTTTAATAGGCGAATCTTCCCAAAATGGCCCAAGATTTCAGGTGAATTATTTTTTCATTTGCCCAGATTAGTACAAATCTATATTTACATGTAATATATCCCATTGTAGCTCATGAACATCAGTGCTTAGAATCCATTTAAACACACGCCATACACGTGGATTCTCATCAGTGCTTAGAAACCATTCAGAAAGAAACAAACACCTGTGAGTCTTTGTGGATATTTGTGGGTACTGCAGAATTTATTGCCATGAAGACATCTACCCTCTGGTGCAGTGGAACATCGCCAATCACTGCTTTTACCCCGTGGTCCATTGTTTTGATTGACTTTATCTCAAGGTTGGGTTTTGTTTCTCCCCTTTTTAGCCAAGATATGGGCTTTGGACGACTAATACATCGATGTCATCGCTACCTTGAAAGATTTAATCTCTGAGGCATTGCCGGGCATTGACACTTCAGTTATCAACAATACGTTAGGCTCTTCCTTTGGGTTACGGTGTCAGGTAGCTATAGGCATCCACCTGGTCCCTGTCAATCCCACCACTGTCTGGTCAATATATGTACAAGCTTGCCTCTATTGTTCCAGCTCTTTTCTTGACGGCAAGAAATTCCGCTCTAGCTGGAAACCAGATTGGGGGTGCTTTGACACCCGGATGTGAGCTGCTGTCGCGAATTGCATGTTTTTGTTAGTTTTGTCTGAGTGCCTGTAAGGCTTTAAATTGCAATGGGAAAAAAACATAGCTATTGAAAATGGCCATAGGAATAGTGGATTTTCCCATTAAAAATTGTGATTTTCCATAGTTATGTTAGTTTACCAGAGGGTAATATAACCAAACACGTGGCCGAGCTCGCGAGGTATTTCCTGCTTTTTATCCGACCCGGAGAGCATGGAGAAACGGGTTGGATCGCCAGGCAGATGAAAACCATGAAATTTTCGCTTGAAACGATGAGAAACTGAGAAAGCCATGGTACTGGTGATTTAATGGTGATTTTCCATGGGATTTATGGTGGTTTAATGGAATCTAATGGGATTTACCCATCAAACAATGTGAGGCCCCCCAGTGATGTTTGTTGGTTAAAGCCCCAGTAACTAGTTCGTTATTTGCGTACCATAAACCATATAGTGAAATATTGAAGTTATTGGCACCAACTGAACGCTATCGAACGGGGCCTCACATTGCATGGTACTACCATGGATTGAACTTAATGATGAACATGGACATGTTCCGGTCACAAGACTTGGGTCAGGCTATGCATCTCCTGAGATGCTGTGTCTCGGATGGAAAGCTGAGCGATCTCCAGACGTTGTTATTTTATGGGAGCTATAGGGAGCTACGAAAAGAGTTTCCCATTCGCGATCGTTTTTTGTCAAGCCCGGATAGATTAAAACCATGGTCGAACTTTTTTTTCGGGGGGTACTCCTCCAATAGTCATAATCTGTAATTAGTTTCCCATCAGTGGTTAATTCATAATGGCTAATAATAGTTACTGTAAGTGAGATGATCATTTGCTGCGTCCACATCCAACGTCCCGAGGAAAGGCGAGCAGCTCGGCAGCAGTGAGGACTTTTTTGGGGCGGAACATGACATCGTTAAGCCATGTGTCAATAAGTTAAACATGTGTGTTTATAAAGACAAATTTCTCCCAAACATGTCATTTTTACATGTATTTTGCTTTCGACATACTCTTATCTTAATTGTTATGTGTTTTTTGTGAATTTAGATGGTCCTTCATCACTAGATTCTGGCGATTTATCCCAGAAGGATGAAGGTACATCTACACATTTATCACATCTTGGGGCCCTGGGAAATCACCTCAAAATGATGGTGAAAAATCCGGAAAAATCCGGAAAACCAGGATCTACGGTTTCAAAAGTTGCCAACACAGATATGAATCTTTGCAACTCCGGTTTTTTCATGGCTGGAGAATCCAACCACGATGTTTCATGGGGAGAAAATCCCACCGGTATCAGAGTGGTATGCTTTCACAATTGGCGCAAGTGTTGATCTCTGACATGCGGTGATTTGTTGTTGCCCCACATGTTTTTTGTCCTAAGCTGGGTGTGACAAGGGGCCTGTATACTGAGAAACTGTACTCGTACAAATGTGTACTGTATGTATACATACGTATATATATATGTATATATATTGCAACACATGTATGTAAATTCACATGTGTACAGTTGTTTTCAATGAAGACACCACACATGATATATATATATATATATAATGATCTTGATAATTTTTAATTGTGTATATATATATATATAGTACGTACCCGAACCGCCCCCTTTCTTTTTGCAAATATCGGTGACACCTCATCGATCAAGTGTCACGGCAACAACATGAGTTGATGAATGGTATACCGAACCGACCCCAGACCCGTCAAAAGGACAATCCTAATCTAAGCCATACCATGAACCATGTAACCCGCGATCTTTTTCATTAACGGTAGACTGAACCAAGCACTCCATGTTTCTATTCATGGTGTATCAACACGCCCCTCAGGTCCTACAATGAAAAGGTCGATATTTTTCCACGGGCGTTGCGTTGTGACCCAGCGGCAAAGAGCTGAGGGTGGTTGGATTGCCATTGAGGGCATAGCATTTCAATGGTTGGATTATATACATGATGCAATTGTCATGTCCATTCAATTGAGTCGAACACACGGATTTCATCGTGCCTACGACAGTTTTGCATTTGGGGTCAAGGAAAAAGGTTTTGAGCGAGGTTGCATAGCCACCTCTTTGTTTTGCCATCTTCATTTGATTCCGCTGCGCTGACACTTGGGCATTGCAGTTCGCTACCTCTGGGACCATCCACACTTGGATGGTAGCGGAGCCTGACGAGGCTTACAGCCAGGGGCGCTAGGCCCCCCTGGAACACAAGTGGAAGGATGAGTTCCAGTGTGATGAGAAGCAAAGACGGGGTTCCGCAGTGGAATGGCGATGCTTCGCAGTTCCAGGAGTATGAGGACATGTGTCTTCAATGGGAGCAGTCCATAGCACACCACAAGAGGTACCTGTGCGCACCACGTTTGATAGCTGAACTGGGGGGGACGGCTAGAAAATTTGTGGTTGGAAAGAAACCGGATTGGGTCTCCTACAACGGAGGCGTTGCCTACTTTTTAGGCCACCTTCGAAGGCATCTGGGACGACCGCAAATACCAGAACTCTCAGAGCACCTGAACAGGTACTTCAGACAAAGCAAGAGACAGAAACATGAGACCATGAACACCTACATAGTGAGAAAAACCGAAACCTATGCCAGAGCTCGCCAGGCCTTAGCTCGTGTGCAGGAAGCTTTCGATCGACGTCAAGATCGGCATGATCAATGGGGTCGAGGCGGGTGGTACCAGTCATGGCATTGGGGGACATGGTCTTCACGACAGAGCTATGAAGGTGGAGATGAGTCTCTCGGAGAACCAGGTCAAGAAGCCAGTGAACCAACAGAGGGTCAGGACCAGAACACTGAGGGACATGATGGAGGACGGGAGTCACGTGATGGAAGAAGTGGGAGTGAGTGGGGATCGTCCTACACCAGGTCCTACCACCCCGAAGATGAGGATTGGACCCTTCAAACTCCTGAACTCCTACCTGATTTCTTACAAGGATGGTATCTCTTGGCTGACTCAGGTTTGACTAGCCAGGAAAAGAACATGATCCAGACCGCGGTGGCTGGTGACTTCAGTCTCCTGCGGATTGCTCAAGAGCTGCGAACCCAGTGGCCCGAGGACGACTTGGTCCAGCGGGACAGCAACCAGAAGCACAGTGGCTTTTGGCATGATGATGCCTTCAGCAACGATGATGAGCCCAACCACATGTCAGCCAATGCCTTGGTGAATGAAGGCATGAATGATGAGGGTTTGGCTTTGGTCACTCAGGCCGTCGAAGAGGCTGAGGAAGCCTTGGCTCTCATTCAGCAGGGCAAGCGCACCTTGAAAGAAGCACGAGCCAAACAACACCAGGTGCGGATGAACCGCCAATACTATAAGACCAAGACCTATGAGACCAAGACGACTGACAAGAAGCAGGGCATGGCATGCTTCCGATGCGGAGGTCCTCACCGAGTTCGAGATTGCCCAGACCGTCAGGCTCCTAGCGGTTCCTCAGCTCAGGTGACAGATGAGGCAGCACCATTTGTCTGCTTCACTCAGGGCACTTCTGAGGCCTATCAGGCCATGTCTTGTGATGAAGCTCCAGCACCTCTCATGACCACAGAACAAGCTGTGACTGCGGGCTATGGCATTGTTGATGGTGGGGCCACACGAACCATTGGGTCCACCTATGCACTTGAAGCCATTGCCTCGGAGAACTTCAAGAAGCGTCAAGATGGAGGTGTCCTGGAGGTCGATTGTCAGAACACCCCGAAGTTTGGTTTTGGCAACAGCAGTGTGGATACTTGCGTCAGCACTGCCAAGATGAAGATCTATGCTGACTCCAAGCCAGGTGTGCTTCAAGTACACGCTCTGGATCGAGGACAAGGACCAGTACTGCTCTCGATTTCCACACTTCGAGCACTGAAAGCAGTGATCGATTTCGAGTCTGATTTGATTGTTTTTCGAGCTCTCGATGACAAGAAGGCCATACAGGCCACACGATCTCAGGCTGGCCACCAGCTGCTGCCTTTGACGGATGATCTGTACAGAGATGCGGTAGCGTGTCATCAGAGGGTTCCCAGCTTGCGAGAGTTTGTAGGTAGCTCCTAGGGACAGCTCCTTCCTGACATTTTGCCTGAAGTGGAAAGGAAGGTCAACAATCAAGTTCAGGCTGAAGTAGCGGAAACTTTTTCAATTGGTGGTGTTCAAACTTGTGACAAAAACATTGTTTTTGATGATGTTGAAGGTGTTGTTGTTGGTGCCAAACATTCGGATGTCACGGGTAGTTGTCAATTGGGAAACGATCATGGTGTTTTGATGTCTCACAGTTTTTTTCCTTCTGAGAAACCACAGCAACTGCAGCATGACAGCAGCAGCGCAACAGCTCAAGCTAGAGGAGATTCGCAACGTGATCCTCTTTGTGATCCACCGATCAGCGACCATGTCGAAAGCGCCCACCAAAATCGAGCTCATCGAAGCCATCGAGTCCCTGGGAGAGACGCCTCCCTCCAGTTGGACGATGGTGGAACTCAAAACACGCCTAGCCGAGCTCAAGGAGGAACATGGGCTGGACAACAAGACCCTTCGGGTCAAGACCGAACTGCAGGAGTGGACCATCAAGCTCAACAAGGCCGCCACCAAGAAGGCCTACCTCCAGGCATTTTGCCAGGACTCTTTGGGCCTCAAGATCACTGGCTGCGAGACCATCGACCAGCTGAAGCGGGCCGGACTGGAGAAGATATACATGATTGCCAAGCCACATCCCTCCGATGGCGTGGGATTTGGAGCCCACGCCAGCCTGACCTACGACGAAATTCGTCTGGCTCAGTCGGAGTACTGCAAGTGGGTAGTGACTACGGCAGCGGAAGGTGGATGCAATTACCGCCTGAGTCGCCTGGCCCGATGGCTGGAGATGGAGGCCACTGCTGGCCCAAAGAAGCCAGTGCCAAAGGTTGGCCCACGGAAAAGCAAAGCTCCTTCCAATCGCAGTCACAGCCCATCGGCTGCCAGCACCATGTCATCCCAGGCCATTGCCATGATGACAACCATGATGCACACCATCGAGAGCCTGAAAGAAGAAGTCGAACACCTCAAGGAGGAGAAGCCCCACAAGAAGGCCACGGGTGGTGTGCTCACTCCTCGCGAGGAGAAACTATGAGCTGCGATCCTTCAAGGGCCTGTGCTACTTCTACTGAGGCACAGGAAGTCGCTGTGGATTTGAATGAGGCTGATCAGCCGATCAATGACAGAACTTCAGACTCAATGGCCAGGTTTTTGGAGAAGCAATCTTTTGACATGGCCCCCCAAGCTTTTCAGGGTTTGGTTTCTAAGGGGGAAACTGTTCTGGTTGAGGTTGCGTGTAGCCCTGAAAGCCGTTTGAGTGCTGAAATTCAAAGACTTTTGGGTTCCGAAGATGCTGCTGTAAGATGTTCCCACTGGAATGGCTGTGACTTAGGGACTTCTGCCGGGGTGAAGAAAATCATTGATGTGATTGAGTGTCGCAAACCTAGTCATGTTTGGATCTCCCCGGACTGTGGACCATATTCGCCTATGCAGGCGATTAATCAAAAAACAGAAGCCCAGGTTCAGGCCTTGCAGGACAAACGCCGAGCTGCGTTGAAACAGTACATTGGTGCCAGCTGCATCTACCAACACTGTGTGCAAAGGGGAATACACGTTTCTTGGGAGTGGTCACAATATTGTCAGGGTTGGAGGTTGCCGTTCATGCAAAAGTTGATTGCCAAATATGACCCTTATTTTGGAACCACCCAGGGTTGTCGTGTTGGGCTTCGGGACCCCAAAACCCAAAATCTCCTCAAAAAGGGCTGGAAGATCATGAGCACGAGCCGGAAACTTGCGGAGACCATGAACATGCCATGTTTGTGCCCGAAAGGATATTCCCATGCCAAATGTGAGGGGAGTTTAACGGGGTTGACTGCCTATTACACCATGGATTTCGTGAAACGGGTGGCCCAATGTATGACCCAAGAAATGTCCCACAATTTGTTGATGGAGGAACTTTCCGGTCGCACGGTTTTACCACAAATGTTTGGGGAAGGGCCGGTTTGTGTGTGTGATCACCTGAGGGAACATGGGAGTGATTTTCAGTGTGGGGCATGTTACATGGAGGAAAACAACACTATTTTAGATGTTGGTTCTCATGTGGTTGATGAACATGCTCATGTGCAACATTTTGTTGGGAAAATGACCCCCGAAGAAATTGATAAGAAACTTTATTTGTTACATGCTGCTACTGGTCATGGAAGTGTTCGCAATATGGTTCATGCTCTTGAAAGACGCAAGGCAAGCCCTGAGGTGATTGAGGCTGCCAAACGGTTTACTTGTTCGGTTTGTCATGAGAAACAAAGAATTAATTCCAAACATGTTGCTTCAATTGAACCTCTTCCCCCAAAGTTTTCGGTGGTGTCTGCTGATGGAGGCAAGTTTGTGCACCCCCAAACTCAAGAAGAATATGAATTTGCGTGTATTATTGATGAAGGGTCTCGTTTTCGAATTGCCAGAATTCTCAAACAAGGGAAGAAACAAACCATGAGTGCTGGACATTTTATTCAATATTTCCGGGAGGGTTGGATGCAATACTTTGGTTGTCCCAACACACTCCGACTTGACCCAGCAGGGGCATTCCGCAGCCAAGAACTCGAGCGTTTCTGCGATGACAATTCTATTTTTTAGATGTCATACCGGGCGAAGCCCACTGGTTTATAGGAACATGTGAACAAGCTGTGCAAGGCCTTAAGGTCTTGATGGAGAAACTGGTGATCTTGGACCCAACCATGACAGCAGAAGAAGCTTTAGCTGAGTCTGTGAGGGTTTTCAACAATCGAGAGTTGGTGAGGGGCTACTCACCTATACAACATGCCTTAGGGCGAGCCCCGGACGAAACAGGTCGTTTCATCCACAGTTTGTGCAGTCCTCTTCCTGAAGTTTTACTGGAAAACCCAAATGGGGAATTCAAACGGAATGTGGAAAGAATGAAACATGCTGAGCAAGCCCTTTCTGAATGGCAGGCACAACAAAAGGTGACAAAAGCCTTGAACTCAAGAGGCCAACGTCTCATGGACTACAGACCTGGTGATTTGATTTACTACTGGAGAAAGCAAATCAAAGGTGAGCCAGCCAACAAGAACGGAAAGTTCTTAGGCCCAGCCCGCATTTTAGCAACTGAGTCCAAGCGTGATCCCAATGGAGCTCTACGGAAAGGTAGTGCCATCTGGTGCGTGAGGGGTCGTCGAGTCATCAAGTGCTGCGTGGAGCAACTGAGACCCGCGTCAAAACGAGAAGAACTCCTCGAACATTTGGGAGAGGGTGAACCTGAAGCACCATGGACTTTTCCAAGAATTACTCAAGAACTGGGAGGCAATGAATATGAAGATGTCTCTATGGATGTTCCAGAACAAGAAGATTGGGAAGCAGCTCAAGATCCGATGGTTGTTGAGCCAGGTCCTCGGAGACATAGCACCAAGAGACCACCTACACCGAGACAATCACCAACCCACATTCAACCTACACCATCAAAATCATCACGGTCCAGCGGATCAGCAACGGCACATGTCACAGAAACACAACAAACTGCTTGGTGGAATTTCTTGGAAGAACCATTGCCTGAGAACACCGAAGGTTCCGGTTTCTGGGATCAACAACATGCAGCAGTCACCATTGAGGTACCCCTGCCGGAGTCACACCGAGGCCTTCTAAAGGCTGTGTCGGATTTTGAAACCTTCTTTGTGGGCGCACTCAAGCGCCGAGCAGTTGAAGTGCACGAGAAACATTTGACACCATCTGAACGACAGCAGTTTCAAGAGGCCAAAGAGGCAGAGGTACGGAACTTTGTGGCAGCAAAGGCATTCGAGGCTCTACCGCCTGAACTGAAACCTGATCGGTCACAAGCCATCGGCATGCGATGGCTTCTTACTTGGAAGCTGAAAGAGGATGGAGAGCGGAAAGCAAAAGCACGAGCAATACTGCAAGGATATCAAGACCCTTCTTACGAACATAGAGCCACCACCACTCCTGTGATGACAAGGATGACACGCCAGCTCCTTTTGCACGAAGCGGCGAGAAAAAGGTGGAGGGTACGCAAAGGTGATGTTACTGGTGCCTTTTTACAGGGTCGTGAATATCCACAAACTCTTTACTGCACACCATGTCCTGAAATATGTCAAGCCATGGGCCTGAAACCTGGAGAAATCACAAAGATCAAACGTGGCTGCTATGGCCTAGTGGACGCTCCTTTAGAGTGGTACAAATCAGTGTGCGAATACCTGGAAGAACTCGGACTTCAAAAGTCCTGGTCAGATCCATGTTGCTGGTTATGGAAACCAAATGGCTCCATCGCCGGCATGATAGCCGGTCACGTAGATGATTTTCTTTTTGCTGGGCCAGCTGACAATCCAGCATGGCAAGAAATTGAAAAGAAGATTCAGCAAAAGTACAAATGGACTGATTGGGAGGAAAACTCCTTTGTGCAGTGCGGAGTTCTCATTGAGGCCCAAAAAGATGGCTCCTTCTTTCTTTCTCAGCCAAAGTATTTAGATAAGGTCAGTGAAATCAGTTTAAGTGCGGTCAGGCGAAAGGACGCCAACGCACCCACCAGTGAAAAAGAGAAGAGCTTGCTGAGAGCAGTGTTGGGGGCACTGAGCTGGCACGCTCAGCAGGTTGCACCACATTTTTCGGCTGAGGTTGGTTTGTTACTGTCTGATGTCACTGTTAGTACTGTTGAAACTATTCACCAAACCAATAAACTTCTTCAAAAGGCGAAATCCCGTAAAGACCACAAACTGGTGATTCATGCGCACCCCAAAGAAACCCCGTTGGGAATGTTTTGTTGGGCCGATGCTGCTGGTCAAAATAGGAGGGATGGGGGAAGTACTCAAGGGATTTTTGTGGGAGTTGCCCCAATGAACTTGTTGAAGGGTGGTATGGAAAAGATTACCCCAATAAGTTGGCATGCTGGAAAAATCGACCGTGTCACCCGAAGTCCGGGAGCGGCAGAAGCAAGGGCTGTTGTTAATGGGGAAGATGTTTTGTTTCATGCTCGGTTTCAATATGGGGAAATGTTACATGATAATCCTAATGTTTTTGATGTTAATGAACTTGTGAATGTGGTCCCTGGTTGTATTGTTTCGGATTCCCGTAATGTTTATGACAAACTTCAAAGTGAAGAACTGAGTCCAAAGGGTGCTGAACGACGGACCGACATAGAGCTTTTAGCGCTCAAGGCGGCTCAAAAGCGAAACAATGTAGTAGTGCGATGGGTGCACTCGGAAGCGCAGTTGGGAAACGCTTTGACGAAAGCTGGGGCTAAGGAGTTGGATTTGTTCTACACCATGAAGGGCATGTGGCGCATCGTGGAGGACGATGGCATGAGGTCAGCTCGCAAACGCAGAAGCACAAACACTCCTCTTTTTGAGAACAATACCCAGAAAACTCCGATGACACCGAATGATGGTGAAACTTTTTATGGTTCCCATTTTACTTTTGAACACCACTCTGAAGAGTGACGGGGGCATGCAATTGTCATGTCCATTCAATTGAGTCGAACACACGGATTTCATCGTGCCTACGACAGTTTTGCATTTGGGGTCAAGGAAAAAGGTTTTGAGCGAGGTTGCGTAGCCACCTCTTTGTTTTGCCATCTTCATTTGATTCCGCTGCGCTGACACTTGGGCATTGCAGTTCGCTACCTCTGGGACCATCCACACTTGGACATGATATATACATGTTTTTTTCGTATCCTTGATGTAATCACATATAATATTTATTAATACCCAAGAATATATATATATATATATGCAAATCCCAGTTTGGTGATTTCATTTCAAGTCTTGCTGGTTCAGTCATGTTAAGTCCAAGTCTCCAACTTTCGCGAAAAAAAACATCGTTTCTCCAGCCAGTTTTTGCAGATCGTCCTGGTGAAATTCCATAAATCTTCCCTGGTGAAATCATCTCTTAAAAATCCAACAGCTGGCTTTTCCCAGCAGAATCTGTCAGGCTGGTCCCCAGTGATGTGAACGTTGGTTTATCATCCCCATAGAACTAGTTCGTTTATGTCATCCAACTATATCCAACTCACCAACCAGTCATTATTCACTGATTGCTGGATTCATGATCTGAGCCATTTACTGGGATCAATCCCACAATGTGGTGCAGTTCGTTAGCTGCCAGTTGGTGAACATAATTTCAATATACTTCAATAACTATGGCAACTATGGTAGATATATCTATAAATTCTATAATTACTGGGGTTTATAAACCAACTATAACCAACTTATAAAACTAACATCACTGGGGGGCACCACCTGGCAGGTACTTTGCGCTGTCGCGCAGCCTGCCTTTCGCCGACAGCAGCGTCGCTCGCGTGTTGGCGCGCACGGTACGTCGCACGGCTGGACATCGGGGACATCGGTGTTGGAGACCCGGAAATCGTGGGGAAATTCCCTGCAGTTATGGCTATTTATTATAGTTATAACTGGTTTTTCTCTATGGTTATCTATGGTTATCTATGGTTTATTATAGTTATAACTGGTATAACTGGTGCATAACTGGCTAGTTTAACATTCACATCGTACATGCATAACTGGTATTTCGGGTCATCAGCCTGCGGCATCAGTTCGCGGTTCGCGGGATTTGATGATCTGCCGTTGTTCTGGGCATGGTAATCATTTGGGGTTTCGGTAACAATCCATGGATGTTCAATGATCATGACAGTAATTATTCCATCATGATTGAACATCATTGACAAGTATTGATACATCATTGATACATGATCATTGAACATCAATGAGTATAATTACTGTAATGATCATTGAACATCCAATTGTGATTATTATATCAATCATGAACTGATAACTCACTAATTATACTCAGATCATCAATCATTCAATGAGTATGCGTGTCAGGAAAAATGAATCTGGGGATTTGTTGCATTGATTTGTTGATTATCCTCGAGCGTCTACATCATGCCATGGACTATAAGACTATGGTGGGCATATTCACCTAGCTACATCTACCCACAAAACGAAGCAGTTTGCAGATAAACACAACATACCCAACGGGGTATATGTTTTATTGGATTTGCCGAGATGGTTTAGATGGTTAGATGTGTTAGATCCTGACTTTTGCTGAAGTTCCGAATGATTAATCATGACTTCTGGTTTCTCATTTGATGATATCCCATTGAGCATACCCCATGCATGGACATGATATTGCAAGATATCCCAGTTGGACATTACTTGTTGACTATTCTTGAATTTCTTGATAAACACAATGTCACCATCAACCCCATGCTTGAAGACCTTGTTGTTTTGGGGTCTCGTCCTGTAGAAATGTGGAACCACCACTGATCATCAGACTATGGCCGGGTCTTCTGCGAGGCATTTATGAAATGTCCGTTGCCCAAACAGATAGACCATATTTGACCTTGAACACCAAAAGAAACATATGCATGTTCTGCATGTTCAGAGAATCTTACCATGGCCATTTAATGCCATATACATATATATATATACATATATATACATATATATATATATATATATACATATATATATACATATATGTATATCTATATACATATATATATATATTTATATATATTATATATGTACAATCATATCTCTTGATAATCCTACCATCCCATGTAAAACAAATGGTGACTTCATTTCTTCTCAGCCTTTCCGAGGATGTAACATCCATTGGCATCAGGAGAAGTTCCAGCATTTCTCGGGAGGCCAAAAAGGGACATTGTATTTTTTCATGGGACATGCCATGGTAAATGCCATATATCCCCATGATGTTCGACGTTTTTTGTTTGGTACATAATTTCTAGTATACCACAATCATTCGAAAAATTGGATGGTTACGAAAAATCTGCTATTGAATCCGTGTTGTCCCTTCTGGGGCTTAAATTTTGACTCATCCCCATTTCAAGGTCATATAGAAATATATCTAGTGGGTATAAATATAAACGATTATTATAATGGTTTGGATGAATTTGTTCTACATATATTGTGCAACTTGAGAAAACGCTAACCCCATTTACGTTGAATTTAGATCCAAATTTTAAATACACAGAAACATTATTATAGGGATATTTGGTGGGCAAAATAGTAATGAGAATGACAATAACAATGCTAACAATGGTAATACAGATCCTATATTTAGAATAATATTAGTTACCCTTGGTTTGCTGAAGATGGTTTGTTTATTTTAAAATTGGTTAATCCACTATTTTGGGGAATTTACTGATTACGTGGATAAGGGTTCCCCCCTTTTTTTGCCAAATCCAAGTTATTTGGAAAGAGTGGGGATAATATTGGGGATGAATATATGTTATCAACAATTATAGGGACATCTGGTGGGGATAATGATACGTGATTATCATCAAAAATGGGGACTTAACGGGATGAATATGGTAGCCTCTTGTCATGTTTTAGAATACTGAATTAGCATTTGTTATGTGATAATATATATATTTACATATCAACTGATACCATTGGGTATTTAACGAGGACATATCATGTGGATATAACCGAAGGAAGTTTAGAAGTCAAACTTCCGACAATATGGACAGATGAAAAGCAGAGATGGGAAGAGTCAGAGAAGAGAAGAGAAGAAGAAAGAAGATCAAAAAGAGAAGAGAAAGAGTCAGAAGAAAGAAGATGCAGATGCGCGAAAAGGTAGGAAAGTTGCAAAACACTGTGTTGTTCCAATGATTTGTGGCTCCGGAGGGTCGAAAAGTAGGCTCGCTAAAGTGGCGGGTGCGGAGCCAGCTGGCCACTCTGCCATCCGTGATTCCAACAACCAGCCTCTCCTATAGGTTTCCTTTTTTTTGAAAATTCCGCCACCGCCTTGTGCGGTACTACTGGTAAATATTCACAATTAATTTGATGATGTGTACCTTGACCCATGGGAACATTTGGCTCAAAATGCTGAAACATATGGAAAACACATTATGTCAATAGAGGATCAACGTATATATGTAATATGATACATAAGGTTGGTTTCTTTCGTTTCCAATATTGATGTTTGAGAAGAGTTGAGAATATCTGATATGCAGCAGATCTGGTTTATTTTAACTTCAGGCCAGTAAAACTGAGCTCAGGAACCGAAGTGCATCAGTCCCATTTAGAAACCGATGATTTTGTTATAAATCTCCCGTAATCTCCCTATGGTTTTGTCGGAAAATATCATATTGTTCATTAAAGTATGAATCGTCAGCCACAACAAAATGTAAAAAAACATGTTTTTTTCGTCGGATTTTACCAATTTCTATTCCCTTTCAGCAGGATTTTGGTATCACTATTTCAGTAGGATACTAGAGCAACTTCTGTTTTTTTAGAGACATATATCCAAATGGATGCTTTAGATGTATCACATATTTAAAAAAAAATAGATGTTATTTAGAATTTTCAGGGACCTCTTTTGATGCATCACATCTTGAAACGGCCCCTGAGTTTTGGATATGTTTTCCACTTCCGCAGAGGTCTTGTGAAGCTCTGCAAGATCCTTCTGTCCAAGGAAATGTGCAGGGAAGGGACCCAGTAGAACATTGGGAAAAGGATATTTAAATTGATTTAACTGTGTGGTGGTGGTGTAATTTGAATATGTGTATGATATATATAATTATATATATATTATTGTTTTAATATATATATATATATTGTAATTTAGATAATACTGTTGTATTTTTGGGTGTTCTAAGCTTAGAAACCCGGTGTTTTTTCGTTTTTCGTGGACAAGTGACGGTTTCCAGGAAAGGCAAAACAATGTTTTTTTTCCAGTTGTTTGGTATTATAACAATATTTTGAAATCTCAATAATATGATGAAATACATGTGATTATATGATTTCCAGATTTTTTTTGAGTAATTTTAACTTAAGACATCCCAAACGGAGCCTGACACCTGGACACACAGTCGTTTCCTCGCCAGCACGTTATCGCCAACATGTCTCAGCTGTGGAACGGAGATTTTATGACTTGGTTGCATGTATCTTCGTCGAAGGACTCTTGGAGAAACATGGTGGCTATTACCCTCTGGTTATTTAACATAGCCATGGGAAATGGCCCATTTATAGTTTATTTACCTATTAAAAGTGTTGATTTTCCATGGCTACGTCAAATAACCAGAGGGCAATTTTGTTTGACGTTCTGTTGATCTGCGTGGATGACTTGCCAGTCGTGTGGTTAAAAAAAACGCGGTGGGCAAACACACTGACTGCGCCAGTCGCGGGAGTTGAAGCGGCGAAAACGTCGCGACATGTCGCGACAGCATCCGAACCCAGATTTTGCTGGCGTAAGGCTTGGACCATGGACCATCCAAATTGTGTGATATATAGTGGTATATGGTATATGTATAATTGCCGTGTTTGTTCATTATATAGATATATATACATATATATACCATGTCAGTGCTAGACATGGCGTGGTTGAAATTTCTAATCTGTTTTATTGATTTAAAATAGTGTGGTTTGAAAGTAGCAGCAACACATTTTTTAGTCAGCAATCATAATTGCATACTTACTAAATGTGTGTTTTGCCCAACTACCACTAACAATTACGTGTCATGTTGTCTATTGGCAATATATATATATATATTCTTATATCACAATAAAATACTGATAACTTTTTATACATATTTGAATATCTACAGTATATATATATATCGGTATACTTTGTTTAAGAGTTCATCTTTTCTTGTGGTTTAAGAGTTTCAAGTTGGGGCGCAGTTGAACAAGAACATTATTAGGTGGCTTGTGAAACATGTGCAATACTCCTATGAAACGTGAATAACTTCTATGAAACGTGCTCTATAAAACACTGCAAAGAACTCTTGTGTATTCCTAAAGCCCCATCGTTCTAAAACACTGTAATGAACTCTTGAATGGAGTATACCCACATTCATATATACACACGTAATAGATAGTAATAATCGTCATAAAGTCATAGACAGCAATCGTAAGAGAGAGTGGAATAATAACACACACATATCTATATATATGGAACAATATTTCATTTTCATAGAAGTAGATAGTCATGTCAATCTAGCAGGTGTATGTCCACCACCTTTACTATCCACATTACTTTCAATTAAGACTAATACAGTTTTAAGAATGTTAAAAACTATTGACTAGCAATAAAACCTTCGATTGATGTTTTCGTCATTATCTCATCAACCTTCATGACGGTTCCAAGCCATTTCCTTAGACTGTTTTTTTCTTTCTGAGGACATGACAATTTGATACAATTTGTACATGACCGTTAGAAACTAAACCAATCTAGCCGGGAATCATTTGTATCAACTCTTTAAATCAAAACACATGTTCAAGTAGTATAGTATCAACTATGTATGTATATATATATACATATAGTACCAAATAGGAACCAGTTCGTATATATAGTTTAACACATTCAATTAGTACCATAGAAGTTGCTTTAGTGTAATATAGAAGTACCAATTCAAGTATAGTACCATGTAGATACCTATAGTATTTCCTATTATATATAGTACCATATAGTATTCCGGGTATTCCCTATATAATACCATATAGTACCATATTATCTATATAATACCATATTATCTATACAATACCATATATATATATATTGATAATAGTTAATACTATATATTTCATACCATATCACATATTACATATAGTATAGTACCTATTTTATTATAATACCATATATAGTACCGTATTATCTATATAATACTATAGGTATTCCCATTTTAATACTTAATATATATATATCTAATACATTATATAGATACCATTAGTACTACCTATAGTATTACCTATAGTATTACCTATATTAGTTTTATCAATATAGTACCATATAGTATAGTATAGTCCCATATAGTACATAATATCAATATAGTTAATATAGATACCTATAATATCAAAATAGTTTTTCCTAATATATAGTACCACAGTATTCCTCATTATATATTCAATATAGTATAATATAATATATTCACCATATAATATTACCACAGTATTACCATAGTATTCCCCATAGTATTCCCCATATAATATAGATAATACATGGGATAATCCTTCCCATTGACGAACTCATATTTTTCAAGATGCTTTTTGCACCACCAACCATATATATATAGTAGCAATAACTATGGTTTATGGTACTTATAACTATAGTATTCCTGGGGCTTTTGTTAACCAACATTCACATCACTGGGGGGCCTCACATTGTAGATCATCTAGTTATTCCCCATTTTTCATATTCCCTAGTTTTCATATTACTATAGTATTACCATAGTATTCCCCATATAATATACGGTATATTATCTAGTGATTCCAACCATCCTTTCACGATAAAAATTCCCCATCCGATCCATCGGATCCCCAACGGTGCAGGACCCCAAGGATCGGCCCTCCGCCCAAACGGCCTTCGCGGCCATGTGGGCCTTGCTGCGGCCCAAGGAACGGCAGGTGGCGCCTCGGTGATGCAACGGGGAGAACATGCTGGGTTTCACGGGAACAAAATGGGACAAAATGGTGGTTTTATGGATCAAAAAACGATGACCAGTGGTGGATTTATGTGGTTTTTTGGGTTTTGAAATGATGAAAAGTGGTGGTTTTATGGCTAGAACATGATGAAACATGGTGGTTTTATGGGTAAACATATCATGGTTTCACTGGCAGTGGTCAGTTCATGGAAAACATGGACACACTTTTCCGAACAGGAATGCGGAATTCGACAGCAAACGCGTGAACTCGACCGCACAAACTAGGAATTGACCAGTAGAGTTTGGAAATATACTACCCATGACAAATGGTCAGATTCATCAGAATAAGAGCGTCCTGCGTCAAAGTTCTGTTGTTGGTTTTTGGTCAGAATTTGGAGGTAGACACATGACTCAGGAAATTGTCAATTTATTTTCCATCATCACCACTATTAACCATCAATCACCATCATTAATCATTAACCAGGATATAGTCACATATAGAATCACATATAGAATCACCATGATCAATCACCACTATTCACTATTCACCATTATATAACATTATTAACCATTAAATCACCAGTAAATCACCATTTGAATCACCATTAAATCACCATCAATCACCATTAATCACCATCAATCACCATTAAATCACCATTAAATCACCATTAAATCACCATTAAAATCACCATTAAAATCACCATTAAGTCACCATTAAAATCACCATTAAAATCACCATTTAAATCACCATTAAAATCACCATTAAAATCACCATTAAATCACCATTAAAATCACCATTAAAATCAACATTAAATCACCATTAAAATCACCATTAAAATCACCATTAAAATCACCATTAAAATCAACATTAAAATCAACATTAAAATCACCATTAAATCACAATTAAAATCACCATTAAAATCAACATTAAATCACCATTAAAATCGCCATTAAAATCACCATTAAAATCACCATTTAAATCACCATTAAAATCACCATTAAAATCACCATTAAATCACCATTAAAATCACCATTAAAATCACCATTAAAATCACCATTTAAATCACCATTAAAATCACCATTAAAATCACCATTAAATCACCATTAAAATCACCATTTAAATCACCATTTAAATCACCATTAAAATCACCATTAAAATCAACATTAAAATCACCATTAAAATCACCATTAAAATCACCATTAAAATCACCATTAAAATCACCATTAAAATCAACATTAAAATCACCATTAAAATCACCATTAAAATCACCATTTAAATCACCATTTAAATCACCATTAAAATCACCATTAAAATCAACATTAAATCACCATTAAAATCACCATTAAAATCACCATTAAAATCACCATTAAACATGTCAAATCCATGGTTTTTTCCGTGTTAGGAGACGGTGCTCCAGTCGCTGCACGCCATTCCCAGCAGCACTTCCGGTCGCGGACCGGCGTCCTCGGCGTCTCGCGGACGTGGCTCCATCCAGGGGTCACCGTGGCTTGACGCCTGGGGAGGTTGAGGACATATCTTGGGGTTGATCTTTGGTGATTCTTCATGGTAAAACTAACCATGGTAAAACCATGGTAAAACCGGTAAAAACCATGGTGAAAACCATGGTAACTAATATGTAAAAATATGATAAAAGAAGAATAATTAAACATTCCCCCAAATCATTTTTTTTATAGTATAAACAAGTTCTTAATGGATATTTGTTTGGTGATTCGTGGCGATTCATGGGGACCCTCTGGATCCCTCTGGTAATTAAACACGCTTTGCCGGAAAATGACTTATGGATGGCCAGTAACTTACTGGTGCTAAACATAGGGAATGGATGGGTTGCTGGGGGTTGCTGGGGGTTGCTGGGATGATTATATACTAGTGATGACATGGATCATTCCCGAAAATTCCCTGCGTAAAACGCACCCGTTTGCTGGAGGGTGCCATTTTTTTGGAAGCCGGCGAGGAAGCCGGCTTATTGACTGTGCCAAAGATCTACGGATTGAGATTCCCAACATTTATTGATTAGATGGGGATTATCAGAAATGGAAATTAGATTGGAATATGAGTTGGAACAGATGGGATATCATTGTATAAAGATTATATATATATATACAATATTACAACCTGCATTCTAGGCACAAAAACAGATGGGTATTTTAGTACAACCTCACCAGCCATTTTTCTTTTTGGCATCGTTTAGATGTGCTGAACTTGGCCCAGATTTAATCCACCAGAACAACAAATGGTTTCGTGCCATTTGTTGTGAAATTTCATGTGTGAAACGACTGACAACAGGGACCTTAAGTGACTTAATAGTGGTTGAATTAATAGTGAACTATTAAGTTAAGGTTGTGAATATTAACGATTAACCACTATTAACAACTTAACTATTAACTATTAATATTAACCACTATTAACCACTATTAACCACTATTAACTATTGATATTTCAACTGATTAATAGATCATAATGTGTTCTGTTAATGCTGAACTCTAGGATCACCTAAGTCGGTGAGGTGGTTGGTGGGAAAGGAATGGATATACCTTGGTAGCATCAGGCCCTGGGGGGGGGACACCAGTTGAGGCTGATTCCAGATTGCTTGAAACATGTTGAAAACCATGGTATATATGTTCCTTGAATTACCACTATTAACCATTATATAATCACTATTATCTAGTATTATCTATTATTATGCATTATTATTGATTAGTATTTATTATTATTATTATTTATTATTATTGTTATTGATTATTATGTATTATTATTTATTATTATGCATGTTGATTATTATATATTTATTACTATTTATCATTTATTATCTATATTTTGTTTATTCATCATTTGCCAATGATAGCAAATAGATAATAGTGTTGATTGATGGAACATATTATCAACCTAATACGTGTTATTCACCAGCTGATTAACCATTCATTTGCCAATTCCCATGGGCGCTACCAAGGACCCTTGTCCAAGAACCCAGCGATCGACTCTCGGACTCGAGTCCTTGTCAGATGACAGGGAACTTTGATGAACCCCGGTTTTTGCACCAGATTTCTGGGGTACAAAAATGCGACACAAACATATAAAAACCCACAGTTGATCAATGGGAATTTCAGGATCCTAAAATGGAGGTACTGTACTATATAAGCCCATATTTTGAGGGGATATCCTTTTGCTTGTCATACATATGAGCTATGGTCAATACTCATGGTTAATAACCATTAAAAACGGGGCTAGTCATCCAATGGTTCATAGGGATTTATAATAACCATTATAAGGATCCTTATTATGGATGGGATGACCATCAACCATATAGTGAGTATTGACCATGGCTCATATAAAAACCCACAGTTGAAGAGTAAATAAAGCCACAAGTTTTGTTGCATCCCAATTAAAAACACAACGTCTCCTGAGTTTTCTTTGGTGTGTCCATGCTAGATTGCCGTTGCGGCACCGGGGTTCAACTCGGTTCAACGGTGTCATATTTGTATATATTTGTCACGCTTAAAATTGCCATCATGCTTCAGGACGATCAATTGTTGTATGCCAGCATGTTTTTTGTGGTTTAAATCCATAAATCCCATTTTTATTTACTGTATGGTTTTCTTGTTTGTTTTCTTGTTCGATTGTTTGTTTGTATGTCTGTTTGTTTGTTTGTGTGTTTGTTATCTTTGTTTCTATGTCCTATGTTGATTTTTTGTTTTTTTGTTTCTCCTTTTAAATTCCTTGTTTTAGTTAGCCAAAAAATCTATAATTATATAATCTGTACTCCCAGAAAACATTGATATGAACTTGTTGAAGCCCAACTAAAGATGGGTATTATACCCACTTTGGAGACAGACAGACAGACAGACAGACAAACAGACAGACAGACAGACAGACAGATAGATAGGTGGATAGATTCCGATAGATCTAGTTACTGTATCACCAAGTTGAAGACTTCTGTTGTTGGACACCTGACACAGCCTAACTCAGCTGGTCGGTGGGATATTCATGTGTGGAATCCTTGCCCATACCATCCATGTATTGTGTAATTCGCATGGTCATCTAAAATCGGATTATTTTGAAGTAAATTGAGAAAACATACTGGGTAAACCTGAGATGGATTAGTTATTAGTTTAGTCTCTTGCAGTTCTGTTGTCCAAAAATGAATATATACTACAATCTATAGATACATTACTAACCAACCAAATCATCATCTAGGATATAGTATATATATATATATAGTTTTCCATGTGGGTTTGTTTGAACATATTGTAGTTTATCATCATTTTCCAACCTTAAACATCAGTCAATATCCAGGTTGAATCTAATGGTTTTTCGACAGAATCCCATGGCTCAATCATCAATCGTCCACACCATTTTCCCATGAACATAATCATGTTCAACAGAGAAAAACCATGAACATGTCAGAAAAGAAATACGAATCTATGGAATCTATGGCTGTGTTTTATGGTTTTTGTCTGTAATTTTCCCAACATTTTCCATTTGGAGCTCCACTAATAGACACGGCGCATCCTCTAAGGCCCTCGTTCCGCGAGCCCCTGGCGAAAACTCATGGACACGAGGCGCCAACAGCAGCTCTGAAACCATGGGGATGTCTAAAGTCTAGTTGATTTGTGAAAAAACTATAAGTTTGAGGTTTTGTTTGCAGATCAATTCATTGTTAAGTGCCAATTTAGTCCAAGGTAACATAACTATATTTGTTCAAATTGATTTCTACTGATTTTTTTTGTTGAACGAAAAACACATTAAACAAAAATAATGAGGATATATAGATAACTTGGTAATTGTTCAACTAGGCGTTTGGTGTTTGGCTGTTTGGTGTTGTAGATATTTTTCACTCACGGAAGGATCTCACAATTCATGGGGGGCAGTGTAGGCACAAGTTATATCTCCTTTAACTACTCAAGCCAGGTGCAAATGATTGGCTCACTTCCAGGATCAAATAACGGGGGCATTCAATACGTGCGGACACTCTGGATGATTTGGCCTTGATGTGTGTGTTTTTTTTTGGGGGGAGAAATAGAGGAGCACTAGGCACTAGGTTGTTTTTAAACAAACGATCGAAGGTTGGTGATGGCATGGGACTGCCCCCAGATCTTGGCAGATCATTGCAGATCTTGAAAACATTCGGAGTCCACGCCGCCGGGTAAGACAGAAAAGTACCGAAGGGTAAACAAAAATCAAAGAATAACAATGGTGGTGAGGCAACATTAGCATATATGTGCTATTAGAAATAGTAATAGTACTTAATCGTATGACATGCTATGGCATACTATTATGATATTAATTAAACTATTGCGTGCTATGAAACCTACTATTACATACTATTACGTACTAATATGTACTATGAAACCTACCATTGCATACTACCAACTATCACCAAGCACTAGCGACTGGTAGCTGGATATGGCGGCCTCTTTGGCGCGAAACGCCCATCATGACATTGTTTTTTCGTTCCTATGGGGATGGTCATTCATCTATGAAGTCATAGGATTTGACACATGCGTTACCGGTAAATAAACAGTTGGACCCTGAAAATAGCCAATTTTTAATGGAAACTAGTTTTTTTCAACCCCTATATATCTGCCAGGGTCGAACTGTTAATTTACCAGAGGGTTTTTCTGCGTTATGCTTGAATTCCTCTGATTTTTTTGAGAAAAATGGGGCTTTCTTATGACTCGTAGTTGTCGTGGCTTGATCTCCAAGTCTCCTAAGATGCCAAAGATGGTTTAAGTATGTTTCAATACTAAGTCAGGGTCATTCATGACGACTGGATGATGTGATCGGGGGTACCCCCATGACCAAACGGAACCCCCCAAAAAAGGCCATAAAGCCCAATCATCCCATCTTTCACGACTGACTTGTTGTAGGCAGCGCCTGCGGAAGGGCTCAAAGGAGTCCCGCCCGGATATCACGGCCCCTGGGCCGCACCATCGCGAGAGTCCTTGATGGTGAACGTCAATGATCACGTGGAAAATCATGGGTGTGTAAATGACTAACAGTTTGCTATTGAAAATTACCATTTATAGGTGATTTACCCATAAAATATGGTGATTTTACAATAAATAAATAATAAAATATGGTGATTTTCCATAGTTATGTAAACGTTTACCAGAGGGTACTATTCTCTATTTATGCTGAAGAATAGTGGACTTGGCAAACATGAGCCAGCATCGAAGCTGGGGATTTTTTTTGCATTCATCTAGTGCCATCCCGTATCTTCACCGGAGGATATGGAAGTTGTCCACCCTGAAAAAAGTTCAACTTTTTGGGCTACGGGATTCATTATGTCCTGTGGATGGGTCTTAAGTTGCATATGAAATTACCATATGGTAAGGGAGAATCACCAGCACCAGCGAGTTGACTGTCCGGGTATCATCCGGCTTCCCCGGGCGACGCCAGTAGCCAGTAGCCATGTATTTGCCACCTTTAAACATTATGATTTGGGGGATGGTTTCTTATTGTTTTATATACCCACATTACATATGGACAAAGAGGAAGGAGCGATGTGGGTTACATAAATGGAAGGGCAGAAGACTATCAATATTGACTTCAAACAAGTTGGAAACACATACAAATCTTGCTTGATGAAGATGACATCCTCCTGTCCTTTGACCGAAGTAGTTTTCATTCACTAGCACTGCTCCCGGCTAATGATGATGTGACCTCGTGAAATTGTTTTCTAGGAAAAATAAATGCAAACAAGGACAGAAAGATCAGGGTATTAGTACGAAGTGGACCCCACAGTCATGAATTGGTTTATAGTTTATAGATAGCCATCCAACGGAATGGTAACCCATGAAACGGAAACCCATCTGTGGGACCCACATCCATCACTCGTATATTTAAGGTTCAATACCTCAATGTTTGTCGCTTCATGCAACCAGGATTTTCCATTTGTTTCTTGCATTGTTGTTGATAAATCCACGATGTTTCTATTAAATGTTTTTTATTATTATTTGTTGTTGATTCCCTTTATTTCTGGCGGTAAACCCCCAATGTTTGATAGTTAAAGCCCCAAAAATTGATGGTTTAATTATTCAATCCCATTTCTTGATGGTTAAACTGTCAACGATCATTTTGTTTTTAATGCCTAAACACTGACTTTGACAGTTAAATCACACTTGTTGATGGCTACATTCCCACTTTCGATGGTCAAAGCACCATTTTTGCAGCTAAGTTCCCATAAAATTGAGATGTTTGAGGGCAAAATTCCATAAAATTTCCATATCTATGGACAGAATCCCTTTTTTTGGCTCAATTCAGTTGGTTGTTGCTCCATCTATTCTTAAACAAACCCTACCAGGCCCTGCCGGTTTTGTTTCACTGAGGATGATCCTGACGCCTGGGTGCTCAGTTTTGCGGTCAGAAATGGTGGTCCAAGAATGGTGAAAAACAGTGGTTAGCTAATGACTAATTCATGGTTAGTTAATGAGTATAATGGTTGGAAAAGTGTAATAATGGTTAATTAGTGGTTAACTAATGGTTAATTAATGGTTAATGAATGGGTATAATGCGGTATAACTAATGCTCGGAAAACCACAAAAACTACCCATCTAGAACTGCAAGCTGGTGGTTTCCCCAGTTATAAATGGCTAATCCCATTAACTATAGATATATCTGGCTAAATTACAACGACCTCACTGCGACCGAGCCCTGGAATCATGGCTAATAAGGGAAATCATCCCCTTTTATGGCCAGAAATATGTGAGACCTATTTGCATCCCGATGATCGGTCAGAAATCCTCGATCATGTTATCATATGATCGACATCGACACCCAGATATTTGCATCGAGGGATCATCCCGATGTGAAACTCATACACCAGATGTTGAAACTCATATCCAGTATCATGAGATATTTGGAGTCAACAAGGAATCCAGTGAGATAAATAGAGGATTAATTATAGTTTCATGTTTATGACTATATAGAAATGGAATTTCAATGGAAGATTTAGATATGGATTCCACGATGATCTCAGCCTTTGCGACTCGATGCTGGATCCTTTTGGATGCCCTTGGCTGCCCATGGCCGTAGTACCATGTTTGGGACTGGGACTAGGACTGGGGACTTTTGAGAGATAAACATATGATAAACGCTGCGATTCTCTATGTAAAAAGATTGTTATTTAATGGTTATTTAATTTAGTGGTTATCTAACGGTTATTTAATGGGATTTATTGGGATATTAATGGGGATATGATCAATGGGATTGGATATTCATGTGGTTAAAACAATGCCATAAACCAGCCATGACTGGGAATGGTAACCATACCACCCATAAAAATGGTGATGACTTGGGCATGGTTTATTATTGTTTTACCCACATTAATGGGATACTGAAGTATATAGTTATATATAATTAATGGGGTACCATGGGATATGTAGCCATCGGATGTGGACATCCAGATAGGTAAATTGGATGCTTGATAGCAAACTGAACTGTTGTTTTTCTTCTTTGGGGCATCTATATCCAGTGTGATGGACGAACAAGAGACAACTTACAACTGGGGGGCACTTAAGATTAACTGGAGTTCATCCAACTTACCTATTTGTTGGGGTGACCACATCCTGTGGTTATCTATGGTTATATATCCCATTGTATCCCTTCGCCAATAACCCCACTAGTTGAGTGAAGCCACCGAGATTCAGAGGGGTATAGGTCAACATGGGGTGTTTTGGTATCCCAAAGATCTGCCTATGCTACCTGACTTCATGCAATTCATCCAGGTAAAACCCCACGGCCAACCCAGGATTTTAAGTTCGGTACGATTTGTTTGGCATTCATTCCTGTGGCAGTTGCTTACCAGTTTATGATGTTTATGGCTATAGAAGAATCTGAAAGTACATGAACTGATTGGTGGTTTGGAACATTTTTTATTTTCCATAATATATGAGATAATCCTTCCCATTGACTAATATGTTTCAAGATGGTTATTGCACCACCAACCAGTGCAAGTACCCAATCTTCCATGGAATTCACCATAGTTTACCCATGGTGCCCCAAAATCTTCTCCATACATCCCTACGCGTAAGTTCATCCATATCCCAGGCTAAATGACAGTTTAACAGTTTAAATGGGGAAAAAACATCTATACATCATCTATAAACATCTATATATCATCTATATATCATCGAATGTTACATCAACAATAGTAAAGGCCCCCCCATTTTTTTTTAGGGGGGGTCTGCTTTGCAATAGTAAATCGAAAATATCAACTCTTACCCAAGGCTTCTGTAAGGTTTTTGACAAATCCTCTCTTTTCTGATAGGCTCTGATGGGATCTTCATTGGATTCTGATTGAGAACCTCTGTTTTCTGATAGGCTTTGGTGAGAATCACAATTAAAAACCATTCAGCCACAATGAAAAAAACATTAAGGAAGGAGGGACAAAAATACAGCTGAGCCAGAAAGGTTGTTTTTTATTGCAAATGCTAATTCCAATTTTTAATTGGAAATGCAAGGACCTGCAAGGGGGTACCCTTTGTGGACCTGTTTTTTTCATTTGCTTAAAGGATTTTAATAAAGAAAACAGCTTTTTTGAACAAGGTAAAGTTATTGATTTGGTAAGGGTTCGCTTTGTTTTTTGCTTTTGAAAAGCATGCAATCACAATCTAAAACCATTCAACCACAATTAAAAACACTAAGGGAGAAGGGACAACCATCAGCTATAGCCAGAAAGGTTGTTTTTTTTATTGCAAGTGCTAATTTCAATTTTAAATTGCAAATGCAAGGGCCTGCAAGAGGGCACCCTTTGTGGACCTGTTTTTTGGCAATTTTTTTAAAGGATTTTAATAAAGAAAACAGCTCTTTTGAACAAGGTAAAGTTTTTGATTTGGTAAAGGGTTGCTTTGTTTTTTGCTTTTGGAAGGCGTGCAATCACGATTTGAAACCATTCAACCACAACTAAAAACACTAAGGAAGAAGGGAAAAAAACAGCTAGAGCCAGAAGGGTTGTTTTTTTATTGCAAGTGCTAATTCCAATTTTGAATTGCAAATGCAAGGGCCTGCAAGGGGGTACCCTTTGTGGACCTGTTTTTTGGCAATTTTTGAAAGGATTTTAATAACGAACACAGCTCTTTTGAACAAGGTATAGTTTTTGATTTGGTAAGGGTTTGCTTTGCTTTTTGCTTTTGAAAAGCATGCAATCACAATTTAAAACCATTTAACCACAATTAAAAACACTAAGGAAGAAGGGAAAAAATACAGCTGAACTGTAACTGTAACTGGTTCTGAGTTTTTTTTCCTGCATCCATACTAAATCTCAATTAGCCCCTTTACAATTTAGTATTGGAAAATCTGATAATTTGGATTTTTTTCTGAAAATTATTTGTAGCTATTGCGAATGAACCACATTTATTGCGGATGGTCTGGACCAAGGTTGATGTTTGTAATTTAAAATCAATTAATAAGGCCTGATTTAAAATCAATAGGGGCTGAAAAATTAGATTCTGAAAATTATGTGTAGCTTTTGCGCGCGCTTTACTATTGTCCATCCAACATTATATATCATATATATATATATATATCATCTATGTATCATCTATATGATTATATGTTCCTACTAAATAATCTCCATTTCTAGGGTGTTTCTGAGTTGCTTCCATCCCAGTTGTGCCGCAGGAAAATAACTCCCTTCAAACCTTCCTGACCTGCAAAGGTGGGAAACCCGGATGATACCCGGACAGTCATAGCTGCTTAATGGATGGTTATCCCCCAAGTCATATGGTAATGATAATGCTGGTTGGTGCTTTGGAACATGTTTTATTTTTCCATATATTGGGAATAATACTCCCAACTGACTAATATTTTTCAGAAGGGTTGAAACCACCAACCAGTAATAATAACAATAATAGCTTTTGAGATGTTTTGAGCCATCCAGAGTACCCCAAAAATACAAAAAAAAACACTGAAACAGGGACACGTTGGACACAGGGCTTGAAAATGATGACCATTGCATACCCCCTGGCAATTTCGGGAGCGGATTATTTTAATTGGATTTTAGGGATTCCCCTGGGATATTTTCATGACACCATGGTGGTTGCATCACTTCTATTCTGATGTTGCCATTTTTGGATTACCCTCTGGTAAACTAACGTAGCGAACTGGAAAATCACCATTATTAACGGGTAAATCAACTATGTCTATGGCAATTTTCAATATCAAACTATGAAAAATTACCGGAGGGTATATTTGTCATGTTCCATCCCAAAAAATGGGGAAATGATCGTTGACAACCTCAGATTTGTCCACAATCCCAAGCTGCCAAATCATGCACGGAGACATTACTCAGATACCCTCTGGTTATGTCAAAATAGCTATTGAAAATTGCCATTTATAGGTGATTTACCCATTGAAAATGGTGATTTTCCATAGTTATGTTACATATGTTAGTTTACCAGAGGGTACATGAGTTTAGATCCCCGTCAACCAAGGGTCTTGGCAAGTCACCTTTTGTGACATCTATTACTGTTTATTCTCAGTGATCGGGGCGTCACAGATTGTCCATGTACTTTGGGTTGTATTGTAAAATAGAATAAAGAGTCCAACAACACAGAGAATGTATGGTTTTGTGCATAAATTTAAACAAGGACAAACAACACCAGAGCAAAGAGGAACAACAAACCAGAAAACAAAAAACACGCAACAATAACAAAGAAACACAAACTGGGAAGAAACACAGTTTTTTGACTCATGTTTTTCTGCTGATTCTTTCCATGCGCATACCATATACCCAACTAGTACTGTACTTATGCCTGGAAAAACATCAGATGGGTACTTTTATCATCTTTTTATCCTTTGCATTCATATTGTCTTAACCACACCAGCCAAAAACTTCCATTCCTTGAGTAAGATTGGCCATCATTTTGTTGGCTACCTCCTAGGTACATGGGATCCTTTGGTTCCACATTTTCCTGGGCAAAATCTGAGAAATCTTTACAAGTCGTGAGGCCCCCGGCCACGATAGCTAAAGTTGGTGAACATAAGTCCAATAACTATGGTTTATGGTACTTACAACTATATAGTTACTGGGGCGAATCTAAACCAACAAACATCACTGGGGGGCCTCACATTGTAGGGAATACGTTCAACATGTCTTCAAAATTAAAAATCCCATAGGATCCATGTATGCTATATATGGTAACATTTACCATCAATATACCCCCAATGTTAGCATATATACCATACATGGATCCTATGGGAATTAAAGATCCAGCAGTGAAAGTTGGACTGGAGCCCTCCAGGATTAAGGTCTCAACGCTCCGACCCAGTGGTCCCACGGTTCCGCCACGGGCGCCGCAGGCGCTGCAGCGTCCGACGCCCAAACCACGCGAGTCGCCTCGCCCTCAACGCCCTCCGACCGAACGCCGGTGAAACCGGGCCCCAGCGCCCCACGCGGAGCCGTGGCAGCGGTGAAACCGACAGGTGGGAAGTGCCAGGAATGCCACCGATTTCCAGGAATGGGATAAACATGGATAAACCCTCTGGTAATTTGTTACATAGCCATGGAAAGATCCACCATTTTTAATAGGTAAACCATCTATTTCTATGGGCCATCTAAACCATGGCTATATGTTAGTCATAACCAGAGGGTAAATCCAAAGTATAGCACTATGGAGGTTCGCAACGTCTGGTTGATTTAATGGTTGATTTAATGGTTGATTTAATGGTTGATTTAATGGTTGATTTAATGGTTGATTTAATGGAGTCTAAAACTGACCAGTTTATGGTTGATGTGTCCGAAGTCCAATGCCAATTTCTTCATAGACCTGGAGATTTGCGCCGGTTTTGGGTCGGAAAGTTGTTCCCATCCCCAGTCATGCTAGCGTCCATGTTAGTTGGAGGTATGGTACACGAGGTTTTTGGAACCATTTTCATGTCGACATACAGTGGAGAATAGAATCGGAGAGTGACGGCCGAGCAGGCTTGAGATGATGAGTGAAGATGGGGGGTCACTCGGTAACTGTCCTAAAAAACAACCAAACCTTTCAGGTGAATTGTTATAATTCATCCAGATGTTGTTATTCAAAGGGTTTCACGGTTTCACCTTCATGTCTACACATGTTTGTCCACTCAAAAAGCATGATGATCAGTGGCCCCAGATGTGACCAGGCTTCATTCGTCGGCACTTGAGGGACTTCTTCCAATCGATTCAGCGTCAGGGCGACTCAGCGAATTTTCACCACGGATTACATGGAGTTATTGTGTTATTTCATATCTAATATGATGTGCAAATACTCATTTACACATCTTGTACACACACATGAAGACATCACATACAAAAATACAATACAATGATACAACAATATGTACTATTTCACCCAGATCACCCATCACAGTTGTTACACTGCATAAGAGAGTCCTTCCATGACACAGCCATGTGATCTCGAGATTTTCCAATCATTACCCCTGGTAAACGGGCTAACATAACGAACTGGAAAGATCCACCAGTTTCGTATGGGTAAACCCGCTTCAATCGCTTTTTGTAAGTTTACCAGGCCGCGGTAAAATTTTGTCACACACACAACTTGTCCGAAACATGGAGATTTCCGCAGTTTTGTTTTCGCGTGTGTCACCACGGAAAATCCTCCTGGCACGGAACCAAGGTGTGAGAGGAACCAAGGCGTGGAGTTTTCGCTGGAGCTGATTGGGTGAAGGGGATACCAGACTCGCTGGACCCCCCAGTTCTGGTTGTTGGTTTACAAAGCATTGACAAAAATCCCAAAATCACCATAAACCCCAGAACTCGCCTAGTTCTGAATTGGAATCAAACTTAGCTTTTTTTTGGGGGCCTAACTTTTTTTCTGGGTTTATGGTGGGTAAATATATACTTGGATGGGTGAACATGAATCCAGAAAGCTACAGGGACATACTTTGTATGTTGGGATGCCACCACAGAATATGTGGCACTCACACAATCACACATATACATGCGTGTAATTACATATGACATACAATCTACGAATGTAGCTTGTAATGGTGATAGTAGTCTATTGTGTTTATTTCTTTGTGAACAAGAAGAACATGTTGATCATTGAACTGTAAATATCAGGTTTTTTCAGAGCTGATTCTTCCGGGCAACATGTGCGGAAGCACAGCTTTTCTGTTCCCATTTCAACAAACTGGGAACATTTAATTGAAACATTTGTTTCCACAATATGACAGGGGTTCCCATTGCAACAAATCATCATGATTTCCTGATGTTGGAAAATTGACGGGACCCCACATATCGATTTGTGGGTACGTGTACAAAAAACAGGCTTTTGCTGCACATAATTCCCATAAACCAATCCCCATTGAATGGTAAATCATCGGTGGGGAGTATTCATTTTTTCCATGTCAGAGCCAAGATGTTCTTCCCCCAGATAGGTTTGGAGATCAATCTGTATCATTGCCTGGTGAGTAACTGAGTAATATTCCAGGAAAAAATCAATGAAACTGATTTGGGGCATCATATATAGAATGTGACATTCTCTTCATATGTAATTCTATACATATTATATATATACATACATAATCATACATACATAGATATCTTACACCCGTCACCCATACTATATGGACAGGATAGCAGCCGAATTCATAAATCCAAACCAAAGATATGTCACGTAGCTTTAGCACTTGAAACCTTGGTTGGATATATAAATTGCACCAAGTAGTGGTTTTTATTGCTTTGCCCTTGCTGATCGGATATTGTGTAGTTTGGTGCCAGGTGTTTTCAAGAGCATCACGTGTTTGGAATATGTTCCACATGAAGTTTCCATGTTTGCAGGTGACCCATAGTCTTGATGAACTCGCTGGCTAGCTGGCTAATCTTTATTAATAAACAGTTAAACAGAGGAATGCAAAATCCCGTTAAGATGAGATTGATTGATGGGGTATTTCAAGGGTCATGACTTAAATTTCAGTGGGCGAACCTTTGCGTGCTGCTAACGCCATGTTGATGGTTCAGAATTGTTCATATTCTGGGGGTTGCAAGGTGATACCCTCTGGTAATTTAACATAGCTATTGAAAATGGCCATTTATAGTGGATTTTCCCATTAAAAATGGTGATTTTCCATAGTTATGTTAAATTACCAGAGGGTAGTGATATCATAGTCTGTTGGTATTCCCCAAGCAAGGTTCCCAGACAAGGTTTTCAGGATGTCCAACCAAAAGTTCGCATGGTTAGGATATGTCCCCTTGCGGTGGGCAAAGGAGGGAGCAGGAGTCGCTAGAGATACCCGGCCTGGTACACGTTTACATAACGAACTGGAAAATCACCATTTAGTTCGTGAGTTTTCCCATGAAAAATGGTGATTTTCCAGTTCGTTATGTAAACGTTTACCAGGCCGGGTATCATGAGATACCCAGTAGTGTCCGACATTGCACCAGGTGTCTCCATTCCAGGCAGACGGGTGGCCCGGGGTGGCCCGGGGTGGCCCGGGGTGGCCCGCTGGGACGCAGAGGATCCCATGAAAACGAAGGGTAAAATGCTGGTGATTTATTGATAACTACAATGTGAGGCCCCCAAGATAGCGTTCAGTTGGTGCCAATAACTCCAATGTCACTATGGTTTATGGTACGCAAATAACTATTAATAGTTAGTGGGGCTTATAAACCAACTAACATCACTGGGGGGCCTCACATTGTAGCAGTTATATTATCTGGTTATTTTATACTGGTAAAATACTGGTTACAGTATTTATTAATAAATGAATAAGTATAAAAATAACTGTATTTTACCTTATTGATAATTAGGTGAGACTCTAAAGAAACATACCTGGGAGACCTATCCAGTGATGGGAATTGGAGTAGGCCTATATAGGCTAATTATCCCAGACATGGCAGAACTTTGGCAGCTTCGTGAATTATGATGAAATGTTCATCCAGATGTGTCACTGCTGTCATTTGGAGTGTCTGAGAGACAGGAGAATCTTGGCCGAGAAGCACGTCGCGACTTGGTCTATCGACTTGAAGGACCAGTGTCTGAGGACATTCAGCAGACGCTTGCAATCGTGCCAATGAGAGTGATGGCACAGGACTGGCCAGCTGAGGCACAGCAGGCCTTTACTGAGCTACGATGAGTGGAGCCACCTTTGAAACGATCAAAGAGGGTGTCTTCAACTACATCAAAGAAAGGTTCCCGGCGTCAAAGGTGCCTGACAACGAAGATTTGGTGGCGGACGACGTCACAAATTCAGAACTTGCCGAACTTCATGGCAAACAGGTAGGTGTTTTGGCCGAGGACTAGTGTGAGTGCGACGACGGCACTTGAATTTTTGCAGAAAAACAAGAAGCGGGCGATTTGGAATTGTGCAATTGCTAACTTTATCAGATTCAATCCCCTGGTAAATGTTATTGTAATTGGACATTCTTTCAACCAGGGGTGTTCCATGCTGTCATCATGCACTGGCTCACTGACCTGGCTGCGCCATCTTCTCCTTCAAGCTGAGTAGACTGGATGCGCGATTTTTCCCACTAGCTAATGGACTCTACAAACGTAGTGTCGATGTTGGCTAGTCGATTTAGGGCCTCTCACCCCCTGTGTTTATTCAAACTGTCTAATATGATGGTTAGTAGGATGTCCTGCAGGGTTTCCTCGAATTTCTGCATCCAGATATCAATTAACCCTGGGGTAAAGTAATCAATGTATGATTTGTTAAGCTTACGTAATCCTACAAAAGTGCTGGTTTAACAATTAAACATGTTGATTGCACGAACGAAATCAGAGTGTACCTCCCAGTAAATTGCAGCAATCATACCGCCGATAACACCACTAGCTTTTCCAGGAAATTATCCATGAATCGTGGATTTCCTACAGTTATGCTCTGTCAATTTACTGTAGCGTAAACATTTCACCATTGAATCTTAGTCTAGTCATGATGCACCTGCCAGGAGGGTCTCTAGATTTAGCAGAGGTGCAACTCCTCCTCCGCCTCTTTGTTGTCTTCATCCCGCCAGAAAGTATGCCAGAATAGATGCCAGGTAAGAATGCCAGGTAGACTGTCATAGTATATGCAATGTCAGATAGAATGTCAGAAGAAATATGCTATATATAATTCCAGGTGGCATGTCAGAAACTATGTCAGAACAGTGTGTCACAGTGGAGATAGCTCGAATTAAGGTAATTTGTCTGAAATACTGTCGGTTTCTTGCTTAAGGAACCTTCTCCAATATATGAAGTCTCCTTTTTTGTTCTTCAAAGCGCAATCATTAAGAAAGGGGGAACTCCCCTATGATAGCTGTTTCAAAAATAGATAGGAGAGTTCTAGTTTATGTCATGAGAAATATGTGTCTGAACTCCGCATGTTTGCAGAACTAAGTTCACTAGAAAATTAGCTAAAGACCATATAAACCCGTATAAATCCACGATTTTTTGGATGCTTGACATCACCATAACTCCAACATGGTCAGGCTGAAGATCACCAAGGGTCAGGCGAGGAAACATGGGGAGATATCCTATTTTCAGACACAGCCATATATGTG